TCCCCCCACCGCCCCACCCCCCCAACCGCCCCCCCCACCGCCCTCCCCCCCACTACACCAACGCCCCCCACACCGCCCTCCCCCCACTGCCCCCTACCCCCAAACCGCCCCCCCTACCGCCCTCCCCCCACTACACCAACGCCCCCCACACCGCCCTCCCCCCACCGCCCCACCCCCCCAACCGCCCCCCCCCACCGCCCTCCCCCCCACTACACCAACGCCCCCCACACCGCCCTCCCCCCACCGCCCCACCCCCCCAACCGCCCCCCCCACCGCCCTCCCCCCCACTACACCAACGCCCCCCACACCGCCCTCCCCCCACCGCCCCACCCCCCCAACCGCCCCCCCACCGCCCTCCCCCCCACTACACCAACGCCCCCCACACCGCCCTCCCCCCACCGCCCCCCACCCCCCAAACCGCCCCCCCCTACCACCCTCCCCCCACCACCCTCCCCCCACTACACCAACGCCCCCCACACCGCCCTCCCCCCACTGCCCCCAAACCGCCCCCCACACCGCCCTCCTCCCCACTACACCAACGCCCCCCACACCGCCCTCCCCCCACCGCCCCCCTACCGCCCTCCCCGTCCCCCCGGGCGTCGCTGCGCAAGGCGACGCGACCGCTTCTCACTCAACACCGCGGGGCGACGTTCAACATCGCCGGGACGCGCCATTCGCGGGAGTGAGCGGCAACATTGGAAGAATTAAAACAATTTGAGACATTTACACCGCGAGAGTGACTCAGTAGGGACGACACACACAGCAGTAGCAGCAGCATCGCCCGAGTTGGCGAGATGTGAACTACCTCGCCTGGTATCACACCTGTCAACCCCCTTGTCAGTGCTGACTACCTGGTTACAGACCAACTTAGACCTGAGTGGTCACCCCGTGCCCCTTATACATCTCAACGTTCATCCTACAAAGTCCCATCGCAAGGGAGAAACTAAAAAATAAACAATGTTTTCTTTTGCCTGTACGCCGTATGGATCTGAAAACTAAACTTATCTGTACAAGAATACGGGGGGGGGGGGGGGGGTAAGCCGTATGGGTTGACACGGTATGTGGTGTGCAGGAGGTTCGTGGGTTCGATCGCGACCCAGACGCCTGCTGTTGTATATTTGGATTCATATTCTTGGTTCTTTCGGTAAAGTCACGTAGAAGGGAAATAATAAAATAATACAAAATTTACATAATAAAATACAATTCTCACGACGTTTCGGCCACAACGCAAGCAGCCGTCCTCAGGTGAAGAAACAGAGCTGTCGGAAAGACAGCGTCCTAATGTTGGTTGCGTTGTGGCCGAAACGTCGTGAGAATTGTATTTTATTATGTTTTATTTTTATTATTTTATTATTTACCTTCTACGTGACTTTACAGAAAGAACCAAGATTATGAATCCCTGCAGTCACGACAGCTTTAAATCGAAATGTATATTTGTAGTTTGCGTGTTTCTCTCTCTCCCCGTGGTCGCCTGGATATTTGTCCGGATCCTTCGGTGTTTCCCTCCACATTTAGAATCAACATCACCCCGCGTTTAGAGTATTTGGCTGCTATACATCTCCACGTGATAAGCCACTTCGTTGAGCTATCATTAATTAACCTTATGGCGGAACGCCGGGGTCCCATAAGCCCCCGGCTCTCGCATAAACTGCGTTGTGACGTTTTTTTAAATCCTTTATATTAAGTTCACTTGCTTACTTGCGCGCTTACGACCGTGCAAATTTTTCGGTCGTTTTTTTACCCCACTTCCCGTGATCCAATCGAGCTGACATTTTGCACACAGACTCGTTGTGCGTGACAATATATTTTCGTGAATTTTTTTTCTCCAAAATTTTACACTTTTTAGGATTTTTTTTATATTTAATTACCAATTGCTTAATGGTGGCAGGCAATCATCTGACCCATAGGTGGCAGCCATCTCAAGCCAGAGGACGAGAGGACTCTAGCCGCCACGCATATAAAGGATTTATAGTGAAAAACTTAGTTTTTACGGGTTAATTTTTTTTATGTCTGTTGAAGGTGAACGACACGGTGATCTATTCCTCTCGACGAGCTCTAAACGATGCGCTAATTAAAGTTTTAACGTTTTGTTTATGACTCCGGCAATTTTGACAACGACGGGTGCTTGGTGAAGAACGAGAGGATTGATTTCTGGTGGGTTGCGGCGTTTATGTGCGCGGTGGGACGGAGTCGCCAATAATTACGATTTTGACTTCCGTTTATTCGGGACCCCGGGGTGCCGCCATAAGGTTCATTTGTGGCCGGGTCGCTTCCGAAGAAGTTGCTACAGAGCTCAGCAGGGACTTACCTGGTAAAATTAAAATAGTTTTAGTTTATTTCGAGTTAAAGCTTTCGTGACTGCAGTGATTCATCTTCTTGGTTCTTTCGGTAAAGTCACGTAGACGGCTGCTTGCGTTGTGGCCGAAACGTCGTGAGAATTATTTTATTATTTCCATTCTACGTGACTTTACCGAAAGAACCAAGAAGAGTTTTAGTTTAGTTTAGAATCGAAGGATCCACTGCAGGGCCGTGTCTCGTGTGAAACACAGCGGCGCCTCTCTTCGTCACGATCGCCCTTCGCTCGAAGAACGACAGCGCTGTGGCGCGACGTGACGAGTCCGCGAAACACGGAGCATGGAGTCGAGCATGGGATCGAGCTGCTACGGGTTTGAGCATGGGTTACAGCATGGATCGAGCATCGGATCGAGCATGGGCTCGAGCATGGGATCGAGCTTTTGCGGGTTTGAGCATGGGTTACAGCTTGGAGTCGAGCATGGGATCGAGTTCTTACGGGTTTGAGCATGGATTACAGCATGGATCGAGCATCAGTTCGAGCATGGGATCAAGCTCTTACGGGTTTGAGCATGGGTTACAGCATGGGATTGAGCTGCTACGGGTTTGAGCATGGGTTACAGCATGGGATCGAGCTGCTACGGGTTTGAGCATGGGTTACAGCATGGATCGAGCATCGGATCGAGCATGGGCTCGAGCATGGGATCGAGCTTTTGCGGGTTTGAGCATGGGTTACAGCTTGGAGTCGAGCATGGGATCGAGTTCTTACGGGTTTGAGCATGGATTACAGCATGGGATTGAGCTGTTACGGGTTTGAGAATGGGTTACAGCTTGGAGTCGAGCATGGGATCGAGTTCTTACGGGTTTGAGCATGGATTACAGCATGGATCGAGCATCGGTTCGAGCATGGGATCAAGCTCTTACGGGTTTGAGCATGGGTTACAGCATGGAGTCGAGCATGGGATTGAGCTATTACGGGTTTGAGCATGGGTTACAGCATGGATCGAGCATCGGATCGAGCATGGGATCGAGCCGTTATGGGTTTGAGCATGGGTTACAACTTGGAGTCGAGCATCGGATCGAGCATGGGATCGAGCTCTTACGGGTTTGAGCATGGGCATGGCAGGTGAGCCCAGCCATTGCCCCAGGGCGTTGTGTCTGGCCAGAGGCGCGCGCCGTCGCATGTCTCTGGCCATCGGATGGTTTAGTATCGCAAACCCCCACCCAGCATCCCACCATCCCTGATGCAGCAGTTTACTTGGTCAGCTATCTGCTGCTGCTGTTGCTGCTGCTGCCAGCGGCGTACAAACATCAAACAAACAACAACAACCGACGCGTTCGTCAACAACGCGCTGTCGCCTTATCTGTAAAACAAAGCCCCGTTATATAATAGGCGACGTTTCGGGCAAACGGTCCTTCTTCATGACACGAGATGTGGGGGGGGGGGCATTGGCCCCCGTAACGTTGCTTGTGAGATGTTTATTGTGGGGCTGCGCTCGAGAGGAGTTTTGTTGACATGTTGTTTGCGTTGTTGTTGTTGTTGGTGATTGGCCCGCGCTGGTGAGCATCCTCCCACTCACCAATTAACTCACACTCACCTCTCACCCTCTCACTCACTCACCCTCTCTCACTCCACCCTCTCACTCACCCTCTCACTCACCCACTCTCACTCCACCCTCTCACTCACCCACACTCGCTCACCCGACTCACCTCTCACTCACCCACTCACTCACTCTCACTCCACCCTCTCACTCACTCACTCTCACTCACCCTATCACTCACCCACTCTCACTCGACCATCGAACTCACCCACTCTCACTCCACCCTCTCTCACTCCACCCTCTCACTCACACTCTCACTTCACCCTCTCACTCACCCACACTCGCTCACCCGACTCACCTCTCACTCACCCACTCACTCACTCTCACTCCACCCTCTCACTCACCCACTCTCACTCCACCCTCTCACTCACCCACACTTGCCCACCCGACTCACCTCTCACTCACCCTCTCACTCACCCACCCACTCACCCACTCACTCACTCTCACTCCACCCTCTCACTTACCAGACTCACCTCTCACTCACCCACTCACACACCCACTCAGTCACCCACCCACTCACTCACACTCCACCCACCCACTCACTCACACCCACTCTCACTCCACCATCTCACTCACCCACTCACCCACTCTCACTCACCCACTCACTCACCCTCACTCCGCCCTCTCACTCACCCACACTCGCTCACCTCTCACTCACCCACCCTCTCACTCACCCACTCACTCACCCTCACTCCACCCTCTCACTCACCCACACTCGCTCACCTCTCACTCACCCACCCTCACTCCACCCTCTCACTCACCCACACACTCGCTCACCCGACTCACCCACCCTCTCACTCACCCACTCACTCCACCCTCTCACTCACCCACACACTCGCTCACCCGACTCACCCACCCTCACTCCACCCTCTCACTCACCCACTCACCCACCCTCACTCCACCCTCTCACTCACCCACTCACCCACCCTCACTCCACCCTCTCACTCACCCACACTCGCTCACCCGACTCACCTCTCGCTCGTCCCACAACCGCGGGACTTTGCCCACGATCGATTCTGCGCCTCCTCCAATCGCAGCTCGCCCCCGCCTCCCCACCCTCCACGATAAAAGGAATCCCCCGTGCAGCCACAGGCACCGAGGGACGTTCATCTCCGTGAGAGTTGGGGGGGTGGTGGTGGTGCCTCCTGGTCAACAAGCCGAGGTTCGTAGTCGGCCCTCTGGACACCGAATCCCCCTCGCCGCCGCCGCCGCCGCCGCCAGCGATGACGAGCTTGGCGGAGCTGTGCCAAGGCCTGCCCCTGGATCCGCTGCCCCCGCCACGCGGCCGTGACCCCAACTGCCCCCACGCTCCCGTGAGGACCCCCGGCCTCTCCCCTGCCCAGGAAAAGGTAGCACCCCCCCCCCTCTCTCTCTCTCTACATTCAGCCCCCCACCCCCCCTCTCTCTCTCCATTCAGCCCCCCACCCCCCCTCTCTCTCTACATTCAGCCCCCCACCCCCCCCACCAGCACGCAGTGGCTGTCACCTCCCCCTCCTTACCTTGACACGTGCACCACATACACCACATACACCACACACACCTCACGCACCACACACGCACCACACACGCACCACACACCTCACACGCACCACACACACCTCACACGCACCACATACACCACGCACACCACATACACCATATACACCACACGCACCACATACACCACACGCGCACCACACACGCACCACAAACGCACCACATACACCACACGCACCACATACACCACACGCACCACATACACCACACGCGCACCACACACGCACCACAAACGCACCACATACACCACACGCACCACATACACCACACACACCACACACACCTCACATGCACCACACACGCACCACATACACCACACGCACCACATACACCACATACACCACATACACCACACGCACCACATACACCACGCACCACATACACCACACAGCAACCACACACGCACCACATACACCACATACACCACACGCACCACATACACCACATACACCACACGCACCACATACACCGCGCACCACATACACCACACGCGCGCCACACACGCACCACACACACCTCACACGCGCACCACATACACCACGCGCACCACACGAGGTGTCCGCGTGTCTGCACCTCAGCGTCAACTTCCAACCCTCACGTCACGCGATCTCCGTCACGCTGCTGTTGAGACATAGAAGTAACAAGGACGTCACGATGATCAAGGGATTATAACCTGTAAATGAAATAGGTCTGTGTCACCGCGCCCTTACAAATTGCACACGAATTGATGCAATGAATACCACGTCGCGGGCTGCTTTTCGCTTGCAAGTTTCAGATTTACTGAAATACACCCGTCCTTGGACGGGCAATAGGCTAGTAAGTCAACACGCAGACAATACTTAGATATATATATGTCTCTCCGCGTATAAAGGGCAGTCGCTGGATTCGAACCGCAAACCTCACCAAGGCCGGGCCACGTCACCGCCCCACGGCTGAAGGAGGAGACCGTGAAGACTGCAGCTCCTCCGGCTCTCGGTGGCCAGGTGACCACGTGGCCAGGTGATCACGTGGTCACGTGGCCAGGTGGTCACGTGGCCAGGTGGTCACGTGGTCATGTGGTCACGTGGCCAGGTGGCCATGTGGTCAGGTGACCAGGTGACCAGGTGGTCATGTGACCAGGTGAACAGGTGACCAGGTGGTCATGTGACCAGGTGACCAGGTGGTCATGTGACCAGGTGACCAGGTGGTCACGTGACCATGTGACCAGGTGGTCATGTGACCAGGTGGTCACGTGACCACGTGGTCAGGTGGTCACGTGGCCAGGTGGTCACGTGGCCAGGTGACCAGGTTGTCATGTGGTCAGGTGGCCATGTGACCAGGTGGTCAGGTGGCCATGTGACCAGGTGGTCATGTGGTCAGGTGGCCATGTGACCAGGTGACCAGGTGGTCATGTGACCAGGTGGTCATGTGACCAGGTGGCCAGGTGGTCAGGTGGCCATGTGACCAGGTGACTATGTGACCAGGTGACCAGGTGTTATCATCGGTCGTGAGCGGGAGTGTGTCTGTGTGCGTCCTCTTGCCCTTCACCACCCTGCGCAGGTCGCCCTGCGCAATGCGCTGCGTTACTTCCCGGCTTCGCTGCACGAGCTGCTGGCCCCGGAGTTCCTGCAGGAGCTGCGGGCGTACGGACACATCTACATGTACCGCCTGTGCCCCACGCTCGAGATGAGGTGGGTGCCCCACAGCCCGCACCGCCGCATGAACCCGGCGCCGCTCCCTCGAGGCGCGCCAGACCTTGAGGCACCGTGGGGCAATCTTACTTTGGAGCTTTCGTGACTGCAGGAATTACTCTTTGGTTCTTTCGGTAAAGTGACGTATAAAGATAAAATAATAAATTAAATACTAGCATACGACGTTTCGATTGCAACACAAGCAATCGTCATCAGGTATAAATGAAATAGAAACACAAATCTAGTATACTTAGAAATGGAATGTAATACAAGAGAGAGTCGGATAACATAACAGTCAACACCCTACCTGGTTGATTACGTTCTTCCTGAGAATGCTAAATTTGAGAGAGAGATAAAACACAGAACCAGAAACATATAGACAGACATATAAGCACAGATATCACAGAGATACATAGAGAGAGAACAAACATCGGCACACAGAGAAAGCCACGTCTCTGTGTCGAGGCCTTAAATATAGAGAGGGGGCGGGGGCGGAGAGAGAGGGAGGGGTTAGAGAAAATTAGCATGTCAATGAAAACTAGGATACAGGGAGAGAGACACACTAAATTAAATAACCTAGCAAAATATCGAAATGTAATGTAATGCAACACAGAGAGTCGGTCAACACACTGTGGGGCGCCACGGCTTGGAGGACGGGTGAGGGTGAACCCACGTTTCACCCCACCTGCCGATCGACTCAGCTGCGGTGAACCCATTAGACCGATGCTGAGAGAATAGGAGCTGGCAGGGGACCTGAGAAACCCGCACCCGTTGCTTAGACTGCCGCGCCGGGAGATGGAATCGAACCTACGACCTTTCGTTTCAAGTCCGGTGTGGTTGCTGCTGCTGCTGCTGACCGTTACTGTGGCAGCAGCTCCTCGGAGACGATTCCGAAATGGTCTTTACCCGAAACGTCGGACAATAGCGAGACATTTAATATTCATATATGTTTCCTCTTCGAGCCCCAGTGTTGTTTTTATTTCGATTTAAAGCTTTCGTGACTGCAGGGATTCATCTTCTTGGTTCTTTCGGTAAAGTCACGTAGAAGGGAAATAATTAAATAATACAAATAATACAAATAAAACATAATAAAATAAAATAATATTTTATTATGTTTTATTTTTATTATTTTATCACTTCCCTTCTACGTGACTTTACCGAAAGAACCAAGAAGATGAATCCCAGTGTTGTTGTTGACACGGGGCGTGTTGGGTTGTTGTTGTTCGTGTCCCACTGCCCATGCTGGAGCAGTAGCAGCAGTACCAGGAGCATCAACCATCGTTACGCAAACTCCGCTCAATCTCGCAGCAGCAGCGGCGGCGGCTTTTTGCTGCTGGCCATCGAACAAAGACGGCGGTCACCGCATCGCGCGACGCTTTCAGATGCGCTGCTGCTTCTGCTGCGGCCGTCTGGAACGCTCTTGCTTCCAGAAATAATGAGGAAGCCACTGGCGCTTTTCACTTTTAAATCATCCAGATTGAAAACGCATTTCTCTCAGACTGCTTTTCGTGTTCAGTATGCTGTTCTTCCCCCGCACCTCCGCTTATCACGGCTGGCTACGTACGGTGCGAAAATAGATTCAACATGCGTTGTACAGGTAAGCTGTGTAAATTACCGGAGCTCTGCTCACTCCAGCGGTAGCGACGTCTGCTGCGGCCACGGACTCTGTGAGGGCGTGGAGGCGATCCTCTTTGTGCCGCTCACGGCTCGGCTCTCTCTCTCTCTGTGTTTTTCCTTTCCACAGGGCGTACCCGATCCACGCGTACCCGTGCCAGTGTGTCCACGCGGCTGCCATCATGCACATGATCATGAACAACCTGGACCCGCGGGTGGCGCAGGTGGGAAACTGGGCCAATCCGCGGCAGCTGCTGCTGCTGCAGCAGCACCAATTAAACACACTCACGCACAAAGACAAAGACCCCCCCCCCCGTGTAGCCTTAACAGACTGTAGGGGCAAGTGCTGTTAGCGAGCAGCACCTATGAAGGCTGGCACGGCACACGAGGGCGTTGTGTTGTGGCCAAAACCACGCACTTTGTCTGCCCCCAGTGGCGATGTTTACACACCGCGCCAGGTACTCATTTAAGGCTGAGTCGACCTCGGAGAGACTCAGAACACACACACACATACTAGTGAGCACACATACACACACACCCACACACACACACACACCCACACACATACATACACACATACACACACATACACACATATTGCATACGAATGTCATCTCCCCGATTGGGCGATGAAAGGGGAGCAGGTAAGAGGCTCGCGTGCTGGGAGAGAGGTGGTGATGATGATGATGGTGGTGATGATGATGATGGTGGTGATGATGATGATGATGGTGGTGATGATGGTGGTGATGATAGCGGTGGTGGTGATGGTGGTGATGATGATGGTGGTGATGGTGATGATAGTGGTGGTGGTGATGGTGGTGATGATGATGGTGGTGATGGTGATGATAGTGGTGGTGATGGTGGTGATGATGATGGTGGTGGTGATGATGATGGTGGTGATGATGATGAGTGGGGGTGTGGGCACGTGTTAAGTCAGCGTGGAGCACGAGGCGAGTACTAATTGATGAGGGTTGCCAGATGATTGGTTAATTGGAAGGTGGAGGTCTGGGGGAGGATGGGGTATTTTAGGAGAGAGGGGAGACACCGGTTTGTGGCGCCCCAGCGGGTTGGGAAGCAGCCCTTAGCCACTAAAGATTTTCGACCCATACAGGGAGTGGGGTGGGTAATAAGTATAACCCGTAAAAACAAAGTTTTTCACTATAAATCCTTTATATGCGTGGCGGCTAGAGTCCTCTCGTCCTCTGGCTTGAGATGGCTGCCACATATGGGTCAGATGATTGTCTGCCAGTATTAAGCAATTGGTAATTAAATATTTAATTTGTTTTCCCTAAACAGTGTAAAATTTTTTTTAAAAAATTTCACGAACATTAATTGTCTCGCACAACGAGTCTGTGCGCAAAATGTCAGCTCGATTGGATCACGGGAAGTGGGTTAAAAAACGACCGAAAGATTTGCACGGTCGTAAGCAAGCAAGCAAGCACGCAAGCACGCAAGCAAGCAGGCGAAATTAATATAAAGGATTTAAAAAGAGGAGTCCGTGGGAGCCGTGGGAAGCCGTGAGTTCCTCGTGGGGAGCTAACGGGAGCGGCGCTCGAGGCGTTGTGGTGGTGGCCGGCTTCGCCAACGTTGTTGAGGTCGGGGTCGACCCCACGGCGTCCCGAGCGGGTGCGGTGCCCTCCTCCCCCACCCACCCCCGCGGGCAAGGACCCAGCCGCCCCTGGGGCTTCGCACCGCGTGCGTTGGCACCGGTCGCTGTCCACACGCGGCCCGTGACGGTGCTCGTGGCCACGTTGGTGACCACGGCTTTCTGGCGAATGGGGGGGGAGACATTTTTGTTGGCAGTAGCAAAATGATGGGTGGTGGTGGGGGGGATAAGAATTGGCTGTTTGACCCTTTACGGTGCTAAAACAGGAGGCGTAAGTATATAAATGTGTCGTTAAACCTGTCACTTATGATTGCAAGTTGTTGCGAGTCGGTGACTGCTTTAGTGTTAAAATATGGTGCTGTATTTTTAGGATAGTGTGTTTATAATATCATTTTATGTAGATATTCACATTTATTTAATATTTTTCTTCTGCAGTTTTTATTGAAAATGCAATATTTGATATCTCGAAAACCTCATGTGATAGACAAAAACTGATGCCAGATTTGGAATCGGCACCCCAAAATTACCTTAAAACCGTTGGAATACCTTATGCCAGAAAAAAGTGTGATGACCAGTGTAATGATGCCTGCATCGCCTTTGACACGGGTTGGCCCACACGAGAGAGAGATGGTGACCTCCCTTAGTGGCCGTGTCTCAAACCGACCAGTGTTGGGGCCCAGAGCACAACGCCAAAAAGAGAACCCTCGCCAAGGACGATGCGACTAACGCAGCGATCATTTGGGCTGAGCAGTCGTAGATTGTCTACTTGGCGTTTGAACGTCTGAACTCTGTTTTGGTTTTTACTTCCAGAGGGTAAAGCCGATATTTGTTGACACGTGGCTTGTTTGTAATAATTTAAACGGGAAGGTTTTAACCCCTGTTTGGCACTAAAACACGAGTTGCGTGAAGATGTTTCAACAACCAAAATGGGTATCTGTTGCAAGGAATCGAATCTGCATTGACCACGTGTGCTTGTGGTGAACATGCAAACAAACGTTCTCCGATAGTTGATGGCATTGTCGTTGAAAGTGACCGGCCTACACCAGAGACAGCCGATGTCCGAGTCTCAGCAGTGTCAGACCAGAGAACGACGCCAAAAGGCGAACGGAAAGATGTCGCGTTGTATGTTGTAGGCCAGCTGTGAGTGCTGCTGCTGCTACGCACAATTCAATAGTTATAACTCGCACAAAGCCAAAGGGGGTCCCCCCGTGTGTAGCCTAGAACAAGCACTGTTGGGGTAAGTGCTGCGGGCGAACATCGGTGTGGCCAAGACCACGCCCGGCCGCCTTTGTCTCCCCAATGCCCCCATGTCTCGCGCACCGCACCCAGGCACACGTGTAAGGCGTGATGACCGCTTCACTCTGAGTGGACATCAACAAATTCGATGTTGACATTCGCAGATTAGGCCACTGCTGGTGGCCAGGTGGCCAGGTGGTCATGTGACCAGGTAGCCAGGTGGTCATGTGGCCAGGTGGTCACGTGACCAGGTGGCCAGGTGGTCATGTGGTCAGGTGACCAGGTGGTCATGTGACCAGGTGACCAGGTGGTCATGTGACCAGGTGACCAGGTGGCGATCGAACTCCGAATTTGCGAAATTCGAAAAACGCCGCCGCAAATGACTCCGTTGTGATCGCGCGCACGCATCAGCGGTCACCGCACCCGCACTGGCAGTGAACCTCATCCCTCTTCCCGAGTGAGGGCTGCGTGCCGTTGTTTCGCGTCCTCAGCCGGTCACAAACTCAACCTGCAACTCGCGCGTGCGTGCAGTTTCCACAGGAGCTAGTGACTTACGGAGGGAATGGGCAAGTGTTCAGCAACTGGGCCCAAGTGAGAAACCGTCTTGTGTCCTCTACCGCTCTCTCTCACACACACCCACACACGTGTACCCTGTACCCCTCACACACTCACACACGTGTACCCTGTACCCTCTTTCACACACACCCACACACGTGTACCCTCTACCCCTCACACACCCACACACGTGTAACCTGTACCCTTCACACACCCACACACGTGTACCCTCCACCCCTCACACACCCACACACGTGTACCCTCCACCCCTCACACACCCACACACGTGTACCCTCCACCCTTCACACACCCACACACGTGTACCCTCCACTCCTCACACACCCACACACGTGTACCCTCCACTCCTCACACACCCACACACGTGTACCCTCCACCCCTCACACACCCACACACGTGTACCCTGTACCCCTCTCACACACCCACACACCTGTACCCTCCACCCCTCTCTCTCACACACCCGCACACGTGTACCCTGTACCCCTCTCACACACCCACACACGTGTACCCTGTACCCCTCTCACACACCCACACACGTGTACCCTGTACCCCACACACACCCACACACGTGTACCCTGTACCCTCTCTCACACCCACACACGTGTACCCTGTACCCCTGTCACACCCACACACGTGTACCCTGTCCCCTAACACATCCACACACGTGTACCCTGTACCCCTCACCCACACACGTGTACCCTGTACCCCTCACACACTCACACACGTGTACCCTGTACCACTCTCTCTCTCTCACACACCCACACACACCCACACACGTGTACCCTGTCCCCTCACACACCCACACACGTGTACCCTCCACCTCTCACACACCCACACACGTGTACCCTGTACCACTCTCACACACCCACACACACGTGTACCCAGTATCACTCTCATACACCCACGCGTGTCCCCACGCAAACAACTCAACTGGGGTTGAAGGGGTTTTTCTCGGTAAATGAACATCACAAGAATAATTAACTAATCGAGGACATTGCCGCTTGCGCGTGCGTGTCCCTGGGGAGCAGTAGCGTCGTGGCGAGAGCAATGCGCTCACGGCAAACAACAGTGGCGATTACTTGAACTGGTCGTGGGCATCCCCTAGGTCTGCTCGGCCTCAAACGAGTACCCGGTGCGACAGTGTAAGCATCGCCGCTCGGGAGACAAAGGCGGCCGGGCGTGGCGCTGGCCACCCACCCACCCTCTCGCTAACAGCGCTTGCCCCAAGCAGTGTAGCCCACACGATGGGAGAGGATGGGGGGGGGGGGTTATCGTTGTCTCCGTGACCCTCGCTGCGCGTGGTGGTGGTGGCTGCGGTGCAGTTCTGGGTGGTGATGCAGCTGCTGGCCGAGATGACGGAGGAGCAGACCCTGGTCGTCTACAGCGGCCACCCCATGGGGCTGTTCCCCAGCACGAGACACGGGCCCCGACTCGTCATCACCAATGGCATGGTGAGGCGCGCGGGGGGGGGGTGCGCGCGGGGGGGGGGGTGCGCGCGCGGGGGGGGTGCGCGCGGGGGGGGGGTGCGCGCGCGGGGGGGGTGCGCGCGGGGGGGGGGTGCGCGCGGGGGGGGGGGGCGCGGGGGGGGGGGGGTGCGCGCGGGGGGGGGGGGGTGCGCGCGCGGGGGGGGTGCGCGCGGGGGGGGTGCGCGCGGGGGGGGGGGGCGCGCGGGGGGAGGGGCGCGCGGGGGGGGGGCTCACGTGTGGGGGGGGGGGCGACACTAAACGGACCTCATCCAGTATTCATGGCCGAGCTGAAATATCTGTCCCCGGTGTGAGAGCCGTCGTGCACCTGCCCCCCGCGACGCATCGATGATTGGGTGCAGCCGAAACGTCTCTGGGACCCTTTAAATCAAACGCAGTGTCTCGTCAGCGGAGTTCCCACTGGCTTCAATCAACGCCGCCGATGATGATGATGATGAAGTCCCAGACGTGATAGGAAATGGGCGCTTAAAGGGGAACATCGATCAGAAGGGGGTCCCACGTCCCTGACACCCCCACGCCGTCTCCTGCAGCACCCTGCCGCCACGTTCTCTCTCCACCCCACCCTCTCTCATCCTCCCGTGTCTCCATCATTTACCGCGCCCTTACACCCAGACAAGGGTTCAGTCCTGTTGACTCCATTTACCTATCAGGGCTGTAAACGATGTCTGTGTTGGCCGCCCTAATCGTTCCTCTAAGCCGCGCAATGAACACAAGACAATGGGTGTCGGTGCGGTTCTACCCGTGCACTGGGACTCTTCCAGTCTACCACGTGGCGCCGCCTGCCATCGTCTTGAATACCCTAGCCCCCCCCCCTCGCCCCAACAATAAAATGTAGTGAGCAAAGACAAAGACCCCCACCCCCCCGTATAGCCTGAACAGACTGTAGGAGCAGTGATAGCTCAACGAAGTGGCTTATCGCCACGTTGGACATTGATAGCAGCCAAATACTCTCAAACGCGTGTTGATTCTAAATGCGGAGGGAAAAACCGGAGGACCCGTAGAAAAATCCACGCGACCACGGAGAGAGAGACACGCAAACTCCTAATATAGAGCGAGCGTCAGGGTCGGGGTGGAACCCACGAACTCCCGTATACCAGGCGAGGTAGTTAACATCGCACCACGTTCGCTTTAGCTCCGAAACAGAGTGAAGATGGCAAGGGCGTGCAAGGGCTGAGCAATGAGTGGCCATAACAGAGCGCAACACACGGGGTTCACAATTGCTGGCGCAGTGACGCGTTAGAACAGAGTCTGTTCCATTGCGCGCACACCACTACGCTACCGCAACCCCTCTCACAATTACCGGTCCTGGGCCTCTCCTACGTCCACTCAGCCTCAAATGAGTACCTGGGTGCGGCCGGGCGTGGGGCTGGCCCCACCCACCCCTTCGTGTGCCGTTCCGGCCTTGATAGGCGCTGCTCGCTACTGTTTGCACATAGTCACTTTAAGATGTTTTCTTGTTCATGTTTTTTTGTTTGTTGCGGTTGCACCCGATTCAAGAGCCGAATGGTTCACAGGGCTATACCTCATCAATGAAACTTGAAACAGCACTCGCCCCAAAACTCTGTTGAGGCTATACGAGGGGGGGGGGGGATCTGTGTCTGTGTCTGCGTGCCGTGCGTGTGTCCCCAGGTGATCCCCAACTACTCCTCCCGGGAGGAGTACGAGAAGCTGTTCGCCCTCGGGGTTACCATGTGAGTGACCCCCCCCACCCACGCACACCACTCCCCCCACCCCCCCGTGGCATATTTGTAGCTGGGCGACTGTCAACGCCACCACCACTTGTGCCTTGTCATCAATTAGCATGCCATAATTAGTCACGGTCACGTCATTATGATGACTCCTGTTCACCGAGGAGAGCCTCGCCGAGTCTCTCTTTCAAGGAGGGTCCTGCCAAGTCTTCGCAGTAGGCGATGCTGCTGTCGCTGCTGTGAGATCATCGCGATCGAGTAATGGTGCAGGGAGTTGTTCAGCGCTGCTGGGATGTGTTTGGCCAACAGTAGTTCCACTGTGTTTGTGGGGTTTCGCTATGGGAGGGAGGAAACCGGAGTAAGCCAGACCAGGGGGGAGAACATCTAGACGCCACACGCAGCTGAGAGCCACACGAGGGGCAGTCCTCTTGGTGGCGGATCGAATCCCAGGCACCGCCTGCGCTGTAAGCCGCCACCGTCACCGCTGCCCTCCAGCAGAGGTCCACCGCTGCTGCCGTGAGCGCTCGCACTGCGGTGTCTGCTGCTGCTGCTGTTCGTTGTTGATGTTGTGGTGGTGGTGGTGATGTTCTGGTGGTGGTGGTGTCCGCGCCAGGTACGGGCAGATGACGGCCGGCAGCTACTGCTACATCGGCCCGCAGGGGATCGTGCACGGCACCCTGGTACCACGAGCACGCCACGCACGCCACGCACGGCACGCACGGCACGCACGGCACGCACGCCACGCACGGCACGCACGGCACGCACGGCACGCACGCCACGCACGCCACGCACGCCACGCACGCCACGCACGCCACGCACGGCACCACGCCACGCACGCCACGCACGGCACCGCGCTCGCTCCGCTGCCGCCGTTGAGTAACCGTGCCGCTGCCGTGGCCACAGCTGACGGTGCTGAACGCCGGGCGGCGCTACCTGGGGTTGGAGGACCTGCGGGGCCGCGTGTTCGTCACCTCGGGGCTGGGCGGCATGAGCGGTGCGCAGGCCAAGGCCGCGGTGATCGCCGGGTGCATCGGGGTCATCGCGGAGGTGAGCTCGCCCCACCGCCCCCTCAGCCTCACCTGGCTCGCCCGCCACGCTCGCCCGCCACGCTCGCCCGCCCGTCACGCTCGTGGGGAGCGGTGGCGCAGCGGTCGGTGCACTGCACTACAAACCCGGCGACCCGAGTTCGATTCCAGCTCACGACCGACAACACCGGCGAATGTTTGAACCGGTCCTGGGCCACCTCTAGGTCGACTCAACCTCAAATGAGTACCCGGCGCGATGAGACAAAGGGCGGCCGGGGCTGGCGTTGGTCACCCCCGGCCTTCATAGGTGCTCGCTAACAGCACTTGCCCCAGCAGTCTGTTAAGGCTACGCGGGGGATCTTTGTCTTTGTGCATCTCAGGTGGATGAGGTGGCCCTGAGGAAGCGGTTCGAGCAGGGCTGGCTCATGGAGGTCTCCACCAACTTGGACCACTGCATCGCGCGCATCCGGTGAGCGCGCCTGAGTGCGTGGGGAGCGGTGGTGCAGCGGTTAGCGTGCCGCGCTACGAACCTGGGGGACCAGAGTTGGATTCCCGCTCATAGCCAATAGCAGTGGGGAATGTGTGAACCGGTCCTGGGCGGCCCCTAGGTCGACTAGGCCTTAAATGAGTACCTTGGGGCGGTGTGTAAACGTCGCCACTGGGGAGACAAAGGTGGTCGGGCGTGGTGCTGGCCACACACTGCCTCGTGTGCCGTGCCGGCCTTCGAAGGTGCTACTCAAGTTCAAGTTCATGTATTAGGTATAGCCCTGTGAGCCATTCGGCTCTTGAATCGGGTGCAACCGCAACAAACAAAAAACAAAAACATGAACAAAAAACATCTTATAGTGAATATGTGACCAAGTGCAAACAGAAAATCCAAGAAAAGACAGCAAAATATTGTAGAAAAAAATCACCGTACACCAACGCTGTGTGCAAAAATCCCACTTGCCCCAACAGTCTGTTAAAGACTACATGGGGGGTCTTTGTCTTTGTCTGTGCGTGTTTAGTGATGCACGTGCCAAGAAGGTTCCCCTCAGTCTCGGTTACCATGGAAACATCGTGGACTTGTGGTGAGTTGAAAAGTTTATTCTGCTGAATATCACTCTCATTTAAAGCTTTCGCGACTGCAGGGATTCATATTCTTGGTTCTTTCGGTAAAGTCGCGTAGAAGGGAAATAATAACATTAATATATAATATAAAACAATACAAATTATTGTGTTGCAGTCGAAACGTCGCGAAAATTTTTTATTGTTTTACATTAATATTATTTTATTATTTCCCTTCTACGTGACTTTACCGAAAGAACCAAGAAAATGAATCCCTGCAGTCACGAAAGCTTTCAATCGAAAAAGATAGGCGTATCCGTTTCGCATTTGAACATATTAACTCTTTGGTTCTTTCGGTAAAGTCACGTAGGTAGACAAAATAATAGCTCACGACGTTTCGATCGCAACGCAAGCAACCGTCTTCAGGTGAAGTATGGATTCCTGCAGTCACGAAAGCTTCAAATCAACGCTTGGTGCAGTGGCACGGTGCGGTGTGGGGTGGGACGATGCGGGGCGGTGCGGGGTGGCGCGTTGTGGTGGTGTGAGGGCGCGGTGCGGGGTGGCACGTCGTGAGATGTGCTCTCGGTCCAGGGAGCGGCTGGTGCAGGAAGCGGAGCAGAGCGGGGAGCTGCTGGCGGACCTCGGCTCGGACCAGACCTCGTGCCACAACCCGTACGGGGGCGGCTACTGCCCCGTGCAGCTGGCGCACGGCGAGGCGCTGGGCCTCCTGCAGGCCCAGCCCACGCGCTTCCGCGCACTCGTGCAGGAGAGGTGCGCGCCGCACCATCGCCACACACTCCGTACGGCACAACCACGCTCACCGCACTGCACCATCTCCACACACACCATACGGCACAACCACGCTCACCACACCGCACCATCGCCACACACTCCGTATGGCACAACCACACTCACCGCACCATTGACACACACACTGTACGGCACAACCACGCTCAACGCACCGCACCATCGCCACACACACCGTACGGCACAACCACGTTCACCGCACCATCGCCACACACACCGTACGGCACAACCACACTCACCGCACCGCACCATCGCCACACACACCGTACGGCACAACCACGCTCACCGCACCATCGCCACACACACCGTACGGCACAACCACGCTCACCGCACCATCGCCACACACACACCGTATGGCACAACCACGCTAACCATACCGCACCATCGCCGCACACACCGTACGGCACAACCACGCTCACCGCACCGCACCGCCACCACCACACGGCGCCACTGCACACGGAGTTGGATTCCCACTCACAAAACAACTTCAGTGACGAATATCTGAACCGGTCCCGGGCCTCCCCGACGCAAACTTAATTGGGTACCCGGTGCGACGTGTAAACGGTAGAACTGGGGCACCAAAAGGCGTTGGTGCTGGCCACCCATGCCCTCGTGTGCCGTGCCAGCCTTCGTAGGTGCTCACTAACAGCACCGGCTGTTAAGGCTACACCCGGGGATCTTTGTCTGTGTGCGTTTGCAGCCTGCGGAGACACGTGGCGGCCATCAACGCCCTGACAGAGCGAGGCCTCTTCTTCTGGGACTACGGAAACGCCTTCCTCCTGGAGGCTAAACGCGCAGGTAATGCCCCTCCCCTCCCCAATGCTCCCTCCCTCCTACTCCTTCCCCGCCCTCCCTCCAACTCTCTAGGCCAACATGGGCCGGCATTGGCTGGTGGTGTCCATGCCGAGCGTGCGACGTGGTGCGTGTCTTCTCTAGGAGCCGACGTGGAGAAGGCCGGATCCGGTGACCAGAGCGAGTTCCGGTACCCGTCATACGTGCAGCACATCATGGGGTGAGGCCGCCCCTCCCGGCCGCGGGTCCGGTCGGTACACAGCAGCGCACAGAGTCCTCCTCTTGCTCTGGGGTGGCCTCCTGCCTGCCACTGGGGGCCACACACCCAGGCACGCCTCCTCTCTGTCGGCACTCGGCCCCATCCCACACCGCGCAGGTTACCGCGATAACGTCCTCACGGTAACCGACACAATGCCGGAACCAGATCCCCCGGCGCAAATCCATCGCAGACGCCAGGTACCGGACTTGGTGGCAACGCTGCTGTGGCCGTTCCGCCGTGACCCGGTCAGCCTAGGCCGCGCCGGCGATGACTCGGCTCGTGGTGGCACCAGCGCAACAATCGCCCTCCAATCCGTGCTCCCGTTTCCGCAGCTGCCTTTTACTCCGAACGCATTGGATTAGTTGGAGCCAAATTATACATTGCTGGTGTCTGTCCGCTGTTTTTAAATTCCCTCTGTGGCGCGCCGTTATTTTTGGCTCCGATTTCTTTTGCCAGTACGCCAGTTGCCGTCGGTCTCCCGAATTGTTTTAACTGGAACACGACCCGCGCCTCCTCAGGGACATCTTCTCCATGGGCTTCGGGCCGTTCCGCTGGGTGTGCACGTCCGGAGACGCCCGCGACCTCCTCGCCACCGACGCCATCGCAGCTGCCGTACTCCAGGAGATCGTCACCGACCGCAGCCACCCAGGTGAGACACGGGGAGAAGGGAGAGGCGTGGCGGGGGGTTCACGGTTAGAACCCAGCTACCCTGCTTGTTGCTGCCGGTGTGGTCCCTGTTAAGCGCCGCTTCTCGTTGGACATTAAACGACGGCGTGAGCCGGACAGTGCTCGCCGGCGTCGCGGTCAAAAATTTGCCAAATCCTTAAACGGTTGCCCCGCCGGTGACTCAATCGGGTTCACACGCGGCAGCGACCACCGCCGCTCTCCTGGCAGACTGGCGCCCGCTTGCAGGCCGGCGCCGAGGCACCAACACGGGGAACAGCTGCCACCGCGGGCCGCCCCCTCTAACGTCCGAGATGCGACGCGAGGCGCTCGGCGTTTCCGAGTTATTTCGACGAGCCCCATGTGCACGAGAATCTTGCCACTCCTGCCCGTGCTGTCCGAGCGCCAGAGGTCGCAACCGGGTACCCGATACCCGTACCCTACCCGATACCCGGCTACCCGTACCCGGCTGGGTACGGGTACGGGTACCCGTTTGCGACCCTGGTGCGGCCGGGAACGGGTACGGGTGGGCCGTGAGTCACTGGTGAGTCACCGTTTGTCACTCATTTCCCAACGTCTTGTCTCTTCTCACAATTCAAGTTCCTAGAATCAACCCACCCGCGCCTGCAACATGGCTTCATCCCAGAGGTCGCAATCGGGTACCCGATACCCGTACCCGGCCGGGTACGGGTAAGGAATCAAAACCCGTTTGCGACCTCTGCCGAGCGCACGGACGCGGCGCCGGTCGCGCCGGCACCGCTCTGCAGTGACCTCCTCTGTCTTTGTCTCCACGACCCTCGCAGTCCCCGAGTCCGTCCGGCAGCAGTACCTCGACAACATCCGCTGGATCAAGGAAGCGCACAAGCACAACCTGGTGAGCCGGCGTGGGTGCGGCGGCGGCGTTCGCTGATCGTTGCCGAGGTTCGCGGTTCAAGTCCGGCGGCCGCCCTGGTTAATCCTTGCGCTGGTGGGCAGCGTATGAAGCAACCGTGATAATAGTGCTGCTGGGCACCGTCTGCTTCACTCGCGGTGGCCGTTACAGATCCCGTGACGCCATTCGGAAAGAGTTGGCCATCGTGCGCCCCGCGTCACGGTCCGAATTTGAAAATAGATCGCTCCGCAAACGACTCGACTGGGTGTACAGGCGGGCGGCAGCCGTCGCCCCCCTCCTGCTGCTAAGGTGTGAGAGGACCCTCCTGGATTTGGCTCGGGGTTCTCGGCGAGGCTCTCCTGGGTTAGTGGAGCGCGGGGGTGGCGGTCCCACCCCCGTGGCCGCGGGGTTGGTGTCACCGGTGGACGCGGGGTTGCCGTCCGTGGCCGCAGGTCGTTGGCTCGCAGGCGCGGATCCTCTACTCCGACCAGGTTGGCCGCGCCGCCCTCGCCGACGCCTTCAACAGCGCGGTCGCCGACGGGAAACTCCGGGTGAGAATTCGCGCCGATCGACCGCAACCTACAAAACCGCTAACCGTGTCCGGAGCCCGACGACCAGGTTCCCAAAGTCCGGAGTCGGAGCGAACTGCGGGTTCACGCGACTTCATCCCAGCTCGAAGACAACGTTGTGTTGCTGCCGGCGACGCCAGCTCGCGGTGGTGAGCGTGCGTTGGCGAGCGCGGGGTGTAACGGTGACGACGCGGCGCTGCGTTCCGACTCCCGCAGGGCCCAGTGGTCATCAGCCGCGACCATCACGACGTGAGCGGCACCGACAGCCCCTTCCGCGAGACGTCCAACGTCTACGACGGCTCGGCCTTCTGCGCAGGCAAGGGGCTCGCGGCATCATCATCGCCTCTCGCTCGCGCTCGTAACACGCGCTGGTAACACGCGCTCATTCGCCAACTCGCTCAACGATATACCTACCTCTCCCCCCCCCCTCCCATCGACCTCTCACCCTCAGACATGGCCGTGCAGAACTTTGTGGGCGACGCTTTCCGCGGGGCCACGTGGGTGGCGCTGCACAACGGCGGCGGCGTCGGATGGTACGACGCCCGCCGCTCCGCTCCCCCTTCACTCGCTCCTCCTGCACCGCTGCCCCCCTGCACCCCCCCCCACCACTCACTCGCTCCGACTGCACCCCCCCACCCGCACTACTCCACCACTCCCACTCACTCGCTCCAACTGCACCGCTGTCCCCCTGCACCCCCCCCCCCGCTCCAACTGCACCATGGTTTCTCAGCACGGCCCAAAACGGCAAGCGGCCAGCAACAAACAGCACCGTCAAAGATATTTATCGATGACGAGTACCTAAACCGGTGCGGTGTGAAGATACCAGCACTTGGGGAGACAACGGAGGGCAGGCGTGGTGCTGGCCACACCACTCCCCCGTGCGTCCCATTGGCCTTCACAGACGGCGTGCGCTAAATGTCAGTGCTGGGTGGGACGTGCGAACAGGAGGGGCGGCCACCGGAGGACTGGTCTCCGTGAGCCCGGCGGCCAAGGGGAAGAGAATAGCCGAGGGGGGCACGTGGTGCGAGATGCTGTCAGGGCAGCAGGGGGCCGATGGGGCTCTTTACGAGTCCACGAGGCTCGGAGCAGATGGTGAGACTGTCCCTCGTGCAGGTCTTTGGAGGGCATCGCGCATCTCCTGCGCGGCATCTCCGAGATCCAACGGAGGGGGAGAACGCGTCGCGATGACCTCTTGATGACTTCTTGATTGATCCGAACATCAGTTGCCCCCAACAGTCTGCTAAGGGCCATGCGGGGGTGGTTTTTGTCCTTGCAGGGGTGAGGTCATCAACGGTGGCTTTGGGCTGGTGCTGGACGGGTCGAGCGACGCGGCCCAGCGCGCTGCCCGCATGCTGCACTGGGACGTGATGAACGGGGTCAGTGCTGTGACCTCCCACAGCTCCAGACACACCACCGCCACCTGCTGCGTCGGTGCGATGGGTTGGTGTCGGTGTGATGTCACGATGACGTGTCAGTGCGATGGGTTGGTGTGACGTCGCCATGACGTGTCAGTGCGATGGGTTGGTGTGACGTCGCCATGACGTGTCAGTGCGATGGGTTGGTGTGACGTCGCCATGACGTGTCAGTGCGATGGGTTGGTGTGACGTCGCCATGACGTGTCAGTGCGATGGGTTGGTGTGACGTCGCCATGACGTGTCAGTGCGATGGGTTGGTGTGACGTCACCATGACGTGTCAGCGCGTGTTTGTGCGACGCTTGTGCGACGTTTGTGCGGTCCCTGCAGGTGGCTCGCCGGTGCTGGGCAGGGAACGACACGGCTCGCGACACCGTCACACGGGAGGCAGCGCGGCACGCGGACCTGCGCGTCATACTTCCCCACCACCCAGCAGACTCAACGCTCCTGGACAGGGTCACTGGCAGTGGCTGCGGCAGCAACACCTTCTAGCACCCGCAGCAACACCACCACTCTCGCAGCAGCAGCAACAACACCACCACCACTCTAGCAGCAGCACCAACAGCAACAGCAACACGACCACCCTCTAGCAGCACCACCACCACTCTAGCAGCAGCAGCTCCGATTACTGCCGCACGGCGAGAATGGTCCCGAGTGTCGCCGTGGGTTACTCGTGGAATTTAACTCGGCAACTCTTCACCTACAATGTGTCTCCGCACACAAATTAACATTTTTTTTTTTACAAATCCCATCAGCCACATGGCCTCCTTGGGAGCACATTCTTCTCAACAGCATTGGTTTCATACGAGCAACGCTGCGGCCGGTTTTGACTGTCAGCGTCTCATCACCAGTCGGGCTTGCTCGAACCCAACACTGATGAACTGCCAGATTTTATTTTTCGATTTAAAGCGTTTGTGACTGCAGGGATTCATCTTCTTGGTTCTTTCGGTAAAGTCACGTAGAATTGAAATAATAAAAATATTTTATTATTTTTTCTTTTTATCATTTCATAACAAAAATAAAATGTTATTGTGTTTATTTTAATTATTTTATTATTTCAATTCTACGTGACTTTACCGAAAGAACCAAGAAGATGAACTGCCAGATGTTAATTGGCAAGGGTCCTCTCTGTTTTATACACGTGCTGGTTCAATGCAACACTTGGTGCTGCGCAGATCAATCCGTGGGGGTGGCTGTGGAGTCAAGCAGAGAACGAGCAGCCCCCCCCCCCCCTTGCTTGTGCTGAACTAATGCTGCTGAAAAAAACTCACTCCCAGGTGGGCTGCACAGCTTCTGCCATTCCCCTAAAGCCCAGGTTGAATAGCTGTGCGCTGCAGAACTGATCAACACAGAACCCTCACACATCCCACACACGAGATTCGCGCACGTGTCCTGCTTGCTGGAAGAACGCCGTCTAAGAAGTGTGGACTCATCGCCTTCTGTAGGGGATGGCCAAACGGCCCTGTGGCACACCTTTAAAGGCTCTGGTAATTATTGCCCACAGGAGACAGACCAGGTAAATACATTCAATAAAATGCAGATTCAGAAATAAGTTAAAAGTAAAGTTCTGATTCAGATGACGTTTTAATTCCAAGTATCTGTACACAACAAATAAAAGCATACGTTTGAAGGTGGAGTGTCACTGCTTCCCCCTCCATAGTCACCAGCAGGTCTCCCCCCCCCCCCCCCCAACTGCTGCCTGTGTGTCGCTGTGGCCCAGAGGTCGCAATCAGGTACTCGATACCTGTACCCTACCCGATACCCGGCTACCCGTACCCGGTCGGGTATCGGGTAGGGTACGGGTAGGGTACGGGTACCCGTTTGCGACCCTGGTGCGGCCGGGTACGGGTAAGGAATCAAAACCCGTTTGCGACCTCTGCTGTGGCCTCAGCATCACCGTCACCCCAGTCACTTTCAGCCCTCCCCCCCCCACCAATGTTGCCACTGCCCCCCCCCCCCCCCCACCAATGTTGTCACTGTCACTGCCCCCCTCCCCATCACTGTCACCCGCGCATCACTCCAGCATTGCGGTGCCATCTGTCATGGGCGCCAGCTGCATCATCTCCACGTCCCTCGAGGCCGAATGCTGGAGCTCGCGCCGCACCTCGCCCGTCACGGCGGGGTGGCCGTGCACCTTGATGAGCTCCAGCAGCGCCTCCTTCTGCTCGGAGGAGAGGTCCTCCTTGTAGCGCTGTGTCAGCACCAACAGAGCCTGGTGCCACAGCACGGGCAGCGTGCGCCGGTCGGCGCGGAAGCGCAGGAAGTGACACACGAGGGCGTCCAGCACGCGGTACGGCAGCGCGTACTTCTTGTCGAGGAACAGGCGCAGGAAGACGCTGTTGGCGCCGCTGTACTCCATCTCGGCGATCTTCAGCAGTGCGGCGCTGCACACGCGCAAAGACGATGGCACAGATTCGGCGAGCGGCCTACAGAAAAGCTGGTGGGGCAGGTCGCTGTTAGAGGGCACCTAGGAATGCTGGCACGGCGCACGAGTACTATATTCTGATTTCCTCCCACGGGTATACAACATCTCAATACAGCACCACAGAGCTGGAGAGGTTGTCTCCCTTCCCGCGCTCTTAATAATAATTTAAACGTATAAAGAGCCACTATGAGACCTCCTTTACCAGTGGCAAAATATAGTAGTAGGTTTTTACCCTTTAAACTGGCACAAAACTGACACCTTTATACAAGGCATCATGTTTGCAATAACCACAACACAAATGCAAACAAAAAGAAACAACTCTGATAATGATAGTGCATATCATTATCGATTTAAAGCTTTCGTGACTGCAGGGATTCATCTTCTTGGTTCTTTCGGTAAAGTCACGTAAAAGGGAAGTAATAAAATAATAAAAATAAAACATAATAAAATATTTTATTATTTTATTGTTTTATTTTTATTATTATAACCAAGAAGACATATCATTATCATCATCAGAGTTGTTTCTTTTTGTTTGAATTTTGACTGCTTGTGGTGGTTATTTCAAACATGGGACCAGTTTAAAGGGTAAAAACCTTTCTGGTTCCCCGCGCCTCGGTGTGGAAATCAACCGAGCTACAAACATTACAGCGGTGGCTGGCTTGAGACGCAGTTTGCATGACCGCCGTTTAGAGTCGTCAATAGTTATGGGGTAGTCTGCTGAGGTGGTGATGAGGGTGAGGGTGGGCACCTGGAGTGCAGCACGGGGATGGAGGACTTGGAGAGGATGCTGCCGACGATGATGGCCTCTCTGAGGGTGCAGGTGCCCGACTCGCACAGAGGGAGCAGAATCCCTGCGCCCGGCAGCGACGAGAGAGAGAGAGAGAGGAGCGGACAAGTCAAGCACCGCGCTTGCGCCACGCCGGCTCGCCGCGTGCGTTGTTGCCACCGCACCACCCGGGTGCCGTGTGCAAGCGCCTCACCTTTGAACCAGGCCCCAGGCTTGAACAGGGCCTTCTTGAGCGCCATGTAGAGGTGGAAGTTGAGGCGCTTGTATTCGGCGATGTCATCGCGTACGCGCGGCAGCAGCACGAGGTTGAAGAAGCGCTGCGCCATCCGCTCCTTCAAGTTCGACGTGAAGATCCTGCAGCACAGACCCCCACACTCCGTCACAACAAACACCTGCACAAGGCAGCCCACACCTCCACCGGACTCCGTCCTTCAGAGCTGTTCCCTCCCTGCTAAAGCGAGCACTGTGTCAATGGTGCTCATTCTATATTTGAAGCTTTCGTGACTGCAAGTATTCATATTCTTAGGTTATGGTAAGGTGCGGCTTGAGACTACGGCTAGTCTACATAACAAAGGACTGGGCATTACCATAATAAAGGCTCAGTCTTTTGTTAAGTAGACTAGCCGTAGTCTCAAGCCGCACCTTACCATAATAATATAAAGTGGGCCGTTCCTGGCCAATCCCCCCCCCCTCAACCAGTATATATACGGGGTAGTATCTCTTGGAATCTCTCATTTACTTGATACGGCAAGCGTGCTGTGACGGTTCCACCTGAAGACGGAAGCTTGTGTTGCCTCCGAAACGTCGTGATTTTTATTTTTATTTTACTTTTATTAATTTTAATGGTGCTCATCTCGTGTTCGTTTAGAGCCTTGAGCCACTGGGGGAAATACCACATTCTTATGGCAGGGGCAAGTCGATTTATAAAATAACCATTGTTAACTTCGCAACGAGATAAAAAAAGTAACCACATTACAGAAGAACTTGAAAACTATTTAGGTTAAACAGATTTTACCGTTACAAAAGTTGGCTCGACCAAATTCCTTTTAAAACCGTTCAGTCACATTAAGTTACTTCCGTTTTGTTGTACACACCATGCGCTTCAGAAGCCAACATCTTATAGCGTTTACCCAATGGCTCCCAAGCTTGGTAGCCTCTCCCAGGTGGATCCAAGCCTTGGTAGCCTCTCCTAAACGGATCCCAGCCCTCGTAGTCTCTACCAGGTGGCTCCCAGCCCTCGTAGTCTCTACCCAGTGACTCCCAGCCCTGGTAGTCTCTATCAGGTGGCTCCCAGCCCTCATCGTCCCTACCCAGTGACTCCCAGCCCTGGTAGTCTCTACCAGGTGGCTCCCAGCCCTGGTAGTCTCTACCAGGTGGCTCCCAGCCCTGGTAGTCTCTACCCAGTAGCTCCCAGCCCTGGTAGTCTCTACCCAGTAGCTCCCAGCCCTGGTAGTCTCTACCCAGTGACTCCCAGCCCTGGTAGTCTCTACTCAGTAGCTCCCAGCCCAGGTAGTCTCTACCCAGTGACTCCCAGCCCTGGTAGTCTCTACCCAGTAGCTTCCAGCCCTGGTAGTCTCTACCCAGTGACTCCCAGCCCTGGTAGTCTCTACCCAGTAGCTTCCAGCCCTGGTAGTCCCTACCTGGTGGCCTGGTAGACTGCCGCTGCCGACCAACTCTCGGGCTCCGTGACGTACAGAATCTGCTCCCAGTTTGAGAGCGCCGGGATGATTTTGAAGGCCTTGGGAAGCTTCCCACTTCTGTATTTTGTTAAGATCTGCAAAGGCAAATTTGGAAACAAAACTACTGTCACAAACGTGGCAAGCTGCACCGACGTGTTACCGTCGCGCACTTGAGAGCGGGCGTGCAGAGGAGCGCGGCGCCAGTTCCCGTGACCCCTCTTCTCTCACGTCCCATTGACCCTGTCGGCTCCAGTCTCATTCCCTCTTTTGGCCTAAACATCCGCGTCTAGTTTGGACATTTCGTAAATGATTGATTCTTCAACATGCGATTCGATGCAGGTATTCCCATCGAAATGATGTCAATCGATGAACTGTTCAATTCCATCTTCTTACCGCTGCCAAATACTCGCACATGGCATACAAGTGCGTCCTGATGACCCGTTGTCACGGTTGCAATAGGTCATCAGGATGCACAGGCTTTCATCTTCTTGGTTCTTTCGGTAAAGTCACGTAGAAGGGAAATAATAAAATAAAACATAACAAAATAATTCTCACGTTTCGGCCACAACGCAAGCAGCCGTCCTCAGGTGAAGAACAGGTCTGTCGGGGAGACAGCGTCTGAATGAGAGATCTGTAAAGGCAAATTCAGATGCTGTCTCCCCGACAGACCTGGTCTTCACCTGAGGACGGCTACTTGCGTTGTGGCCGAAACGTCGTGAGAATTATTTTATTATGTTTTATTTATTTTATTTTATTATTTCCCTTCTACGTGACTTTACCGAAAGAACCAAGAAGATGAATCCCTGCAGTCACGAAAGCTTTAAATCGAAAGATGCACAGGCTGGCTGGCGACCTCGGCCGCTCCTCTCCCGCCGTCTCTCTAACCTCGCGCACGCCTTTGTAGACTTCGAGCACGCGCGGGTCCAGCGCCGGCATGGGTCGCCCCGTGGCCTCCGACAGCGCCGACGCCACCTCCGTCTGCTTCTCAGTGATCTTCTCCATGATGATGTCCGCCAGCGTCTGCCTGCCCGGACGCATGGATGGACACGCGCGTTAACATGTACGTGCGTTAACATGTACGTGCGTTAACATGTGCGCGCGCACACAAACGTGCCTACACACAAACACATGGCACACAAAGACCCTCCACATAGCATTAACAGACTGTTGGGGAAAGTACTGTTAGCGAGCACTCGTGAACATCAGCACCGCACACAAGGGGGTGAGTGGCCAGCACCACACAAGGCTGCCTTTATCTCACCAGTTGCAATGTTTCAACACTGCACCAGGTACTCATTTGAGGCCAAGTCGACCTAGGGGAGGCCCAGGACTGGTTTCAGATAATCGTCACTGGTGTTGGCCAAGAAAGGGAATCGAACTCGGGTCGCCGGGTTCATAGCGCTGCCGCTGCCCACATGCGCAGTGCTTGCGTGCGCACACATTCCCACACAAATCCAGAGATACACACACACACACGAACATATCCACACTTATAAACTACGGCCTCATCACACGGCAACTCATATTTTTAGAATTTCTCGATCTTAATTCGCTTGCGTTACGTTAAATTCGAATTCGTGGAAATGTTTCATCTATGCATTTCACGGTATTCAATGTTTACTAGATTCCTACACTCTCCACGCTGGGGCTTTGTGTACTGGTAAGTGCTGTACTGTTTTTTTATTTTGCAACTTATGGAGTATTATTATATAAAATGTTCTATTTCCCATTAAATATGCGCGATAAAAATGTTTGCTGCATTAAGTGTGATTTTTTTATTACAGTAAAACCTTGGATTGCGAGTAACTTGGTCTGCGAGTGTTTTGCAAGACGAGCAAAATTTTAAAATAAATATTAATTTGATAAACGAGCGAGGTCTTGCAATACGAGTAGCACGTGTGTACGCTTTGTCTGCCGAGCGTCACGTGATCACAACTGATATACGAGTGCTTTGGATTACAAACACGATTCCGGAACGAATTATGCTCGCAATCCAAGGTTTACTGTATTATTTTTTCTTCAGGCCATATTTATTTCCTCCGAAGGAACGCATCTCCGATTCTATGATTTAAGTCAATGGGACAAGGGATAGACATACGACGGAATTTCGCTCTGCGGCCAACTTTTTAGGAACATAACAGTTCTGTATGTCGAGAGATGCCCGTAGAGCGGTCTATCAATGCACACACACACACACCGACCTTTGGCGCATGTTCCCCGCACCTCCAATCCCCCCGCACCTCCGATTAGGACGGTCGGCTCCGCACAGTGCGCGAAATAAGTTCAACATACATACATACGGGCACACAAACGTCTAATGGCTTGCGCACAAACCCAGAGATGCGCCACGTGCAATAGACAGGGCGCCCCACGTACACACGCACGAACCACAGCGCGGCACCGTCCACCCAACACCGCCGTGTGGCCTCCACAGGGCCTCTGGTCCTTACCTGGCTGGCGGGTTCTTGTTCATGAACATCTCGATGGCGCGCTCATCTTCGGCGTCCACCTCCACGCACTCGTACGGGTGCCCGCCCGTGCCGCGCGCGAGGGCCGCGCTCTGGGACAACGAGGGCCACTCCTCGTCCGCCTCCTCCTCCTGCTCCTCGTCGTCCGACGATCCAGAGCCCCCATCCCGCACGGCCGCACCTGCAACACCAACGGGGGGGGGGAAGGGGAAACGTGCAGCCTGAGGCCCAGGGCTCTCGCCACGAGTGGTCGTGCACAGCGGCCCGCGCCTGCACTCATCCTGACTCTTACGTTAAGAGCAGGGCCCATAGATTGCACACACAGGACCAACGGGGTAGACACACACAGGACCTACGGGGTACACACACAGGGACCTACGGGGTAGACACACACAGGACCTACGGGGTACACACAGTGTACTCCATGGATGGAGTACACTGGATGGAGTACACTCACAATCCCCAGAGTTGACACACGCGTGTGTCAGTCGGGTGGACATGGGTGGAGGAATCATCGAGCCACGGTCACGTGAACTGCAGCCGCAGTTAGCGATAGTCGAGTTACAAGGCGCTGAGCGAGCGAGGGGCTGCTGTGAATCCTCCGCGAGTGCATCGATGGGGAGGGACCTTCTTGGCGTTGTTCTCGGATGTTTGCACAGCGTTTGGTGTCCGGTGCTTTTTTCTGGAAGACTTTGAAGTTTTTTCTGGATTTTTATGTTTGCGCAAAGTCACATTAAGATGTTTTTTTGTTTCATGTTTTTTGTTTGTTGCGGTTGCACCCGATTCAAGAGCCGAATGGCTCACAGGGCTGTGCCTAATGAATGAAACTGAAAAACTCTGGTCCGACACTGGTGAGACGAGGCCACGGAGAAGGCTGTCGCCTCTGGTGTAGAGGCCAATCCGTGTCAAAGGCAATGCCATGCGCTATCAGAGCGCGTCTGTGAGCGCGTCTTGCCGCACGTAATGTGTGTGGACGATGCAGTACTCGATCTACAGCTGTACAAGCATTTAGTGCTTGAACATGTTATAATAACACCCGTGTCCTTGCCAGAAAGGGTCACACACATTATTATTACTTGTAACAATCAAGCGAGTGCCTGGCTCACGACTCGCCCCCGACTGTGCACCCACCGAGCCGCGTGATCTTGGCGGCGGAGCGGCGTCCCACGCGCGCTCCCTCCGGCCCCGTCTCCCCCTCCTCCCCCTGCTGCTCCTCTTCCTCCTCCTCCTCCTGCTGCTGCTCCCTCGCCTGCTGCAGGATCTTGGCCGTCAGCGCGTCGTCGACGAACGCGTCCTCGGGCCTCGCTCGCTCGGGCCGCGGGGCCCGCGGGGCTCGGGGCGCCGAGCGGCTCATCGCGATCTGGTCGGCCAGGCCCAGAGTTCGGCCCGTGTCACGGGCGCGCTTCTCCTTGGGCATGGCTCACGCGTGGAGGGAGGCCGCTGCTTGCTGCTGATGCTGCAGAGTATAGGGGTGCTGCTGCTGATATCGGCGATGCCGATGGTGCTGGCGAGTGCTGATGGCTGCTGCTGCTGCTGCTGCGAGTAACGCGCTAAACCCGCACGGCACTCACAGGCGAGTGTGAGTGCGCTCGGGAGCCGTGTCTATACCGCGCGGAGTAATCAAGGGCAGCACTCGGCAGAGAAGCTTCGAGGCGTAATCTGTGGCTCTCACCCCCCCGCCCGCCGCCCGCTACTCCGGGAGTCGCAGGCGAGACTCGAAGGCCGCGTGTCGCCTGGCGGCTCTCCCCGACACGTGGTGCTCGCGGTGCTCGCCTCGTCGCCGCCACTTCCGGGAGGGGACGTCACTTCCGGAAGAGCGAGAACTTCTGGTGGGAGGGGGTTGGGTGGGGGAGGGGGTTGGGGGGGAGGGGGTTGGGTGGGGGAGGGGGTTGAGTGGGGGAGGGGGTTGGGGGGGAGGGGGTTGGGTGGGGGAGGGGGTTGGGTGGGGGAGGGGGTTGGTGGGGGAGGGGGTTGGGTGGGGGAGGGGGTTGGGTGGGGGAGGGGGTTAGGGGGGAGGGGGTTGGGTGGGGGAGGGGGTTGGTGGGGAGGGGGTTGGGGGGGAGGGGGTTGGGTGGGGGAGGGGTTTGAGTGGGGGAGGGGGTTGGGTGGGGGAGGGGGTTGGGTGGGGGAGGGGGTTGGTGGGGGAGGGGGTTGGGGGGGAGGGGGTTGGGTGGGGGAGGGGGTTGGGTGGGGGAGGGGGTTAGGGGGGAGGGGGTTGGGTGGGGGAGGGGATTGGTGGGGGAGGGGGTTGGGGGGGAGGGGGTTGGGTGGGGGAGGGGGTTGGGTGGGGGAGGGGGTTAGGGGGGAGGGGGTTGGGTGGGGGAGGGGGTTGGGTGGGGGAGGGGGTTGAGGGGGAGGGGGTTGGGGGGGAGGTGGTTGGGTGGGGGAGGGGGTTGGGTGGGGGAGGGGGTTGGGGGGGAGGGGGTTGGGTGGGGGAGGGGGTTGGGTGGGGGAGGGGGTTGGGGGGGAGGGGGTTGCGTGGGGGAGGGGGTTGAGTGGGGGAGGGGGTTGGAAGGGAGGGGGTTGGGTGGGGGAGGGGGTTGGGGGGGAGGGGGTTGGGTGGGGGAGGGGGTTGGGTGGGGGAGGGGGTTGGAAGGGAGGGGGTTGGGTGGGGGAGGGGGTTGGGGGGGAGGGGGTTGGGTGGGGGAGGGGGTTGGGTGGGGGAGGGGGTTGGGTGGGGGAGGGGGTTGGGGGGGAGGGTCACAGAGAGGGAGTGGGTGGGTCAGGGGGGAGATTTTGTGTGGGGGGGTTGAGTGTGGGGGAGTGGGTGGGGAGGGGGTTGGGTGGGGGGGTTGAGTGTGGGGGAGTGGGTGGGGAGGGGGTTGGGTGGGGGGGTTGAGTGTGGGGGAGTGGGTGGGGAGGGGGGGAGGGGGTTGGGTGGGGGGGTTGAGTGTGGGGGAGTGGGTAGGTCGGGGGGGAGGGGGTTGGGTGGGGGGGTTGAGTATGGGGGAGTGGGTGGGTCGGGGGGGAGGGAGTGGGTTGGGTGGGGAGGGGGTTGAGTGGGGGGCCAGCAGTGTCATGTGGACCGTCTCGAGTAAAATCCCAGGTGACGGTGTCTCTCGTGACTTTAAGCTTTCGTGACTGCAGGAATTCATATTATTTGGGTCTTTCGGTAAAGTCACGTAGATAGGCAATATCCTGGTGTCTACAGACTACGTTGTGGCTGCGGCAGCAGTTACATTGGGGAAACCAAACGACATGTCTCGGACCTTGTTCGCGAACACAAGGCAGATCTGAAGCACGGTAGGACCAATACCTTTGTCGTTGCGGATCATTGTTTTAACGCTGTGGGCACACACGAAATATATTTTACAAGACAAAGGTACTCTGCAAACCCACTGGCTATCATCAGAGATTTGTTCATGAAGCCATCCAGATATATAAACACAGACACAACTTCAACCGAGAAGATGGGTACAAATTGAGCAATCATTGGAAGGACGTGATTAACCAGGTAAAGCCTTAACCTGCTGTGATGTTTACATCTTTCCTGCGATTTTAGCTGACTCTCTGAGTTGCATGTCTTTGTATTGACGGGCTGGATGTCCTTCTCGCTCAGTCACCGATGCTGCGGCATACGAAGCTCGTGCATTGACATGCTAATCTCTCACAATACAATAGCCACTTCCACAGCCTCAGGGAGACCATCTCTAGCACCGCCCTCTTACCCTGAAGCTGCACCCATCTCAGGCCTATATAAGACCTTGTTTCAGTAGCTTTCTCTCTCACCTGAAGACGGTCGCTTGTGTTGCGATTGAAACGTCGTGCTCTATTAATTTTCTATCTACGTGACTGACTTTACCGAAAGAACCAAAGAGTATAAGAATAAAATAAACAAAAAACTACGACGTTTGGATCGATCATCTTTATCCTGATGACGAGCTGATGACCGATGATTGCTCTGTTTGTACCCATCTCCTCGGTTGAAATTGTGTCTGTGTTTATATATCTGGATCGCTTCATGGACAAATCTTTGATGGTAGCCCGAAGGTTTGCAGAGTACCTTGGTCTCGGAAAAAACAATATCATTAAGCTTTTGCATCCTTAAAAATTGGTCGATTCCCGTTTAATCGAGCATTGGCTTGTTCAAAATGTCTATTCCCGTTCCAGTATTCCTTATACGGGCAAAGCCACGCCCGAAGACTCCGTATATTGGCCGAAAACATTTACATTTAACATTCATTCTGTCGCGGATTCATTGTATCCTGTCACAGCGCCACCAGCTGGACCACGTGTCGCCGCCCAATGTGACGTTACAATGTCACGTGACATTCGAGGTGACAACGCACGGTCATGTGACGTGATATGACACGAGGCATCTTTTGTGAATGACACCTGGAATGACACCGAGAGCTCCACAGACTTTATTGGACGTCAATCAGCTTGAAAATTAGCATACACACGTTCGTGCTTCAATCAAAAATAATCTCACATAATATACTGTGTTCTCAAAAATCATATATCTGTGGAAGCGGAGCATGTGTGCTGATGTGCGCTGTGAGAGGAGAGGGTGAGTGGCCGTGTCTGTTCTGCGAGTGGTGTGTACCGGTGTACATGTAGTCTCATCAGCTATTCTAAGCTAAGCAAAGTTGAGCCTGGCTAGTAAATGTATGTATGGGAGACTGTCTTGGAATACCAGGTGTTGTAGGCTGATGCATCGAGGGCCCCAGGTAGTACAGTACAACAATGCATTTAATCGGTTTAACACTTAGGCTTTCACGACCAATATCATCTATATTATTATGCATTTAATCGGTGTATGGAGCTGTGTCAGCTGCTTGCATGCGTGGGTTTTCTCCAGGAGACTCTGATTTACTCCTACATGAAGCCAAACACTCGTGAATAGGGTTTGGCCAAAGATCCCAATGTAGCAAGACCTTCCTGAAAAAAAAGTCTTGAGACTCGGTGAGGCTTTTCTGGATCAACACGGGCATTATTACTCCAGTTAGAATTACTTTAGCCGGCTAGGTATTGTTTCATGGGGTATGAAATTCATTTTGGGAGGCGGATTTCAGGCCGGTCCAGACCTCCCTCGCGTTCTCGCGTGAATCGGAAAATGGGACAAATTCATGGCCTACGTAGAATTGTGTTAAGCGGTTCAGCACTCCGGCCCCTGGACCCTAAGCAGCGGGCATATGAGCTCAGATGTTTGAAACGGATGGTGGGAATTAAGTGGCGAGACGGGAGAAGTCCAGAAGAGAACTTGGCAAAAACGACCGCTCTGGGTGGGATGTGTGCAGGATAGGGGAGGGCCGACTACCAAAACGGGTATTGGAAGGGTCTTCAGGAGTCCGGCGACGAGGGTAAGGTCTAAGACCAGATGGTTACATACGGATTCTGCTAAGGCGGAGGATTCTGGGTTTCTGCGAGGCTGTGGCTCTCTGAATAAGTCTAGTGCCTCGAACAGCAGATATTGTTCGGGTGGTTTTTGGAGGTTTTGAGTCTACTGTGCAGCAGCCGGCAGAGGGTATACAGTGATGTCATTGATGACTTTGGCCAGGATGACGCCTTCGTCTTGATCTCGAGTTTAAATTATGCTGGCACACGGCGCGCGCAAAGAGGGCGAGCTGAGCGAGCACGCCGTCGGCGAATCCGGCCTCGACTCGGGCAGGTCCTTGAGCCGGTAGCAGTTGATGTACGGCTCGGCCACCTGCCACACCTGCAAGGGGCACACAGACGGCGCGTCGGAGCGTGAGCGCCTCGAAGAGGACGAGAGGACCCGACGGAGCACCTCCGTTGATGTGCTGCTCCTACCTTCTCCTCCACGAGCATCCGGTGCACGGCCTCTATGTCCGGAGCCATGAAGCGGTCCTTTATCCAGGGCCTGCGACGCACGCACACGCACACGTCCAGTCGCACACACTGCACAACAACAACCACCGTTGCTATGAAGTGGCAGCGACGACACCGCAGCGCTTGCGTGGGGGTGGGACACGCAGCCGCTGCCGTGCGCGGCCTCGCTCGTCGTACCTGACGCTGCTGCGGACCAGGTCGTAGACTTTCTCCAGCGGGGTGGTCGTGCGCAGAGGCCGCAGGAACTCGATGCCCTGGCACGCGGCCAGCAGCTCGATGGCCAACACTGGCAGAGACACACGTGGCACATGGATACGTGAGCGGGACGTGACACTGTGTGTGTGTACAAGGTTTGTGTAGACACACACAGTGTGTATACACGGTGTGTGTGTGTCTACACAGTGTGTATACACAGTGTGTGTGTACACTATGTGTGTATACACAGTGTGTGTGTACACTATGTGTGTATACATAGTGTGTGTGTACACTATGCGTGTATACACGGTGTGTGTGTGTGTGTGTGTTTACACAGTGTGTATACACAGTGTGTGTGTACACTATGCGTGTGTAATAAAAGACTCCGTCAGGCAGTGCTGGTCTCCGTTGGTCTTTTATTTAGGTTCTTTCTCCGCACCCCGCTGGTTTCCTCCGTAGACCAGCGTCGTCTCGCGCGCGCCCCGCACGCGCTCCCTCGTCAGCTCCTCCACTCCTCACACCCCGCTGGTCCTGACAAGGGACCAGCGTCTTCTCTCGCGCGCCGCGCACGCTTCTCCGTTAGCTCCTCCACTCCCGCACTCCGCACACCGCTGGCCGACGGCGTGCTGAGGTCCTTCGGCCACGTGGCCGATGGCGCGGATCTCTCTCATCACCCAACGTGGCTCAGCCTCTTAACTTCCCCAACTGACCCCGATCTCTTCTGGGCTCCCACTTATATACATTCCCCCCCACGTGACCCTGACTCCTCCCCTTCCGGATCGTCATATCCGGAATTCCCATACTGCCTTGCTGGCTCCGCCCCCATTCACCTCGCCTCCCATTGGAGCCGAGGTGAACGGTGGCCCCTCCCACACGCCCCGCAGACCAGGCTCCGCCCCCCAATACCCCGGGCCGTGTGATTGGGCCAGAGCCCAGCAACAACCCCATTTACGCTCGCATTACACGTGTGTACACGGTGTGTGTGTGTACACTATGCGTGTGTACACGGTGTGTGTGTAGGTACACTATGTGTGTATACACGGTGTGTGTGTGTACACTATGAGTGTGTGTACATAGTGTGTGTGTGTACACTATGAGTGTATACACAGTGTGTGTGTCTACACAGTGTGTATACACAGTGTGTGTGTACACTATGCGTGTGTACACGGTGTGTGTGTGTACACTATGCGTGTATACACGGTGTGTGTGTGTGTGTACACTATGCGTGTATACACGGTGTGTGTGTCTACACTATGCGTGTGTACACAGTGTGTGTGTGTGTGTACACTATGTGTGTATACACTGTGTGTGTGTGTCTACACAGCGTGTGTACACTATGCGTGTGTACACAGTGTGTGTGTGTGTACACTATGCGTGTGTACACGGTGTGTGTGTGTACACTATGTGTGTGTACACTATGTGTGTGTGTACACTATGTGTGTATACACTGTGTGTGTGTCTACACAGCGTGTGTACACTATGTGCGTGTGTACACGGTGTGTGTGTGTACGCTGCAGAGTGCTTCACACCCTGCTCCACGTGCTCGATGACGCGCAGGGCCTTGCGCGCGGCCCAGCCGCCCATGGACACGTGGTCCTCGGTGGCCGCGCTGGTGGAGAGGGAGTCGACGGACGAAGGGTGGCACAGACACTTGTTCTCCGACACTGCGGGGACCGGAGACACCACGGCCGCACATCCCGCACATCCCGCAGTCACACGGGCCACGCACGGACCCGTCCCCCCCGTCCTAATCCGCGTTCCCGCATTGGTGGATGAGACGCTGTCCACGAGGCGTCCGCGCGTGCCCCTGCGTACCGAGCGAGGCGGCGGTGCAGTGCGCGACCATGAAGCCCGAGTTGAGGCCTCCTTCGTTGACGAGGAACGCGGGCAGCTCGCTCAGGGACGGGTTGCACAGCCGCTCGATCCTCCGCTCGCTGATGGCCGCCAACTCGTGCACTCCGATCGCCAAGTAGTCCAGCACCTGGCGCAACGGGCCCACCGCACCGCCACACGGGGAATGGCCAGAGTCAAGCAAAAGGTGACGAGAACCAAAAAATTATTGCTTCAGTTTTATTGAGCTGACGAGAGCTCAAGCTCATGCAACCTACACGCGGGCAGAGAGACGTTGCCCGTCAACTGCCCGCCGTGTGAGAGGAGAGGAGGTCAGTTTAACACGTAGGCTTTCGCGACCAATATTATTCATAATCAACGTTTTTGGGTTTAGATCGCGTTATTTATAAATGTGTGATTATGAAGGAGAGGAGGTGACTGACCTTCGCAGGGTATTCTCCGTGGAAGTTGCCCCCAGAGATGGTCTCACCTCGCTCGTAAAACACCATCTCGCGCTGCTGTCAAGGATCGTGAGGCTGATGTGTGCGTGTGTGTGCTCGTGTGTGTGCGTGTGTCACTGGTGTATAGGTGTTGTTGGTGGTGTTTTTGTGTCTGTTGCTGGTGTGTATATATATGTGCCTCAATTATTGGAAGTAGTCACCTGCTGTGAGTGGCTGGCTGAAGTGACATCTGTTCAGCAAGTCTGAGACCAGGAAAAGCAGTGGGCAGAGATGATCTCCCAAGCAAATTGCTCAGGGAGGGTGGCATTTGTGTGCAGAGTGCCCGATATGACATCATTATAACAGTCTGTACCACTGGATGGGTTCTGCAAGATGGGAAGGATGCCCTGGTGATCGCCCCCTTAAGAAGGGGGGCCGCACAGACTGTAACAACCACAGTGTGCCGGGAAACGTCCTGGGAAATATTCAACATCGCCTTGCCAGGCACGCTGAGGAGAGGCTTGCAGAGCCCCAATGTGGTTTCAGGAAAGGGCGGTCCTGCACAGGTGCCACATTCTCTGTCCATCTGCTCACAGGACATACATCTCTGCTTTATTGACCTGGTCAAGGCCTATGATGCCATCAATAGGCCTGGGCTCTGGATTGTTATTTGTGCTTTCGTAGTCCCTGACTTTCTGCTCACAATCATGAAGCACCTTCATGTTGGTGGCCTGGATTCTTCTCAATCAGTCAACCCATGGGACTTGGGACAGTCCCGTAACATCCTGCCAGCGGGCGTTCGACACTTCACGTGGCCTTAAAGTGCACCTGGCCTGGCACAGGCGTCGTGGTGATGTCACCGCCAGTTCGTGGCGAATGGCGGTTGTTGTTGTGGTGTGTGAGCTGATGGTGTCTGCGAGCGGCAGGTGTGTGGATACGGGATTGTCGGTCGCGCTGTTCATCTCCGTCTGGATGACTTTCTGCACAAAGCTGATGGTGTCATTCACGATGCCATGCACCTGGACGACAACACAGGACACAGGGCAGAAGGGGGCAGCTCACAGGGCAGCAGTGGGCAGTGTCATTCACAAGTCACTGCATCCTGCACCCGGCCACAACCAGGTGTGGCTCTGACAAGGAAAGACAGACACGTGTCTCACTCGCACAGAGACAGACGCACACGCGTCTCACGCACTCGCTAAGCAAACACACGTGCTCGAGTGTGCGGACACAGGCATGGAGGCAAGCGCTGGGCACCTGTGGGCAGCAGCGCAGCGTGTACGCGTCCTGGACCCGGTCACAGAACCTGTGGCTCTCTGTGGGACGGCACAATCCACGCGTTACTCAGATCACCCGCAGGGGTTTGGGCCGCGTGACTCAAACTTCCACTGATTTGAGTGCGGCGGCCACGGATGAGACGGTGAGAAAGCGTTTGCGGTGCAGGGATTGGAGGCGTGTGGGGTATTGAGTTGGTGCGGTGGCGGTGGTGGTGGAGCAGGCTGTGGGTTGGTGTGGTGGGGCGCGTGGAGACCGGCGATCTGGGACGGGTGGTGGTCCGAGTCGAGCAGGGAGCGGAAGCGGAAAGCCACCTCCTTCTGCCCCGGGTGAGGACGCAGCTCGTGGATGTCTGTCGGAGAGGGCACGCGTTACGCTCGCCGGCCACAGTCACCCCGACGTCCGTGCGCTACGCGAGATTGGCGCGAGGCTGAGTGGACGACCGATCGCTTTTGCCACTCTTCACAGAAACAGTGGCAGCCTCTCCATCATCTGGCTGCGGTGGCGAGGTGTTAACCCCCTCGCCTGGGAAACAGGAGGTCGTGGGTTCGATCCTGACCCCGATGCCGGCTGCTGTATATTTGGAGTTTGCGTGTCTCTCTAGCCGTGGTCGCGTGGATTTTTCTCCGGGTCCTCCGGTTTTTGAAATTTAGAAATTTGCGCCGAGAATATTTGGCTGATATAAATGTCCACATGATAGACCACTAAGTTGAGCTATCATTTGTGATAGCTCAATAAGGCCGCTTATGAAGAAGAGCTGTATATAGCTCAGTGGGCTTCACCTAGCCAAATAAAAAAACAGTTTTAGTTTCAAATTACCGCCGGCAACGGAGATGGTTCCTCGCGTTCACCTGGGAGGTGGCCGCGACAAACCACGGCCCCGTCCTCCCACGGAGCTCACCGCTGTCGAACGCGTTGGTGGTGCCCTTGAGCACCTCCAGGGTGAGCGCCGCGATCACGTCCGCCTGCCGGGCGATGGAGGCCGCCCGCTCCACGGCCTCCGCCCCCAGCGCCGTGATCATCTGGGTCCCGTTGATGAGGGCCAGGCCCTAAAAAAGAGGGATAAGGTGGGGGGGGGCAAGTCAGAGGATGGCGGAACTTCGCTCAGTGACCCGGGGAAAACAAATCTCGTGCAATAAAAACAGACTCTTGTGTGTTCATTTCTGCAAAATAAATGTTTCATGGAGGTCGGTGAATGGAGACCAGGGCTCCGAGTACCAAAAGGCCAAGATTTGTCACATTTCCAGTTCCCCACAGGATTCATGTAAAGGGACTGCGTACATTTCCGTGAGAATCTACGAGTGGTTAGTACCACGCTTAATACCCCCATGACTCACGTCCACACACACCATCACAAGTCCAAAGATCCACTGAACAGCCTGAACAGACTGCCGGGGTAAGTACTGCAAGTGTGCGTATCTCACACACACAGATCAGGCACTTATTTCAGGCTGAGTCGACTTAGGGGAATCCCTGGGCCGGTATAGATCATCGTTACTTGTGCTGGCTGTGAGTAGGAATCGAACTCGGGTCACCGGATTCGTAGTGCACTGCGCTACCGCTCCCCACAACACGCATAGAGACACATGAAAGTCAATTTGCTGAGGGGGGGGATATGTGACAAGCCATCCCGTGTTGCTGCCTTGTTATACAACAGTGTCAGGCAGAAAGGCCGCTGTCGTGATAGCATTGCTCGACCTCCTTTGGTTGAATCGACAATGGAGACAGTCCGTGGGTGCGCAGCACCTGAAAGAGACACCATCGTCAGTTGCTGCGCCTTCCTTTTTACAATTTTCACGGCGAGTAGATCAAGAAGGTTGCATTGCGTGACGCGCGGCACGCGTGTTGATGCACAACAAACCTGCACGTACGCACATCGAAACGTCGTAGTATGCTATTATTTAATTTATTATTGTATCTTTATACGTGACTTTACCGAAAGAACCAAAGACTTAAGCCATCTTCAGGTCAACGACTAGGCGTGTGTAAATATAACGTCATGGAACCTATTTTTGTTGTTGCCAGTATGAAAGTGTAATAAAGGTCGTTGAAGCGACTTCTGGAATCCGGTCTTTATTCGTCTTTCATTACAGCACTCCTTCACGCTGCTGACAGGCAGCGTGAGAGGGATAGAAGAGAGAGACGCGCGCAGCCACGTGGCAGCCTGGACCCCCGCTCTCGCGTGGCCTCTCCCCTTCGTTCCAGTTCTGACCACGTGTTGTTCGTCTCCACCCCTATTTAATACCCGGGTCACGTGGTACATTTCCACCAATCCTGGTTAGCCTCTATGGAATCTTCCAGACTCCACCGTAGGCTCCCGGGACCACGCCCCTGACTCGTCTCCCCATTGGCTGTGGCTAAAGCCAGCAGAACCAATCCTCTACAAACAGCTGTCACCTTTCCATTACGTCAGGGCCACGCCCCTAGGCTTCCCCCATTGGCTATGGACCAGGACCGGCAGAGCCAATCATCGTGACGAGTTGTAATCCATCAACGACCCGGATATAACCTCACATTACAAAAGTATAAAAAATAATAGGTGGTTTTACCCTTTCCGGCAATATAACGGGAGTTGTGTTGAGATGTCTCTACTGGCTACACACACGGTCGATCACTCGGCGTGGTCCCACCGCCCTCACTCGGCTACGCCGCTGGCTGGTGGCGTGACGATGACGGCGACGGAAACCACGCAGGAGATCTTCCACGTGGCCGGACGACGGAGAGAGATGTCGGCGAGCAGCGACGCAGCCAGGACCCAGGACCCCACACATGAGCCCCGAGCCCCGGGTCCGCTCCCCCTGATTTCTCTCTCGGCGTTGCTAGGCCCCACCTCCGGCCACACCCTCTCGTGGAACCTCTGAGCAGGTTCCCGGATCTCGGCAAACCCCACCAACTACCTTCGCCCCAGATACCTCTGCCTCTCTGATTGGATGTCGTCTTGACCGTGCCCATACCCGTGCTTCCCTTTCCCACCCAGTAGGTGTCATCATGTCATTACACAAGGATTAACCACACATGGTAATTGTGGTGAACATGCAAACAAACATGATCTGATAATATGATGATGCATTGTCTTTGAAACGGATTGGCCTACACCACAGACAGCAGCAGCCTTCTTTAGGGCCTCGTCTCCCAGAGAACTACGCCAAAAAGCGAACAGCACAAGGACAATGCACGCATTGGAGCACTTATAGCCCACGGTAAGCAGCAGCTATATCATGGGATACCTTTTTGTGCAAGGAAACAACCACATCCACTTGTGGTGACCGTGAAAAAAAACATGTTCTATTAATATACACATTGTCGTTGAGACTGGTGTATGCGCGCGTGCGCGTGTGTGCATTCGTGCGTGCGTGCGTGTGTGTGCACGTGTGTGTTCTCGCGTGGCGTACGTATTTCGCATCAGCCCAACCGCTCCTGGGCGACCACATCTTCCCCTCCCCCATGAGGCCGAGCGCGAGGTGCGCCAGGGGGGCCAGGTCCCCGCTCGCCCCCACCGTGCCCTTCTCCGGCACGTAGGGCAGACACGACGCTGCACGCGCACACGCACGCACGCACTCGTGACGCGAGGCGCTGACACTCTCGGCTCGTCTGTGAAAGCTGTGACGCTCGAGGCCGTGATACTGGAGATCGTGATTTATAGAGATTGTGACGCGGGAGATCGTGGTGCTGGAGATCGTGATTCTGGAGATCGTGATTCTGGAGATCGTGATACTGGAGATCGTGATTTATAGAGATTGTGACGCGGGAGATCGTGATTCTAGAGATCGTGATGCTGAGATGTTGATGCTAGAGATCGTGATTCTGGAGATCGTGATGCTGGAGATCGTGATTTTAGAGATCGTGATGCTGGAGATCGTGATTCTAGAGATCGTGATTTTAGAGATCGTGATGCTGGAGATCGTGATTCTAGAGATCGTGATGCTGAGATGTTGATGCTAGAGATCGTGATTCTGGAGATCGTGATGCTGGAGATCGTGATTTTAGAGATCGTGATGCTGGAGATCGTGATTCTAGAGATTGTGATGCTGGAGATGTTGATGCTGGAGATCGTGATTCTGGAGATCGTGATGCTGGAGATGGTGATTCTAGAGATCGTGATGCTGGAGATCGTGCTTCTAGATCACGATTCTAGAGATCGTGATTTTAGAGATGGTGATGCTGGAGATCGTGACGCTGGAGATGTCGACGCTGAAGGCCGCGATGCTGGAGACAGCTCGGGGCACGGCGTCACCGTTGAATGCGCTGATCAAGCGGCTGATGGATTCTGGGGAGATGCCGCTGTAGCCCTTGGCCAGGACGTTGATCCGCAGTGCGAGCAGCATGCGGGTCCGCTCCGGCGGGAGGGGCTTCCCCACTCCTGCACCACCGCGACAGACACGTGGCGTCACGCGCCCAGTTCACGTGTGGCTGATCCCACGCGTGTGTGTGTGTGTGCTGCCAAATCGGTGCCCCACATCGGGCAGACGACCCCGGCTCCTTACCCGCAGCAGAGGAGCGGATGACGTTTTCCTGCAGCTCCCTGCAAAGGCAGATGAACGACATCAGCACGTGGGGTCGGCAGGATGTGTTTCTGTGCTGTGTCGTGCTGTATTTGTGTTGCGATGATAGGTGACGCTGTGCGGTGTTAGTGGTGTGATGCTGCGTGATGCTTCCTCACTTGAGCTTGTTGCTTGGGATGACCGTGCGGGCAAACTTGCCAAATCCCGTCGTGATTCCGTAAACCACTGTGGCGCACACACGGGTGCAGGTGTGACACGGTGACACTTCACACGTGTTCAGTGCAGGTGTGACACTGTGACACCACGTGTTCAGTGCAGGTGTGACACGGTGACACCACGTGTTCAGTGCAGGTGTGACACAGTGACACTCTAAACGCGTTCAGTGTAACCTTGACAAACTGCGGCACGACCGTGTTCAGCGTGACCTTTGGTGTGACCTTTGGTGTGACCCTGGGCTGACCTTTGTTCTCCTGGATGATCGTCTCCAGCAGCTCGCGCGATTTCCTGATCCTGACCTGGGCCTCCTCCGTGAGCTGAGGAGACACAGGGGCAGCATGAGTGGCCCCACGGCGGAGGGAAGCCTCATGGTGGAGCAGTGCCCCACGGCGGAGCTGGGTGAGGCAAGCCCCACGATGGAGCAAGGCTCCACGATGGAGGTGGAGCAATGCCCCACGATGCAGTGGAGCAAGGTGAACCCCACGGTGTCTGCCCGTGTCCTCGTGACCTGCCGACTCATTGGCCTGCAACCCAATGACCTGGTGACCTGGTGACCTGCCCTGTGGGCCTCACCTTGATCTTGAAGTGGCTTTTGCCGAGACGCAGCAGTTCCCGAGTGCTCAAACTGTTGCCATCCAAGCTCAGAAACTGCAAAGCGAGGACACATACACACACGCACACACGCGGATATACACAACGACAACTTATATTCATAATGCGACCAGAACGTAATAAGCGTTTCAGCAGAGATAAAAATAGGAGGTGTGACGCACCCCAGAGGTGAGAAACCCTTCATGGGGGTGGGAGGGGGCTCACAAGTGACGCCATCACATCTACCCTTCTATTTAAGGAACGAAACAGGAGGATATCTCCACAAATCTGGGTGCTGTCCGCCTGATGGTGCTAGTTGTAGATACTGGCAAAACGTCGTACTCAGATTATAAATATTGTGGCTTTGCTCTCCAAACACCGGTGGTGCTGTACTAGTAACGAATTGGCCACGTTCTGTTTACGTGACAAGCCTTACTAGTTGGCTGTGTCGGGTGGCGGCGGGTTTAACGACACATTCATAGTCTCGCGATCTAACTCCCCCCCCCCCCCCGCAAAAAAAAACCTATATTATGGATATTGGTCACAAAAGCCTACGTGTTAAACAAAAATGAAAGTGTTGGAGAGAGAACCAGATGGGGTTGCCTGAGTAGGGACGTACACGAGGTGGGATGTAGTCGCTAAAAGACCGGCCGCCGAAAGTGGCCAAAGGAAGACAAGTGGGCTCAGGGTGAGGGAGCAGGCGAGAAGGTTGAAGGAGAGTCCGGTCCAGAGTCGCGCGAATTCCGACGAGAGCCAAAAACGATCGCTTCAATCGTGCTGACATCGAGCCGAGGGAAGTTGAACCTCATCCCACAGTCGGACAGCACTTCCGTGGCTCTGGGGGGGGATGGGAGGGGGGTGAATGGTGAAGGCAGAAGGTCAAGTTGGGAGTCATCGGCATGCGCGTAGAAGTTGACGCTGTGCTCGTGAATCATATTGGCGAGGGGGGGGGGGCACCACAAGTGACCACGTGGGGGAGAGAAGGAAAAGCTGCTGGGTATGCAGGCGGTTGGCACCGTGGAGATAGACCGTGCAGGAGGGGAGCGGTGGAGGAGGATGGAGTGATCGATGGTAGCACAGGCAGCGGACAGGCCGAGGAGATTGAGGAGGCGACAGGGAGCCACAGAGGCTGCACGCAGGCAGTCTCAGTGCCATGCCCAGGGCGGAAAGCTGACATGTCGGGGCTCATCCAGGGAGTGGTGTGAGAGCTGGTTACGGAGTTGGGAGAAGACTATACGTCCCAGGACCTTGGAGAGGCAGGCCAAGTTGGAGATAGGGTCATTAATACACAAACATACGCGTAGTGATTCATCGCTGTATTATTGGATGAGAGCACGCAAGTATAATGTGTGTTGTTAAAGCCTCTTCCACCCAACACAGGCAATCAGTAAAGTCAATGTGTCACCGCTTCTGCACAATGGTGTGGGTGGACAGCCACACCGGTGCATTGGAGAGCAATTAATACGCATTTAAGAATTGGGTATGACGCTTCATCAAGCAGTTGCCAAACACACATCACACACATTATATAGAACATATATAGACATACTTTACACACATGCACAAAGACAACGCACACACACACTTGGCCCCATCCTCCACAGTGTGGGTTGAGTGTCAGAAGGTGAGTGTGTGTGACGTCACCTCTTCTGGCTCCTTGTAAGTGATGTTCCTGCAACAAGACATTGCGTTGACAAGTTGAATTCACTCATTCCAAGTTCCATTCACCCATCCCAGTTGCATTCACCCATCCCAGTTGCATTCACCCATCCCAGTTACATTCACCCATCCCTAGTTGCATTCAACTATCCCAAGTTCCATTCACCCATCCCAAGTTGAATTCACCCATCCCAAGTTGAATTTTTCCATGTGAAATCTCCAGAATTAAACTAGGCTCTTTGGTAGCGTTGATGGCTCAGACCTGTCACCAATAACTGCAGACACAAAAAAAAACCCACCACATTAATTTTATTTGGTTTGTCGCTTAATTTTACTAAATTTGCAGTATTGAGTTTGATTGCCACGCAAAATCTCTCTCAAATCAACACTGGGACATTGGGAAAGTGTGCACCTGAGTGTGCAACTAAAAGAGGTCATTTGAAGTGATCTCAACAATTCCGTGGTTAACACCATGGGGGTCGTTCTCTATACCACGCGGTGATGCACTGCTTACTGTGAGTATTCTCAATGGACACGTTATCTCACCAGGGCTGCAGCCTCTCATCCTCCAATCGAGAGAACGTGTCCGACATGGCCTCCCCCTCCAGCACTGCAACATTGGGAGGTAAACATCATCATCGGCCATCTATGGCTCTCGCTCACCTCATCCAGACACCTCACCTCAGTTACACCCTCACCTCATCTCGACCCTCAACTCATCCAAATCTACACCTCGTTCACTCATCTCCCTCTTTCAAACCCTCACCTCATCCTCACTCTCACCTCGCTCAACCAGGCCCTCTCCTCGTCAGCACTTAACGTCACCCGTACTCTCGCCCCATACAGATCTTCACTTCATCAGCACTCATCCGCTAATCCTTCCACACTGACATTTCCCTCCCTTCCATCTCAGCCCTGCTCGCCTCGATCCCCATCTGCCCCCCTCCTCCTCCGCGTCCATCCTCACCCAGCTCCACGAAGTCGTTGTCCTGCAGCACGTCCTCCAGCAGGTCGTCTTGGTCCAGGAGTCCGAGGCCCTGGCACCTCCTGACGGTGAAGCGAACCTCTGCCAGGGCCCCCAGGCCGCCGTGGTCCGGCTTGTTCTTCACGTGCCGCTTGAGCGCCTCCAGCCCCAGCGAGTAGACCGAGTCCGAAGCGCGGCCCGGGACGGCCAACCACTCACCACGCACCCTCGCCGTGAAACGCATGCTGCTGGTGACCCTCTCCACTCACGAACCTCTCCACACTAAACCTCTACACTATAACTCTGCACACTAGATGTTTCTACACTAGATGTCTCTACACTAGATGTCTCTAAACTAGACCTCTACACTAGACGTCTCCACACTAGACCTCTCCACACTAGAACTCTCTACACTAGAACTCTACACTAGAACTCTCTACACTAGATGTCTCTACACGAGACCTCCACTCTAGACTTCTACACTAGACGTCTCCACACTAAACCTCTGCACTAGAACTCTGCACACTAGATCTCTCTACACTAAATCTCTACACTAGACCTCTCCACACTAGACCTCTCTACACGAGACCTCTACACTAGACGTCTCCACACTAGACGTCTCCACACTAGACCTCTCCTATACAAGTGACACCGGTGCAGGAGGTGTGACAGCAGTGGCAGTCTTCGCGGTATTTAATCCTGCGTGAATCCGATGAGCGCAGAAATTAACCAGCAAACATTCCTGACCTTTCACGCGTCAAAAACCACGCTTCTGCAGACGACATCTAAGCGCATCACACCGTAACGCATGTCCGCAGACTTGTCAAAACATTGCTGTGATCTTAGATGAACCCCAGTGGCCGGGTTTGACGCCTCATCCATGCGACCATTTATTGGGGGCAGTATAACTCATTAACACCGTGAAGTTACGACAGTGTTGCTGCTCTGTTGTTTGTGTGTCCCCTTTATAACATCGTCGTTCGTGGCAGCACTTGTAAACCACAGGGCACCCTCCGCCGTGAAGACAGTCCGACACAACCGACATGTCAACCACAAAGAGTTCGGAGCTGTCTGTCTCTCTCTATCTGTTCCTCCTCCTTCTTGTGCTCAACCCACGCTTTCGCTCTCTCTCTGTCTCTCTCCTTGTCCACCCCCTTCACTGGAACAAACTAGTATTGACGGATCGTTGGGTCACAATATTGATGATGAGAAAACGTCTGACCCGTGTCAAGAACCCAGCCAGGTGAGCGTGGTCTTCTTGTCTGCATTTTGCTTCAGACCGTTGGATGGGCTCCACTTGTTGCACACTCGAAATGAAGGACGTGGGCAGATGCTCCAAATCGAGGGCAAACATTTGTTGTGATAATCTGTAAAATGCAACAGCACGTGTGTCACACGCAGGAATTTTCAACCGAGTCGCCATTAAGCACGTGGCTGATGTCCACGTCAGGTTACTCAATAACAGTTTCCCTTAAACCCAATTCCACTACTGATAAACCGTCTTTGTCTTTAATCATAACCTTTACACTTTACTAGTCAAATATTACTTTCATACTAAGCTGTATGTATATATATACCATGCACTTATATTGGTACCTTACACCCATTATCTGTACCATATATGAACTGTATATGTACTGTACTTGTCACCATTGTACAACTTACTACTGTACATGTGTTCTATTAATAGCATTGCAAGTATTCGTACTCTGGGTGCATGGTTATAGAATAAACATTACAGTATTAGGGTTAGAGAATTACCAGTGTAGTGGGTTCAACTGAGACGTACTCTTCAACTCGGAGGCAGCGTATTTTATTCTTGAACACAACAGGACAACGTAACACAACGACCTAGGGTGGTGATCACCCTGGCTAACTACGTAACAACTGCTAACGTGGGCCGGGGCTAACAGCATACTGCCCAGACCACGTGCTTGAAGACTCGCGAACCGTAGAATATAGAGAAAGGTTTTCTTGCCCGGCATGGACAGCCAAGAGCCCTCTCGGGATTCGGATTATATTCTCTCCGGCATGGCCAGCTCCTTCCCTGGCCACGCCTCCATTCCAGAACCTTCACGAAGAACCTCGGCTCCATCACGTGACCCTCACAGCCCCCTCCTCGGGGGTCCCTCTGTTGCCTTAACTGGTCACGTGTCCTCCCGGGTCAACTCGACTGTCATGGCCTTACCCGACCTTCCCTTCCGGTCTGCACACACCTTGCCCGCTAGGGCCGGTACTGTCCTTACAGCCTGGTGACATCCATTGATGTCATTACCCGCACGCCGTGCCCCCCCATAGGGCCGGTACTGCACCCACAGCATGGTGACATCTATGACGTCACTACACCAGTACGTCATCATTTACAGTGTTCAGTGCTAAACCTCCTCCTATTGAACATATCACAAACTACCAATTCAAAGCCAAGCTTAAAGATGAGAACATTTCTATAACTATCAAGAACAACGTTTGGGTCCTTTGCCTGTACAATGCAACAGCACGTGTGTCACACACAGCAATCCTCGACCGAGTCGCCATTAACCACGTGGCTGGACTACAGGTCAGGTTAGTCAATGACCCTGCCAGCCACCCACAGGCCCAACTCAGTCATCGCATGCTGGTGTCCACACGCGCATTGATGTACTGCACAGCAAATGAGAACCCTCACAAAACCACACTTTACTCCATTGCTGCACTAGAAGTAAATAGAAGAGTGGCCCATTCCTAATGTGCCACACACTCATCGATGCTTGTTGATGCACGAGACCAACCACAACAGCTGGGTAACGTGCGAGAAAGCCCCAGCGTGATGACAGAGCTGTGCGGGAGAGAGTGGGGTTGTGATGTCAGAGTAGCTGAGCTGTCAAGAGTAGCTGAGCCGTAGAGGTCGCAACCGGGTACCCGATACCCGTACCCTATCCGATACCCGTTTGCGACCCTGGTGCGGCCGGGTACGGGTAGGCCGTGAATCACTGGTGAGTAACCGTTTGTCACTCATTTCCCAACGTCTTGTCTCTTCTCACAATTCAAGTTCCTAGAATCAACCCACCCGCGACTGCAACATGGCTTCATCCCAGAGGTCGCAATCAGGTACCCGATACCCGTACCCTACCCGTACCCGTCCGGGTACGGGTAGGGTACGGGTATGGCTGGGTACGGGTACCCGTTTGAGACCCTGGTGCGGCCGGGTACGGGTAAGGAATCAAAACCCGTTTGCGACCTCTGCTGAGCCGTCACAGTCGCTGAGCCGTCCGACTGCTCGCCGAGGCTGGAGCGATGAGCAATGCTGCAACGTCGGCGTTGAAGATGGAGGAGGGACATCACCGGGTCCAGCGCACTTCCTCCTGGCACCCCGCACTGCAGTGCGGCCTTGGTCGATTGCTCTTGTGACCACAGATATCTTGGTCGGCATTTGGTCTTTTAAATTGCAATTCTAGGTTGTGAACATTGCTCTTCCACGCGCCCACATCGTCTCTATCGAACACCGCCGCGACCAGGGGATGTTTTAGTCTGATGGGTACTGTGGGTGCGAGTTTTCCTTTTTCAATTTCCAGCCACCTGACGTGTTGTAGGACAATAAACCACGAAGCGAACTGCCTGACGAACGACCATGAGCTCAATTCATCCTGGGAGAAGCGCACGCGGACTCTGACCTTACTGAACAAAAACCGGAGTCCTAACCCAGAAGTTCGCACTCTGGTTAACACGCTCTATAATTAACACGCTCTGATTAACGCACTGTGGTTAAGATGCATCTTCGTTAAGCCCCCCCACCCAACCGCGAGTCCTCGGCCACAGCCGCCCCTCGTGAAGGCAGGAACGTTGTTTTTTCGAGCGACAGAGATTTTATTAAACATCAAACATTGCACACTTGAGCCTACAGATTGGTGCTTTAATCAAACATAATCTAACACGTAACGCACCATGTTCTCAAAGGGCATAGGAACATGTATTGTGGAATCAAATTGTGTGTGATGCTGTGTGGTGTTAGAGTAGAGTCTGTTATGCTGCTGTATGCTGCTGTGAGAGTAGAGTGAGTATGATGCTGTATGATTCTGTGTGCTGTGTGAGTAGAGTGAGTATGCTGCCGTGTGCTTCGAGGTCTCCAGAAGTTGGCAGGACAGCAATTAATGTAATCAGTGTTGAGTTTTTTTGTTGAGTGTCAGCCCCTGATACACGGTCGGCTTTCTCCAGGCACTGCTGCATTCCTCCCGGATTCAGCCAAAAAAGCTCGCCCACGGGATTGCCGAATATCAAAACGCAGATCCCTCCTTACAAAAGAGTTGGGAGACTCGGCGAGGCTTTTCGTGGCTACACGCCGGCGTTAGCTATCGTTATCGTAGCGGTTTAGAATGATCGCCAGCAGAACCAGCGAGCGCTCCCCCCCCCCCAGCCTAATCGCAGCTACGGCGACGTTTGTTGGGCGACGAGGGCGAGCTGAGCGAGCACGCCGTCGGCGAATCCGGCCTCGACTCGGGCAGGTCCTTGAGCCGGTAGCAGTTGATGTACGGCTCGGCCACCTGCCACACCTGCAAGGGGCACACAGACGGCGCGCCGGAGTGTGAGCGCCTTGCTGCGCGCGCACTGCCCTCAAGGAAGACGAGAGGACCCGACGGAGCCCCTCCGTTGATGCGCTGCTCCTACCTTCTCCTCCACGAGCATCCGGTGCACGGCCTCTATGTCCGGAGCCATGAAGCGGTCCTTTATCCAGGGCCTGCGATGCACACGCACGCACGCACACGTCCAGTCGCACACACGGCATAACAACAGCCACCGTTGGCTATGAAGTGGCAGCGACGACACCGCAGCGCTTGTGTAGTGAGTTCTCAGTGAGTCAGACGGCGTAGTTGAGGCACACTCTTTTATTTAACCAAAGGCGGTAACAATACTTGAAGGGGTAACGGCCCCTTCACCCGTACTCAATGGGAAACACCCCTAGCACTATTCCCTGACTGTCCTATTCTCAGTCCTCCGCTACGAGTGCTAGGGGAGGCTATCTGATCCGGCCCTGGTCAAGCACGGATCCCGGCACCCAGCTAACCAGGCCGGGCTCTTACAAGAGCAGCGGTCTTGGAGCTCTTGGGGCCGCGCCACTGGCTTGCCCTGCTCGGCCCTGACAAGGACAGCGAGCCAGGGGAGTCCCAGGGCCTATTCTGCCGGTCTTCAGTCTTCACCGGTAAGCTTCTAACACACTGGCCCCGAGCCCTCTGGCTCCCCGCCTTTTATAGGAATCCTCTCCGAGGGGTGGGGGGCTATGGGGGATCACAGCGCCCCCCCCCCATGCCCCCCCCAGGGTTAACCGATGCGGACGTGGATGTAGACACCCTGTGTGTGGGTGCAGTCACCCTTGTGTTTCTGTCCGCCTTTCTCCCCGTAGCAACCCCTACGCTTGCGTGGGGGTGGGACACGCAGCCGTTGCCGTGTGCGCGGCCTCTCTCGTCGTACCTGACGCTGCTGCGGACCAGGTCGTAGACTTTCTCCAGCGGGGTGGTCGTGCGCAGAGGCCGCAGGAACTCGATGCCCTGGCACGCGGCCAGCAGCTCGATGGCCAACACTGGCAGAGACACGTGGCACATGGATACGTGAGCGGGAAAGTGACACTGTGTATACACACACACACTGTGTATACACGGTGTGTGTGTGTGTACACTATGTGTGTATATACAGTGTGTGTGTATACACAGTGTGTGTGTGTACACTATGTGTGTCTACACGGTGTGTGTGTACACTATGCGTGTGTACACAGTGTGTGTGTACACTATGTGTGTGTGTGTACACTATGTGTGTGTGTACACGGTGTGTGTGTGTGTGTGTCTACACAGTGTGTATACACAGTGTGTGTGTCTACACGGCGTGTCTACACGGTGTGTGTGTACACTATGCGTGTGTACACAGTGTGTGTGTGTGTACACTATGTGTGTGTGTGTGTACACTATGTGTGTGTACACGGTGTGTGTGTGTGTGTCTACACAGTGTGTATACACAGTGTGTGTGTCTACACGGCGTGTCTACATGGTGTGTGTGTACACTATGCGTGTGTACACAGTGTGTGTGTGTGTACACTATGTGTGTGTGTGTGTACACTATGTGTGTGTGTATACGGTGTGTGTGTGTGTGTCTACACAGTGTGTATACACAGTGTGTGTGTCTACACGGCGTGTCTACACGGTGTGTGTGTACACTATGCGTGTGTACACAGTGTGTGTGTGTGTACACTATGTGTGTGTGTGTGTACACTATGTGTGTGTGTACACGGTGTGTGTGTGTGTGTCTACACAGTGTGTATACACAGTGTGTGTGTCTACACGGCGTGTCTACACGGTGTGTGTGTACACTATGCGTGTGTACACAGTGTGTGTGTGTGTACACTATGTGTGTGTGTGTGTATACTATGTGTGTGTGTACACGGTGTGTGTGTGTGTGTCTACACAGTGTGTATACACAGTGTGTGTGTCTACACGGCGTGTCTACACGGTGTGTGTGTACACTATGCGTGTGTACACAGTGTGTGTGTGTGTACACTATGTGTGTGTGTGTGTACACTATGTGTGTGTGTACACGGTGTGTGTGTGTGTGTCTACACAGTGTGTATACACAGTGTGTGTGTCTACACGGCGTGTCTACACGGTGTGTGTGTACACTATGCGTGTGTACACAGTGTGTGTGTGTGTACACTATGTGTGTGTGTGTGTACACTATGTGTGTGTGTACACGGTGTGTGTGTGTGTCTACACAGTGTGTATACACAGTGTGTGTGTCTACACGGCGTGTCTACACGGTGTGTGTGTACACTATGCGTGTGTACACAGTGTGTGTGTGTACACTATGTGTGTGTGTGTGTACACTATGTGTGTGTGTACACGGTGTGTGTGTGTGTGTCTACACAGTGTGTATACACAGTGTGTGTGTCTACACGGCGTGTCTACACGGTGTGTGTGTACACTATGCGTGTGTACACAGTGTGTGTGTGTGTACACTATGTGTGTGTGTGTGTACACTATGTGTGTGTGTACACGGTGTGTGTGTGTGTCTACACAGTGTGTATACAGTGTGTGTGTCTACACGGCGTGTCTACACGGTGTGTGTGTACACTATGCGTGTGTACACAGTGTGTGTGTGTGTGTACACTATGTGTGTGTGTGTGTACACTATGTGTGTGTGTACACGGTGTGTGTGTGTGTGTCTACACAGTGTGTATACACAGTGTGTGTGTCTACACGGTGTGTGTGTACACTATGCGTGTGTACACAGTGTGTGTGTGTACACTATGTGTGTGTGTGTGTACACTATGTGTGTGTGTACACGGTTTGTGTGTGTGTGTCTACACAGTGTGTATACACAGTGTGTGTGTGTCTACACGGCGTGTCTACACGGTGTGTGTGTGCACGCTTCACACCCTGCTCCACGTGCTCGATGACGCGCAGGGCCTTGCGCGCGGCCCAGCCGCCCATGGACACGTGGTCCTCGGTGGCCGCGCTGGTGGAGAGGGAGTCGACGGACGAAGGGTGGCACAGACACTTGTTTTCCGACACTGCGGGGACCGGAGACAACACGGCCACACACCCCACGCACCCAGCGGTCACACGGTGATTTTTTCTGCAATATTTAGCTGTCTTTTCTTGGATTTTCTGTTTTCACAAAGTCACTTTAAGATGTTTTCTTGTTCATGTTTTTGTTTTTTGTTTGTTGCGGTTGCACCCGATTCAAGAGCCGAATGGCTCACAGGGCTAGACCTAATACATGAACTTTGAACACGGCGCGCGTCATCCGCACGCCGGGTCCGTGCGGACCGCGCATGGACACGTCCTATTATATTTAGACACCTAAAACTAAACACAATCTTCTCGGTTCTTTCGGTAAAGTCACGTAGAAGGGAAGTAATAAAATAATAAAAATAAAACATAATAAAATAAAAGATGTAATTTTTTTATTATTTTATTATTTCCCTTCTACGTGACATTACCGAAAGAACCAAGAAGATGAATCCCTGCAGTCACGAAAGCTTAAAATCGAAAATTAAGCACTATTTTTCTTGTAAAATTTTTGCCAGGTAAGGCCCAGCTGAGCCTCGTATCTCTCTTTCAGAAGCGACCTCGCCACAAATGATGAGCTCAGCCAAGTGGCTTATCCTCACGTGGGAATTTATAGCAGCCAATTCGTCTAAACGCGTGATGTTCATTCTAAATGTGGAGGGAAAACCCCGAGGACCCGCAGAAAAGTCCACGCAACCACGGGAAGAACGTGAAAACTCAAAATATACAGCTGCAGGCGTCAGGGTAGGGATTGAACGCACGACCTCCTGTATACAAGGCGAGGTAGTTAACATCTCGGCCACGTTAGCTTTAGCCCAATGTGCTTTACGTGGTTTAAAAGCGGTATCAGAGTGATGAAGATGGCAAGGGCATTCAAGGGCCGAGCATTGAGTGACTGTAACAGAGGGCACACATCAGAGGTCGCAAACGGGTTTTGATTCCTTATCTGTACCAGTACCCGGCCGCACCAGGGTCGCAAACGGCTACCCGTACCCGGCCGGATATGGGTAGCCGGGTATCGGGTAGGGTACGGGTATCGGGTACCCGGTTGCGACCTCTGGCACACATTGGGTTCACAAAAGGGACTATGGTGGGGGGGGGGGGGGGGGGAGGGACAGGATAGAGTGGAGGGGCGACGGGAGGGAAGACTAAGTGAATGGGCAATGGAGAAGAGGAGGTGATGCTTTAATAGAGGAACGAAAGGAGGTTAAGAAGGGGGCCTGCTTAACGCACAGCGGAAGTTCATTCCAGCGGGAGGGTGCAAGGCTGTGCGAGAGGCGCGTGTCCCCGCGTACCGAGCGAGGCGGCGGTGCAGTGCGCGATCATGAAGCCCGAGTTGAGGCCTCCTTCGTTGACGAGGAACGCGGGCAGCTCGCTCAGGGATGGGTTGCACAGCCTCTCGATCCTCCGCTCGCTGATGGCCGCCAACTCGTGCACTCCGATCGCCAAGTAGTCCAGCACCTGGCGCAACGGGCCCACCGCACCGTCACACGGGGAATGGCTGCAGCAATAGGAGGTGCCACCACAGCAATAGAAGGTGCCACCACAGCAATAGAAGGTGCCATCACAGCAATAGAAGGTGCCACCACAGCAATAGAAGGTGCCATCACAGCAATAGGAGGTGCCACCACAGCAATAGGAGGTGCCATCACAGCAATAGAAGGTGCCATCACAGCAATAGGAGGTGTCACTGCAGCAACAGAAGGTGTCACCACAGCAATAGAAGGTGCCATCACAGCAATAGAAGGTGCCATCACAGCAATAGGAGGTGCCATCACAGCAATAGGAGGTGCCATCACAGCAATAGGAGGTGTCATCACAGCAATAGGAGGTGCCATCACAGCAATAGGAGGTGCCACAACAACAATAGAAGGTGCCATAACAGCAATAGAAGGTGCCACGACAGCAATAGAAGGTGCCATCACAGCAATAGGAGGTGCCATCACAGCAATAGGAGGTGCCATCACAGCAATAGGAGGTGCCACAACAGCAATAGAAGGTGCCATCACAGCAATAGGAGGTGCCATAACAGCAATAGAAGGTGCCACCACAGCAATAGAAGGTGCCATCACAGCAATAGGAGGTGCCATCACAGCAATAGAAGGTGCCATCACCGCAATAGAAGGTGCCATCACAGCAATAGGAGGTGCCATCACAGCAATAGAAGGTGCCATCACAGCAATAGGAGATGCCATCACCGCAATAGAAGGTGTCATCACAGCAATAGAAGGTGCCATCACAGCAATAGAAGGTGTCATCACAGCAATAGGAGGTGCCATCACAGCAATAGAAGGTGCCATCACAGCAATAGGAGGTGCCATCACAGCAATAGAAGGTGCCATCACAGCAATAGGAGATGCCATCACCGCAATATAAGGTGCCATCACAGCAATAGAAGGTGCCATCACAGCAATAGAAGGTGTCATCACAGCAATAGGAGGTGCCATCACAGCAATAGAAGGTGTCATCACAGCAATAGGAGGTGCCATCACAGCAATAGAAGGTGCCATCACAGCAATAGGAGGTGTCATCACAGCAATAGGAGGTGTCACCGCAGCAATAGAAGATGCCATCACAGCAATAGAAGGTGCCATCACAGCAATAGAAGGTGCCATCACAGCAATAGGAGGTGTTATCACAGCAATAGGAGGTGCCACCACAGCAATAGAAGGTGTCATCACAGCAATAGGAGGTGCCATCACAGCAATAGAAGGTGCCATCACAGCAATAGGAGGTGTCATCACAGCAATAGGAGGTGTCACCCCAGCAATAGAAGATGCCATCACAGCAATAGAAGGTGCCATCACAGCAATAGAAGGTGCCATCACAGCAATAGGAGGTGTTATCACAGCAATAGGAGGTGCCATCACAGCAATAGAAGGTGCCATCACAGCAATAGGAGATGCCATCACCGCAATAGAAGGTGCCATCACAGCAATAGAAGGTGCCATCACAGCAATAGAAGGTGTCATCACAGCAATAGGAGGTGCCATCACAGCAATAGAAGGTGTCATCACAGCAATAGGAGGTGCCATCACAGCAATAGAAGGTGCCATCACAGCAATAGGAGGTGTCATCACAGCAATAGGAGGTGTCACCGCAGCAATAGAAGATGCCATCACAGCAATAGAAGGTGCCATCACAGCAATAGAAGGTGCCATCACAGCAATAGGAGGTGTTATCACAGCAATAGGAGGTGCCACCACAGCAATAGAAGGTGCCATCACAGCAATAGAAGGTGCCATCACAGCAATAGAAGGTGCCATCACAGCAATAGAAGGTGCCATCACAGCAATAGAAGATGCCATCACAGCAATAGAAGGTGCCATCACAGCAATAGAAGGTGCCATCACAGCAATAGGAGGTGTCATCACAGCAATAGAAGGTGCCATCACAGCAATAGAAGGTGCCATCACAGCAATAGAAGGTGCCACCACAGCAATAGAAGGTGCCATCACAGCAATAGGAGGTGCCATCAGAGCAATAGAAGGTGCCACCACAGCAATAGGAGGTGCCACCGCAGCAATAGAAGGTGCCATCACAGCAATAGAAGGTGCCATCACAGCAATAGAAGGTGCCATCACAGCAATAGAAGGTGCCATCACAGCAATAGAAGATGCCATCACAGCAATAGAAGGTGCCATCACAGCAATAGAAGGTGCCATCACAGCAATAGGAGGTGTCATCACAGCAATAGAAGGTGCCATCACAGCAATAGAAGGTGCCATCACAGCAATAGAAGGTGCCATCACAGCAATAGAAGGTGCCATCACAGCAATAGAAAGTGCCATCACAGCAATAGGAGGTGCCATCACAGCAATAGAAGGTGCCATCGCAGCAATAGAAGGTGCCATCGCAGCAATAGAAGGTGCCACCACAGCAATAGAAGGTGTCACCACAGCAATAGAAGGTGCCATCACAGCAATAGGAGGTGCCATCACAGCAATAGGAGGTGCCATCACAGCAATAGAAGGTGCCACCACAGCAATAGAAGGTGCCATCACAGCAATAGAAGGTGCCATCACAGCAATAGGAGGTGCCATCAGAGCAATAGAAGGTGCCATCACAGCAATAGGAGGTGCCATCACAGCAATAGGAGGTGCCATCACAAGGACCCTACATTCGCGACGTCCGTGCACCCCGCAGCAGAGCGCACGGGTCTCACCCACACCACGTGGGACCACCCCCCCAAGTTGGCTGGAATTCGAATTCTGACCGCGTGTGCCGGACTGGCCTCAATAGGTGCTCACCAACAGTCTGTTTCGAAGCTATCTCGGGGGATCATTTTCCTCTGTCTCTTTGTGACAGTGCGTGTCTGTGTGGGGAGAATGTTTTGACATTTGCGGTGTGTTAGGGTGTTGGGTTCCGGTGTATTTGTGAGAGTGCGCATCTCTGCTCTCTGCGCGTGTAATTGTCATCGTGTCTGTGAGTGTGTAATTGTGATAGTATCTGTGTATATAATTGTGATAGTATCTGTGTGTATGTGTAATTGTCATCGTGTCTGTGAGTGTCATTGTGATAGTATCTGTGTATGTGTAATTGTGATGGTATCTGTGTGTATGTGTAATTATGATAGTATCTGTGTAATTGTGATAGTATATGTGTGTGTATGTAATTATGATAGTATCTGTGTATGCAATTGTGATAGTGTCTGTGTGTATGTGTAATTGTGATGGTATCTGTGTGTATGAGTAATTGTGATGGTATCTGTGTGCGTCTGTCTGTGTGTGTCAGAGAGGACTAAAGTCTGATCCCGACTGCCCCGACTTTCTTCGCATTGAAATTCACGCAATCCCCTTTGCTTCCTAACATCGGCAGGAAGAGCGTTCCAGACGGCCGCAGAAGCGCACCCGAAAGCGCCACGCGATGCGGTGACCACCGCCTTTGTTCAATCGACATCCGAAAGCTGCCGCTTCTGCGAGAACGACCGCAGTTTGCGCGATGGTTTATTATGCTCTTGACGAGATCGGCGAGGTTATTGGTGGTTCATATTCTTAGGTTTTTTCGGTAAAGTCACGCAGGTAAAAACATTAAAATTAATAAAAGTAAAATAAAATAAAAATCACGACGTTTCGGAGGCAACACAAGCTTCCGTCTTCAGGTGGAACCGTCACAGCCACGACAGCTGTATCAAGTAAATGAGAGATTGCAGGCGATACCACTCCGTTTATATAATGGTTGGAGAGGGGGGAAGGGCCAAGTACAGCACAATTTTTATTCATATGGTAAGGTGAGGCTTAAGAGGGTGAGCCTTTGTTATGGTTTGTGACAACTTTTTTACCTACGTGACTTTACCGAAAAAACTTAAGAATATGAATCCTTGCAGTCACGAAAGCTTCAAATCTAGAATTATTGGTGGTTCATTCGTGGCAAGCACTTTTTGCGCAATGAGTGCGAACGTATAGCGTCTCCGTCCGGCCAGCGGAAGCCAGCGCAGGTCGCCCCTGAAGCCGGTCGCCAGCCTCCACGCGGGCAGAGAGACGTTGCCCGTCAACTCTCCCACGGTGAAAATTAAAGTCCCAAAAGCCACTTGGGTTTGAGCGCCAGCTCTCAAAGTGCCCTCATTCAAGCCTGAGGCCCAGTAGGGGAGGAGGTTGTAGAGTGAAGGAGGATGCAAGGCCGCGGGTGGATTTTGATGCGCGGACAGGGAACTTGATGTCCACGCAGAGCCGGCCCTAGACCTTTGGGGGCCCTAAGCAAAATTTGGTTGGAGGCCCCTTTGATGTATGATTTTTTTTCACCCACGAGCTAACAGTGACTCTAGGGGGCCCTCTGCTGGCCACGGGGCCCTTTGCAATTGCAAGGGTCGCTTAGTGGCTGGGCCGGCTCTGTGTCCACGTGCTCGTGGATGGAACGCCGGTGAAGTGAATCCAGAGTCAAGCAAAAGTTAACGAGAACCAAAACATAATTGCTTCAGTTTGATCGAGCTGACGAGAGGAGGTGACTGACCTTCGCAGGGTATTCTCCGTGGAAGTTGCCCCCGGAGATGGTCTCGCCTCGCTCGTAAAACACCATCTCGCGCTGCTGTCAAGGATCGTGAGGCTGCCGTGTTTGTGTTGCCGATTTGTGTGTGTGTGTGATGTTGCTGTATAGGTGTGTTGGTGATTATTTGTGTGTGTTTCAAGGCCGTAGCCATGGAGTCATCATTGTGGAGGGCCAAATCTTCCAGGGGGTCTGGAGGTCCCCCCCCCCAGAAAAAAAAAAAATCTAAATTTGAAAACGAATTTCCTGCCTAAAATATAAAAAAAATTCACTAACACATAGGATGGACTTTTTATTTATTTTTTACAATAATGTCTAATAGTGTATTGTATTACATTGCTTTTCTTGTTTCATTGTATGTAATGGCAGAGATTATGGATTAATAAAGTACAACCATAACTACAATCATATAAACATTATTTTATTTTATAGCAATATATTGGGGGGGGGGGGCATTTTGAGCATATTTGATATTGGGGGGAATGTGTCCCCCTCAATATATAGTATAATTACGGCCTTTATGTGTTTGCTAGTGTAGATGTGTGTGTTGTGCTGTTGACACAATAGTGGGTACAGCTGGTGCATCTGCCAGTCATCTCGGTCAGCCAATCTATGGCACCTGCTGGGTCTGTCCCATTTACCTCCTGCCAGCGAGCCCTTCGACACTTCACGTGGCCTCAAAGTGCACCTGGCCTGGCACAGTCACCGTGGTGATGTCACCGCCACTTAGTGGCGAATGGCGCTTCTTGTTGTTGGTTGTGCTGTGTTCGTGTGTGTCGTGCCGGCCTCCATAGGTGGTGCTCGCTATTAACAGCACTTGCCCCAAAAGTCTGATGAGGCTATACTGGGGGATCTTTATCTTTATAGGTGTGGTGGTGGTGCTTTTGAGTTGGTGTTCCTATTGTGTATGTCTTTGTGTGTATTGTGCCGTGTTTGTGTATCCGTGTGGGGTGCGAGCTGCAGGTGTGTGGATACGGGGTTGTCGGTCGCGCTGTTCATCTCCGTCTGGATGACTTTCTGCACAAAGCTGATGGTGTCATTCACGATGCCGTGCACCTGGACAACAACACGGGACACAGGGCAGCTCACGGGGCAGAAGGGCAGCAGTTTTACCCAACTGTGATATATCAAACTCTGTCAGCTTAAAGGACTGGGCAATCCTGCAAGGGCGGGCAGTGTCATTCACTGCATCTTGCACACGGTCACTGAACCCCTGGCTGCACAAAGACAAAGATCCCCCATATAGCCTTAACAGACTGTCGAGGCAAGTGCTGTTAGCAGGCACCTATAAAGGCCGACTCGGCACACGAGGGGGTGGGTGGCCAACACCACGCCCGGCCGCCTTTGTCTCCCCAGTGGCGATGTTTACACATCGCACCAGGTACTCATTTGAGGCTAAGTCGACCTAGAGGAGGCCCAGGACTGGTTCAAATAATCGCCACTGGTGTTGGCCGTGAGCGGGAATCGAACCCGGGTCGCCGGGTTTGTAGCGCAGCGTGCTAACCGCTACACTACCGCTCACACACAAGTCCCTCACTCGCGCAGACACACACACATACGTCTCTCACTCGCACACATCTTGCACAGACACACACAAGTCCCTCAGTCGCGCAGACACACACACACACGTCTCTCACTCGCACATACACACACACACGTCCCTCACTCGCACATACACACACACGCCTCTCACGCTCTCGCTCAGCGAGCACACGTGATCGAGTGTGCGGACACGGTCGCGGCGGTACCTGCGGGCAGCAGCGCAGCGTGTACGCGTCCTGGACCCGGTCACAGAACCTGTGGCTCTCTGTGGGACGGCACAATCCACGCGTTACTCAGATCACCCGCAGGGGTTTGGGCCGCGTGACTCAAACTTCCGCTGATTGAGTGCGGCGGTGAGAAAGTGTGTGCGGTGCAGGGATTGGAGGCGTGTGGGGTATTGAGTCGGTGCGGTGGTGGTGGAGCAGGCTGTGGGTTGGTGTGGTGGGGCGCGTGGAGACCGGCGATCTGGGACGGGTGGTGGTCCGAGTCGAGCAGGGAGCGGAAGCGGAAAGCCACCTCCTTCTGCCCCGGGTGAGGACGCAGCTCGTGGATGTCTGCCGGAGAGGGCACGCATTACGCTCGCCGGCCACAGTCACCCCGACGTCCGTGCGCTACGCGAGATTGGCGCGAGGCTGAGTGGACGACCGATCGCTTTTGCCACTCTTCGCAGAAACATTGGCTGCCTCTCCATCATCTGGCTGCGGTGGTGAGCTGTTAACCCTCTCGCCTGGTATACAGGAGGTCGTGGGTTCGATCCCGACCCCGATGCCTGCTGCTATATATTTAGAGTTTGCGTGTTTCTACAGCCGTGGTCGCGTGGAATTTTTCTCCGGGTCCTTTAGAAATTTACAAATTTGAGCCGAGAATATTTGGCTGATATAAATGTCCACATGATAGACCACTAAGTTGAGCTATCATCTGTGACGTCCATGCCGCTTATGAAAAAGAGCTGTATATAGCTCAGTGGGCCTTACCTAGCCAAATAAAAAAACAGTTTCAGTTTCAAATTACCACCGGCAACGGAGATGGCGCCCCGTGTTCACCTGGGAGGTGGCCGTGGCAAACCACGGCCCGTCCTCCCACGGAGCTCACCGCTGTCGAACGCGTTGGTGGTGCCCTTAAGCACCTCCAGGGTGAGCGCCGCGATCACGTCCGCCTGCCTGGCGATGGAGGCCGCCCGCTCCACGGCCTCCGCCCCCAGCGCCGTGATCATCTGGGTCCCGTTGATGAGGGCCAGGCCCTAAAGAGGGATGGGGGGGGGGGCAAGTCAGAGGATGGTGGAACTTCGCTCAGTGACCCGAGGAAAGCAAATCTCGTGCAAGAACAAGTATAACCCGTAAAAACAAAGTTTTTCACTATAAATCCTTTATATGCGTGGCGGCTAGAGTCCTCTCGTCCTCTGGCTTGAGATGGCTGCCACCTATGGGTCAGATGATTGCCTGCCACCATTAAGCAATTGTTAATTAAATAGAATTTATTTTTTCCTAAAAAGTGTAAAGTTTTGGAAAAAAATTTTCACGAAAATAAATTGTCACGCACAAAGAGCCCTAAAGAGGGATAGGGGGGGGGGCGGGGCAGCAGGATGGGGGGGGGGGCATAGTGGGACAAGCCGACATTGCGAGTATGTTCACGTAAGCTGATCGTTCTGCAGATAATCTCCTATCCCAAACAATGCAGGTGAATGAGTCAGCTAAGTCTTAATAAATCAAAGACACACATTGTGAATTTGCGGTTTAATGATTAAGTTAATGAATTGTTGAGATTACCAGACGTTTTAAAGCTTTCGTGACTGCAGGGATTCATCTTCTTGGTTCTTTCGGTAAAGTCACGTCGAATGGAAATAATAAAATAATAAAAATAAAACATTTTAATAGAATAATATAATAAAGTATATTAATATATTATGTTTTATTTGTATTATTTTATTATTTCCATTCTACGTGACTTTACCGAAAGAACCAAGAAGATTACCAGACGTGATTAGTCGCCTCCACTGCCTGCCCTCCCCCTACTCAAATTGTGTTCTGCCAAGCAGAGCCTCTCTCTGCTCTCTGCACGGCCGGTGCCCTCTGCAACTCTCCCCCAACACGACGAGGCTTTTACAGAGTTCAGGCGCACTGGATTGTCCGTCTCGGGTCTCATCAGCGCAACAAATGCCGCAGCACTGCAGAGTTGTCATTGGCAGGAGATTACCACTGAAAGGAGGTCAAACCCGGAGTCTAATTTCGACAGCTCTGCAGTGTGATGAAGACTGACCAATGGGCTGGAAGTACCATCATTTGTGGCCAGGTTGCTTCTGAAAAAGAAGCGAATAGCCCATCGTGGCTTCACCTGGTGAAGTAACAAGTTTAGTTTTAGTTTGAATGTTTTGACATTTGGTTACCTTCCCGCTCCTATCGCGTCTTTGCATTGTTTCTTGTAAATTACTGACTCCGTGCCCCTACTGGACATCTGCGAGGAAAAGAAAATGCTTGCAGCTCATCCGATTGCCCCTGCAGCACGAATGAAGGTTCTGATTGTGCACGCTGCATATTGGTGTGTGCAGAGACGCACGGGTGTCTCGTTTCTCTGTCCCACTGCCCACGGGGCGGCTGGCCCAGCGGCGGCAGCGTCGTCACCCTCTTGTTGCAACAGATCCCACGGTTCGGCTTAAGCGGCCGCCCCGGTTAACTGCTGCTGCAGCATGAGCCGTGACAATATTGCCACGCGCCGTCTGCTCTTCTTCACCCTGGACGTTAGAGATCCCGTGGCGTCGTTCGCAAGAGGCGGCCGACGCCACGGTCCAAATTTGCCAAATTACCCCGGAATTTATTCAGTGGGAATACACGCAGCCACCGGAGCAGCAGTAGCAGCAGTAGCAGCAGCAGTAGCAGCTGCAGTAGCAGCAGTAGCAGCAGCAATAGTAGCAGCAGCAGTAGTAGCAGCAACAGCAGTAGCAGCAGTCGGAGCAGAAGCAGCAGTAGCAGCAGTAGTAGCAGCAGCAGTTGGAGCAGCAGTAGTAGCAGCAGCAGTTGGAGCAGCAGTAGCAGTAGCAGCAGTAGCAGCAGCAGTAGCAGCTGCAGTAGCAGCAGTAGCAGCAGCAGTAGTAGCAGCAGCAGTAGTAGCAGCAACAGCAGTAGCAGCAGTCGGAGCAGCAGTAGCAGAAGCAGCAGTCGGAGCAGCAGCAGTAGTAGTGTAGAGGTGTAATTGCGCATGTCTACGAATGTTGAGGTGTGATTATGCATGGCCACGGATGGCCAACAAACACAAGGGGCGGGGTTACGGCCGTACACAAGGGTGGCGCTCGCACCGACGTCCGCATGTGTATCCCCCACGGGCCCCCCCTTGGGGGCAAGTCCTATAAAAGGTGATGAGCCGAAAGGCTCGGGAGTCGGGACTCAACTATAACCAGAGAAGACGGAAGACCAGCTAGTGTAGGCCCCAGAGCTCCCCTGGCTCGCTGTCCTTATAAGGGCCGACCAGGGCAAGCCGGTGGCGTGGCCCCGAGAGCCCAGACGAAGCTGGTCTGGTGACTCAGGGAGCCGGGATCCCAGCTTAACCAAGCTGGGACAGATAGCCTCCCCTAGTCCCGTAGTGGAGGAATTGGTATAGGTTAGAGGGGTTAGCTGTCGAGAAATCCCTGTAGCCCAGTGACCTGTAAATAACTGTGTTGGTGTAATAAATAAGTGTGCCTCCGATCCTGTCGTCAAGCCTCCATATACTTACTACATCTGGTGTCAGAAGTAAAACGTCCAAACGATGGACACACGAGGGACGACACGTACCAAGGAGTCGGAGATGGAAGACGCCGCGGCCGATTCAACACCAGAGATGGCCGGGGTCGGATCGGAGCAGCCGGGGCCAAGTACGCCCGTGCCGCTACGACAAGAGGGGGGGGATGCGTCGGCTGAAGGACTCCGGCTGGCCCACTCCCGCCTGGCGGAACTGCTCTACGCCGCCGCCGCTGCGTTGGAGGAGATCACGCGGCTGGGGGCTGGAGGGGCAGCGCGGGTCGACGACAGCAGCCGGCGCGCGGCAACGTTTCCCGCCACCCCGACGCGGCTGGCGGTTAAATTTCCCGCCATCTCTACAGTGCGAGCGGACGGCGGGGCCGGCCCGCGTCACGTGACTGCTGAGCGCCAAGCACAAGCCGTGACATCATCAACACCGGCCGGCGCGTCAACATCGGAGCGACCGGCGATGCCATGTGCACAGCCCGCCCACACTGTATCATCGGCGGGGAGCGACGGAGAGCGATCTACAGCCACGGACGTCGCCTTGCAGCAGCGTCTGCCACCTCTGAAAGAATTCGTAGGCGCAGACGGAGACTGGGGCGGCTTCAAGAGACGGTTCATCGCTCATCAGGAGATGGCGAACTGGACGGACGCCGAGGCTCTACGCGCGCTGCCAGCGATGCTGGACAACGACGCCCTGGCTACCCTCACCTCGGCGCCGAGGGAAAAGCGCGCCACCCTACACCTGGCGTTGCAGCTGCTGTCAGCCGTCTATGGGCCGCCTTCGGACTGCAGGCAGCTTTTCCACGATCGGCGTCGGGGCACCAACGAATCACCTCTGGCCTTCCGGACTGCTCTCCTGGCTCTAGCGAAGGCTGCTTTCCCAAGGATGGACGAGGAAGGAGTGGATGCCATGGTGGCTGAGAAGCTGCTGCTACTCGCTGATGAGCTGGACGTCAACGTCCTGGCTCAAGACGACTCAGAGATGTCGTCCCTGCTGGTCGCGCGCCACATCCACGGGGGCTTGCGGTCCCTTCGTCGAAAGGCGGCAAAGGGGGCGGCCAGCCATGCCATGGCGGCTACCGCCCTCCCATCGGAGGAGGTCTGCGGGGTGGAGCGGCGAGGGGAATGGAGAGCGGCAGTACCACAGGCTCGGAATGGACCGAGCCGCCAGGAGCAGCCCAGGACATCGGGGGCGCTCACACGCTGCTACAACTGTGGCCTGCAAGGCCACGTTGCGTCAGGATGCCGGGCTCCCCGTCAGCGCGGGGCGACACCTCGTCAGGACGCCACGCCGTCTCCTCCCAAGCTCCAGCAGAGAAATACGGCGAGTCGCGGCACCTCACACGTTTGGCCCACGCACACATCCGACACACACTCACGCGCCCACCTAAACAGGGCTCCAAATTCCCCATCCGTCGCGCGCGATCGTTCGGTAATGCGGCGGGCGCTCCAACCGGGTCAGTGGTCGGAGCTCGCCCATCGTGTCGTTGCTGCGTCGGCGGGATCATCGGTCGTGGTCGGTCACATTGATGGGGTAGAGGTGCGGATTTTAATTGACACAGGGGCATCGGCGACCATTATATCTGATTTAATTTATAACATCCTTCCCGTTCAAAGTCGTCCCTTGCTCCCTGTTGACGTGCCGTGCTATGCCGCTAACGGGGGCTCTCTGGGCATTATTGGCCAAATCCGCGCCACTATCTGCATTGGGGACATTAAATTATCCGGGCCTGTTTTGGTTTCCTCCTCACTCGCGGTTCCGTGCCTGTTGGGGACGGATTTTCTGGCCAAAATGCCCATCCGCATCCTTATTGACCAAGGGTGCATTGAGCTCCCATCGGGCCGACGCGTTACATTTCTGTCTTCCCCCACCACGGAGCGTCGGGCGTTTGCCACCGTGCAGGCGCTCGTCACAAAAACTGTGCGCGTGCCTCCGGGGGCTCAGATGCTCGTCCCTCTTAGATTGCGTCGGCCGTTTAATGAAGGGGTTGCGGATCGGGGGGTCTTGTTGGGACCATCTCGGGCCGGGGTAAATGGACCAGATTTGCTCGCGGCTCAGACCATGGTGAGAGGGGATGGGGACCCCTTCATTGCAGTCCTTAATGTGGGATCGCGAACGGCCGTGGTTCCTCAAGGGACCGTGCTTGCACACGCAACGCCGGTACCCTATGAGGAACCACTCGTGGGTCAGGTATCCACCGATCCTCCGTCGCGACCGCATTCGGACTGTGATGACGGTTGGCTGGATGCGCTTTGCGCGGGTTCAGTGGACCTGTCCGACTCGCAGCGCGCGCAGCTGCGAGTTCTTCTGAGCGAATTTGCTGACGTTTTTAGTCAACACAAATTTGATATTGGTTGTACTAAATTGCTGCGACACCATATTGACACGGGTGACAGCGCGCCAATCCGCCAAAATCCCTTTCGGTTGAGTCCCGCCGAAAAGGATCATGTCAAATCGGCTGTTGATGACATGCTAGCCGCCGATATCATTTCCCCTTCCAATAGCCCGTGGGGCGCGCCGATCGTTTTGGTGAAAAAACACGACGGCTCACTGCGGTTTTGTGTCGACTTTCGGCGTCTGAACAAAATCTCTGTGGCAGATGCGTACCCGCTTCCTCGAATGGATGAGTCGCTCGATGCCTTGGCGGGGGCGCGATTCTTTTCCACCCTCGATTTGCTATCTGGATTCTGGCAGCTTCCTCTGGATGACGAATCAAAACCTAAGACTGCTTTTCGGACACCGCAGGGTCTCTTCCAATTTAACCGCTTGCCGATGGGTTTACATTCTGCGCCGGCAACTTTTCAGCGGTTAATGGAATTGGTCTTGGCAGGGTTGCAATGGGATTCGTGTTTGATTTACTTAGACGATGTCATCGTCTTTAGCAAATCCTTCGAGGAACACCTCCAGAGGTTGCGTGCTGTTTTTCTCAAAATGCGGGCTGCCAATTTGAAATTTAAACCACAGAAGTGCCATTTACTCCGCGAATCGGTGCGATATTTGGGTCACATTGTTGGGCGCTCGGGGATATCCACTGATCCCGCCAAAACGGAATGCGTCAGCTCCTGGCCGACTCCCACCTCTGTGGGAGAGGTCAGGAGTTTCATTGGGTTCGCGTCGTATTATCGGCGATTTGTGGCTGACTTCGCTACGATTGCGAAACCTTTGCATGCCTTGACGTCCAAGGGAGTCAGGTTTCATTGGGGGCCGGAGGAGGAGGCTTCTTTTCGCGCCCTCCGGAATGCTTTGGTGGGGGCGCCGCCGTTGAATTACCCGGATTTTTCACAACCCTTCTTGCTCGATACAGATGCAAGTAACACGGGCATCGGGGGCGTGCTGTCCCAGCTCATTGGGGGCGTAGAGCATGTGGTGGCTTACGGTAGTCGGGTACTGTCTCCAGCCGAACAGCAGTACTGCGTTACCCGTCGGGAATTATTGGCGATTGTTTATTTCATTCAGCAGTACCGCCCGTATCTGTACGGTCGGCGGTTCACCGTCCGTACAGATCATGCGGCCCTACAATACGCCCTGCGGGTTCAACAACCATCGGGCCAGTTGTCTCGATGGTTGGAGATTCTCCAAGACTATGACTTTGTCACCACATATCGTAAGGGTCTCCGCCACACGAACGCTGACGCCCTGTCGCGATTGCCACCCACTTCGGAGTGCGCGTGCCTCTTGGGTTCGGGGCGTTGTAGGTCTCCGAACGTCACCACCGATTCGGTCCTCGTGGCCGCTGCTGATGCACCTTCGGTTTCGGGTCCTATCGAGCAAGAAGGGAGGGATTCGTTGCTGGGGTTGTCAGTCGCGGAATGGGGTCGCCTCCAAATGGAGGACACCTCCCTCCTCGCTCTGCGCCGTCGCGCCGGGGGGATTGGCCAGGGGGTGGAAAACGTTGACTCGTGGGGGTTGTTCCAGGGACTTTTAATGCACTGGAATGGTAAAACCCGGCGCCAGCGGCTCGTGGTGCCTGCTGCTTTAAGGGGTAAGGTGGTATGGGCTGTTCATGAGCGGCTTCTGCACTTGGGGGTTCATAAGACCTTTGCCACGCTCCAGCTAGATTTCTTCTGGCCGGGCATGGAAAAGGACGTGGGGGACCTCTTGGGGTCGTGCACGCAATGCGCGCAGAGGAAGCCACCTGCTAGGGGGTCCAACCCTCCGCTGCAGTCCATAAAAGTTTCCAGGGTTAACGAGCTCGTCGCTCTGGACATACTTGGCCCATTTCCCGCTACACCCAGGGGCAATAGGTATTTACTAACGGGGGTTGAATACTTCACGAGATGGCCTATGGCCTGGCCCCTGGCGAACCAATCGGCAGCAGCCATCGCGGAGGCCTTTGTCCAGGGCTATGTCCTCGATAAGGATGCTCCGGAACGGCTGCTTACTGACCAGGGTAGGAATTTTTCTGGTAAACTCCTACGTGAGGTGTGCGACCTCTTGGGTACGGAGAAGGTTCGGACCTCTCCGTATCACCCACAAACTGACGGGATGGTGGAACGGCTGCATCGGACCATCACGTCCATGCTGTCCCAGCAGGTGTCGGTATCCCAGACGGATTGGGACCTCCGCATAGCCGGTGTGTTGCAGGCCTACAGAATGGCTCCCCATGCGGCCACCGGATTTTCCCCTTTCTTTTTAATGTATGGGCGCGAAGTTAACCCTCCTGTGGCGACCCAGCTGAAGCTCTCGGCGCTCCAGGCGAAGTCTAAGTTGTCCGAACACGTTAAATTTAACATCGCTCAATTGTCTGAGGCGCGGGAAGCGGCCGTGCAAAATTCTGAACTCCGCCAGAAGGCGAACGAGAGGCTTCGGTTGGGGCGGGTGCAGGTGGTCAAATGGGTACCAGGGGACAGGGCGTGGTTGCACTGTCCTCAGGTGCCGCTGGCAACCTCGTCGAAATTGGTACGGCCGTGGCGGGGGCCAGTGGAGGTCGTGCAGGTTTTGCGGCCGCAATGTGTTCGCGTCAAATGGGGGAGGCGCCGGTGGTATGTGCACCCCTCAAGGTTAAAACCATTCGTCACGCCGCCCCGGGGTTCACACACACACACGCATGGCCAAACGTGTGAGGGTGTCGCCGACTCCCCGTCGTCGCTGCACTCGCCTTACCTGACGCCAACTGTTCCGCCCCCAGGTGAAACAGGAGTGACGGGCCCACGCCCACCAACCCCTCCCGGAGGGGTCGGGGGTCACTCGGCAGCGGAGCCTGACCCTCTTGCACCCGGACCGTCAACAACCGTCACTGAGCATGCCGGGACGGGCCCTTGTGACGGACCCGCCGCGAGAACGCGCGCCAAAACGCGCAGACTTTTGTGAGGTCGGCCGTTGGGGGGCCTTGCGGACAAGAGGGGAGGGGTGTTGTGAGGTCGGCCGTTGGGGGGCCTTGCGGACGATGGGAAAGGTGACGTCCGGAGTGTATATATATGTTGGTTTTGGGGTGTTATCCGGGGGGGGTGCGTCGGGTTATTTTTTTTTCTCTCTCTCTCTCTTCCTCTCGTTGTTCTTGTTCTTGTTAAAAATTACGCGAGGCACACACGGGGTTTTTGTGAGGGATGCACCTTTATTCTGATTTTTTTTTTTTTGCAGCCGGGGACGGCTGCGAGCTGTACAGGGGGGGGTGATGTAGAGGTGTAATTGCGCATGTCTACGAATGTTGAGGTGTGATTATGCATGGCCACGGATGGCCAACAAACACAAGGGGCGGGGTTACGGCCGTACACAAGGGTGGCGCTCGCACCGACGTCCGCATGTGTATCCCCCACGGGCCCCCCCTTGGGGGCAAGTCCTATAAAAGGTGATGAGCCGAAAGGCTCGGGAGTCGGGACTCAACTATAACCAGAGAAGACGGAAGACCAGCTAGTGTAGGCCCCAGAGCTCCCCTGGCTCGCTGTCCTTATAAGGGCCGACCAGGGCAAGCCGGTGGCGTGGCCCCGAGAGCCCAGACGAAGCTGGTCTGGTGACTCAGGGAGCCGGGATCCCAGCTTAACCAAGCTGGGACAGATAGCCTCCCCTAGTCCCGTAGTGGAGGAATTGGTATAGGTTAGAGGGGTTAGCTGTCGAGAAATCCCTGTAGCCCAGTGACCTGTAAATAACTGTGTTGGTGTAATAAATAAGTGTGCCTCCGATCCTGTCGTCAAGCCTCCATATACTTACTACAGTAGCAACAGCAGTAGCAGAAGCAGCAGTCGGAGCAGTAGCAGCAGTAGTAGCAGTAGCAGCAGTAGTAGCAGCAGCAGCAGCAGTAGCGGAAGCAGCAGTCGGAGCAGCAACAGTAGTAGCAGAAACAGCAGTAGTCGCAGCAGCAGCAGTAGTAGCAGTAGTAGCATCAGTCCGAGCAGCAACAGTCGCATCAGTCAGAGCAGTAGCAGCAGTAGCAGCAGCAGCAACAATCGTCAGAGCTCGGCTCGAGTCGTGAGCCCTCGGCGAGGGCTTTGTCTCGGCAAGCGAGGAGGCAGCTGCAGCAGTGGCTGTAGCGGCAAGGCAGCTGCAGCAGTATTTGTAGCGGCAAGGCAGCTGCAGCAGTGACACCGCGTGCCCTACCTCCTTGGGGCGGAACGATATCGGAGAAAGTCCATGAGCCTGCAGCACCTGGAAGAGACAGAGTCACAGTGAGCTCCTGTTGTTGCGACGGCTGCTATGAGCGTTGAGGCGTGCGTGCTCATCGCCTGTGTAGAGCCCCTGTAGAGCCAGCGGTGGGGATTCCACATTCCTATGGCGGGGTTGAGTTAGTCCATAGGAAAACCACTTAACGTCTCAATAAAAGCAACTTCCGCACCACGTCAGAGTGCACCTGGCATGGCACAAACTCCCCGTGGTCACATCCCCGCAACTTAGTGGCGAACGGCCGCTGTGTGTGTGTGAATGTGTGTATGCGTGTGTTGGTGTGTGCACGTGTACTGACGGTCTTGGGCCTCCTCTAGGTCGACTCAGCCTCAAATGAATATCTGGTGTGTAAACATCGCCATTGGGGAGACAAAGGCGGTCCAGCGTGGTGCTGGCCACCCACCCCCTCGTATGCCGTGCCGGCCTTCATAGGTGCTCGCTACTAACAACGCTTGCTCCTACAGTCTGTTAAGGTCATACGTGGGATCTTTGTCTTCGTGCGTGCGTGCGCGTGTGTGTGTGCGTGTGTGTGCGTGTGTGTGTATGCGTGCGTGTGTGCGCGTGTGTGTGTGCGCGTGTGTGTGTGCGCGTGTGTGTGTGCGTGTGTGTGCATGTGAGCGTGTGTGTGCGTGTGTGTGTGAGCGTGTGTGTGTGTGCGTGTGTGTGCGTGTGCATGTGTGTGTTCTCGCGTGGCGTACGTATTTCGCATCGGCCCAACCGCTCCTGGGCGACCACATCTTCCCCTCGCCCATGAGGCCGAGCGCGAGGTGTGCCAGGGGGGCCAGGTCCCCGCTCGCCCCCACCGTGCCCTTCTCCGGCACGTAGGGCAGACACGACGCTGCACGCGCACACGCACGCACGCACTCGTGACTCTCGAGACCGTGATTTATAGAGATTGTGATGCTGGAGATCATGATCCTAGAGATCGTGATGCTGGAGATGTTGATGCTGGAGGCCGTGATTCTAGATCACGATTATAGAGATGGTGATTCTAGAGATCGTGATTTTAGAGATCGTGATGCTGGAGATCGTGATTCTAGATCACGATTCTAGAGATGGTGATTATAGAGATCGTGATGCTGGAGATCGTGATTCTAGATCGCGATTATAGAGATGGTGATTCTAGAGATTGTGATGCTGGAGATGTTGATGCTGGAGGCCGTGATTCTAGATCACGATTATAGAGATGGTGATTCTAGAGATCGTGATTTTAGAGATCGTGATGCTGGAGATCGTGATTCTAGATCACGATTCTAGAGATGATGATTATAGAGATCGTGATGCTGGAGATCGTGATTCTAGATCGCGATTATAGAGATGGTGATTCTAGAGATTGTGATGCTGGAGATGTTGATACTGGAGATCGTGATTCTAGATCACGATTCTAGAGATGGTGATTCTAGAGATCGTGATTTTAGAGATCGTGATGCTGGAGATCGTGATTCTAGATCACGATTCTAGAGATGGTGATTATAGAGATCGTGATGCTGGAGATCGTGATTCTAGATCGCGATTATAGAGATGGTGATTCTAGAGATTGTGATGCTGGAGATGTTGATACTGGAGATCGTGATCCTAGAGATGGTGATGCTGTAGATGTCGACGCTAAAGGCCTCGATCCTGGAGACAGCTCGGGGCACGGCCTCACCGTTGAATGCGCTGATCATGCGGCTGATGGATTCTGGGGAGATGCCGCTGTAGCCCTTGGCCAGAACGTTGATCCGCAGTGCGAGCAGCATGCGGGTCCGCTCCGGCAGGAGGGGCTTCCCCACTCCTGCACCACCGCGACAGACACGCGGCGTCACGCGCGGGCATCACAGCTGCACGGCACAGGCGATGCCACCGCGGGAGAATTACCACCTTTGCACGGACCAAACCCGGATGGGTGACATCGCTAGTTGGTGGGTGAGTGAGTGAGTGAGTGGGCAAACGGGTCAGTGGGTGGGTGACTGAGCGGGCGGGCGGGTGGCTGAGCGTGCGTGTGAGTGAGTGGTAGGGTTGCACTGGGCCAGTCAGAACAGGGCAATTCGCTGTGACGATGAATCAGTTGCTGCCACCCGGGCGGAGAGACGCCGGTGCCCGCAGCACAGGTGGCAACCCCTGGCCCCGACGCGCCGCCAGCCCCCCCCCTCACCTGCTGCGTGCGAGCGGATGAGGTTCTCCTGCAGCTCCCTGCGACGACAGAGACGCGACATCATCACCCGTGGTGGTGTGGTGCTGTGTGGTGGTGTTGGTGTGGTGCTGTCTGGTGCTGTGTGGTGGTGGTGTGGTGCTATGTGGTGGTGGTGGTGTGGTGCTGTGTGGTGGTGGTGTGGTGCTGTCTGGTGCTGTGTGGTGGTGTGGTGCTATGTGGTGGTGGTGGTGTGGTGCTGTGTGGTGGTGTTGGTGTGGTGCTGTCTGGTGCTGTGTGGTGGTGGTGTGGTGCTATGTGGTGGTGGTGTGGTGCTGTGTGGTGGTGGTGTGGTGCTGTGTGGTGGTGGAGTGGTGGTAGTGGTGGTAGTGGTGTGATGCTGTGTGGTGGTGGTGTGGTGCTGTGTGGTGGCAGTGGTGCTGTGTGGTGGTGGTGCTGTGTGGTGATGTTGTGGTGGTGGTGGTGTGGTGGTGGTGTGGTTCTGTGTGGTGGTAGTGGTGTGGTGCTGTGTGGTAGTAGTGGTGTGGTGCTGTGTGGTGTTGGTGTGGTGCTGTGTGGTAGTAGTGGTGTGGTGCTGTGTGGTGGTGGTGTAGTGCTGTGTGGTGGTGGTGGTGTGGTGCTGTGTGGTGGTAGTGGTGTGGTGCTGTGTGGTGGTGGTGTAGTGCTGTGTGGTAGTAGTGGTGTGGTGCTGTGTGGTGGTGGTGTGGTGCTGTGTGGTGGTGGTGGTGTGGTGCTGTGTGGTGGTAGTGGTGTGGTGCTGTGTGGTGGTGGTGGTGGTGTAGTGCTGTGTGGTAGTAGTGGTGTGGTGCTGTGTGGTGGTAGTGGTGTGATGCTGTGTGGTAGTAGTGGTGTGATGCTGCGTGATGCTTGCTCACTTGAGCTTGTTGCTTGGGATGACCGTGCGGGCGAACTTGCCAAATCCCGTCGTGATTCCGTAAACCACTGTGGTGCACACACGGGTGCAGGTGTGACACAGTGACACCACGTGTTCAGTGCAGGTGTGACACAGTGACACCACATGCTCAGTGCAGGTGTGACACTGTGACACCACGTGTTTAGTGCAGGAGTGACACGGTGACACTACACACGTGTTCAGTGTAACCTTGACAAACTGCAGCAAGACCGTGTTCAGCGTGACCTTTGGTGTGACCCTGGGCTGACCTTTGTTCTCCTGGATGATCGTCTCCAGCAGCTCGCGCGATTTCCTGATCCTGACCTGGGCCTCCTCCGTGAGCTGAGGAGACACAGGGGCAGCATGAGTGGCCCCACGGCGGAGGGAAGCCTCACGGTGGAGCCTGGCCCCACGGTGGAGCTGTTTGAGGCAAGCCCCACAATGGAGCAGGGCTCCACGATGGAGGTGGAGCGATGCCCCACGGTGCAGTGGGGCAAGGTGAACCTCACGGTGTCTGCCCGTGTCCTCGTGACCTGCTGACTCATTGGCCTGCAACCCAATGACCTGGTGACCTGGTGACCTGCCCTGTGGGCCTCACCTTGATCTTGAAGTGGCTTTTGCCGAGACGCAGCAGCTCCCGAGTGCTCAAACTGTTGCCATCCAAGCTCAGAAACTGCACAGCGAGGTCACGTGGAAACACACGCAGATATACACACCAATGCACAGATGCCCCGTGTAGCCTTCACAGACTGTTGGGGCAAGTGGTGTTTAGCGAGGCCAGAATGGCACACGAGAGGGTGGGTGGGCCAGCACCACGCCCGGCCGCCTTTGTCTCCCAAATGGTGATGTTTACACACTGACACCAGATACTAATTTGAGGCTGAGTCGATCCAGGGGAGGACGATGAGTTCACATAATCGTCACTGGTGTTGGTGGCCATGAGCGGGAATCGAACTCGGGTCGCACGGCGCGCGAACTGCTACACGACCGCTCCCCATAGACACACATAAAACTAAAATTAAAGATTCCCCGTATAGCCTTTAACAGACTGTTGGGGCAAGTGCTGTTAGCGAGCACCTATGAAGGCGCGAACGACACACGAGGGAGTGGGTAAGCCAGCACCATGCCCGGCCGCCTTTGTCTCCCTAGTGGCGATGTTTACACATAGCACTCGGTACTAATTTGATGCTGAGTTGACCTAGGGGAGGCCCATGACCTTTTCAGATAATTATATTATCACTGGTGTTGGCCGTGAGCAGGAATCGAACTCGGGTCCCCGGGTTCGTAGCGCTAACAGTTTTACACAACCGCTCCCAGCTACACATACACGCTCATAGACACACACCATACCAACACACAAAGACAACGCACACGCACACACACACTTGGCCCCATCCTCAACAGTGTGGGTTGAGTGTCAGAAGGTGAGTGCGTGTGACGTCACCTCTTCTGGCTCCTTGTAAGTGATGTTCCTGCAACAAGACATTGCGTTGGCAAGTTACATTCACCCATCCCAAGTTCCATTCCACTATCCCAGTTGCATTCACCCATCCCAGTTGCAGTCACCCATCCCAGTTCCATTTACCCATCCCAAGTTGCATTCAACTATCCCAGTTGCATTCACCCATCCCAGTTGCAGTCACCCATCCCAGTTCCATTCACCCATCCCAGTTCCATTCAACTATCCCAAGTTGCATTCACCCATCCCAAGTGTCATTTTTCAGCGGCAAGTTCCATGAACATCCGAGTAAGATCCACAGCGGCCCAGCGGCGGAGTTTGATTGACGCAACCCATCACCCTCCCTGCCTCCGGGGTCGATAAACGTATCACCACTTTATGAGCAAGTCAACAGTGGGTGTCCCATAATATCAGACTCGCCCTCGCCATAGGAACGTGGACTTAGCACCACTGGCTGTGCTGCAGGGCTGTAAGCAGTAGGCGGGCAGCACTGCCTCGTTGCTTATATGAGCAGCAGGAAGTCACCTTGGCTCCAGGGCACTGATTGGCACACATACCAGAAAGATTGATGACTCAAAACGACTCCAAGGTATCTAAGCTGCACCAAAGCACGGTGGCGAGATGGTGACTCTCTCGCCTCGTATACAGGAGGTCGTGGGCTCGATCCCAACCCTGACAATGCCTGCTGCTGTATATTTGGGGTTTGCGTGTCTCTCCCTCATCATTATCGCGGTGGCTTGGAGATGTTAACTACCTCGCCTGGTATACAGGAGGTCGTGGGTTCGGCCCCAACCCTGACAATGCCTGCTGCTGTATATTTGGAGTTTGCGTGTCTTTCCCTTATCATTATCGCGGTGGCTAGGAGATGTTAGCTACCTCGCCTGGTATACAGGAGGTCGTGGGTTCGATCCCAACCCTGACAATGCCTGCTGCTGTATATTTGGAGTTTGCGTGTCTCTCCCTTATCATTATCGCGGTGGCTAGGAGATGTTAGCTACCTCGCCTGGTATATAGGAGGTCGTGGGTTCGATCCCAACCCTGACAATGCCTGCTGTTGTATATTTGGAGTTTGCGTGTCTCTCCCTTATCATTATCGCGGTGGCTAGGAGATGTTAGCTACCTCGCCTGGTATACAGGAGGTCGTGGGTTCGATCCCAACCCTGGCAATGCCTGCTGCTGTATATTTGGAGTTTGTGTGTCTCTCTCCCAGTGGTCACGTGGATTTTTCTCCGAGTCCTCCCGGTTTTCTGCTCCTCCACATTGAGAAACAAAGTGCGTTGACGTTAATTTGGCCGCGATACATGTCCACGCAATGATAGGCCACTTCGTTGAGCCATCATCTGTGATGGCCAGGTCGACTTCTGCAAACGAGAGCTCTACATAGCTCAGTGGGCCTGACCTGGTAAAATAATAATTTAACAAAAATAGTTGAGTTTTTGGTGCAGCAGTGACTCATGCTGTCTACTGCCCTCTTGCGGCCCAAACCGAAACTCAAACACCGCTCCAGGTAAACTCTCTCTAGATCCCCTCCCCACCCCACACCGCGACCTCCACACTCCCCCCACGCCACCCCCATGGACCACTGATGAATCCAAAACATTTCTGCGAAAAATATTTGTTTTAAATCAGTGAGCAAGTTTACATATGAATGTTTAATCGTTTTTTTTGCTTCTATTCCGACACGTCCCGTCGGGCAACCACGACTCTGTCCTTCTGCGGAGTGCGTCATTTGGGTTGGTTGGTGTAGCCACAAGAAAAACAATACAGGGTGTTTTTTTGGGTTAGATCGCGTAAATATATGAATGTGTCGTTAAACCCGCCACCACCCGACACAGCCAACTCGTAAGGGTTGTGTCACGTAAACAGAACGTGGCCAATTCGTCACTAGTACAGCACTAGTGTGTAGTGTAGTGCATAGTGTAGTGTATAGTGTAGTGTATAGTGGAGTGTATAGTGTAGTGTATAGTGGAGTGTATAGTGTAGTGTATAGTGGAGTGTATAGTAATGTAGTGCATAGTGTAGTGTATAGTGTAGTGTATAGTGGAGTGTATAGTGTAGGGTATAGTGTAGTGTATAGTAGTGTAGTGTATAGTGTAGTGTATAGTGGAATGTATAGTAGTGTAGTGTATAGTAGTGGAGTGTATCACAGTGGAGTGTATAGTAGTGTAGTGTATAGTAGTGTAGTGTATAGTAGTGTAGTGTATAGTAGTGTAGTGTATAGTAGTGTAGTGTATAGTAGTGTAGAGCAGGGGTCCTCAAACTACGGCCCGCGGGCCACATGCGGCCCGCCGAGGACATTTATCCGGCCCGCCGGGTGTTTTTGCCGCCGCTGCCTGTCTGTTACTTTTTTTCTACATGAGAAGGACGGTCATTGGTGGAAGAGGGAGAGGGGGCGGAGTTTCCCCCAATCAGACTGCATTGATGGGCAGTGCAGTCTGTATGTCTCTGTGTGGGCAAAGTTATTGCTGGTATATTGTTTTTGTAGCGCTGTATATATTGGTATTTTACTAATAGCAATTTTGACTCCCTAGGAAACAATGATGTCAAGAAAGAGAAAAATTGACTCGGAGTGTAGGATATTCAAAGAACAGTGGACTTATGATTATTTTTTCATGCAGTACAAGGAAAGAGCTGTGTGTCTGATATGCCAGAATATAGTGTCTGTGTTCAAAGAATACAATTTACGTCAACACTATAAAACTCAACATAAAGATACATTTGCTTGTTTGGTCGGAGAAGTGAGAAAAGATAAAATATTAAAACTGAAAAATACATTAACAACTCAGCGAAATAGTTTTGTGAAGCAGAAGCAGCTAAATATTTCATCACTGCGAGCAAGTTTTCAAGTTGCCAAGCTAATAGCATGCACTGGCAGACCATTCGTGGAGGGAGAATTTGTTAAAGAATGCCTTCTTTCTGTTGCCAAAGAGATGTGTCCAGAGAAGACCGATTTATTTAGCACAGTGAGTCTTTCAGGACCTACAATTACACGGAGGATTGAAGAAATGGGAGACAATTTGCATCAGCATTTGCAAAACTCCACAAAAAAACTTTCCTATTTTTCCTTGGCACTCGACGAAAGCAATGATGTTCGTGATTCTGCACAACTTCAAATTTTTATTCGTGTGACGAATGACTATTTCGAAGTCACAGAAGAGCTTGCTGCACTGCAAAGCATCAAAGGAACAACTACAAGAGAGGATATCTTTCGATTTAAAGCTTTCGTGACTGCAGGGATTCATCTTCTTGGTTCTTTCGGTAAAGTCACATAGAAGGGAAGTAATAAAATAATTCTCACGACGTTTCGGCCACAACGCAAGCAGCCGTCCTCAGGTGAAAACCAGGTATGTTGGGGAGACAGCGTCTGAATGAAACAGCACACGAGCTTGGAGCATATATAAGCTGGGTTGGAAGCGGGGGAAAGAGCGCCTTGACAAAATAATTTCAATATCAAGAGGAATTTAGCATATTTATGGGAAATGCAGGAATGTGATTAGTACTACATATGCCCGTGCTGCATATGTAGTACTAATAACATTCCTGCATGTCCCATAAATATGCTAAATTCCTCTTGATATGCAAATTATTTGTCAAGGCGCTCTTTCCCCCGTTTCCAACCCAGCTTATATATGCTCCAAGCTCGTGTGCTGTTTCATTCAGATGCTGTCTCCCCGACAGACCTGGCTTTCACCTGAGGACGGCTGCTTGCGTTGTGGCCGAAACGTCGTGAGAATTATTTTATTATGTTTTATTTTTATTATTTTATTACTTCCCTTCTACGTGACTTTACCGAAAGAACCAAGAAGAGAGGATATCTATGAAAAGGTTTGCCAAACTGTGAATGGTTTGGAGCTGAACTGGGCTAAACTAGCCAGTGTGACAACTGATGGTGCTCCTAGTATGGTGGGTCTAAGAAAGGAGTAATTGCTCGCATTAACCAAGAGATGGACAAACATAACCATTCTCATCCAATAGCCATACACTGCCTCATCCACCAACAAGCGCTGTGTAGTAAATCACTGAAGTGGGACTCGGTTATGAAATTTGTGGTATCTTGTGTTAACTTCATTAGAGCTCATGCACTAAACCACAGACAATTTCAGGCATTTCTGTCTGAGCTAAATGTTGACTATGAAGATGTTCTGTATCACACAGAAGTCCGTTGGCTGAGTCGAGGGAGAGTTTTGAAACGTTTCTATGACTTACTTCCACAGATTACAGCTTTTCTGCTTTAAAAAAACAAAGAAGTACCAGAGCTCAATGATGCAGAATGGAAATGGCACCTTGCCTTTCTGACAGATGTAACAGAGCTACTCAACAGTTTCAATGTGCAACTTCAAGGAAAGGGGAAGCTCATCTGTGATATGCAATCACATGTCAAAGCATTTGAAGTAATATTAGGCCTCCTCATCAAACAAGTGAAGGAGGAAAACTTCTGCCATCTTCCCACAACTCAAAATCTGTTAGCGGAAAAACCATTGGTTGCATTCCCAAACAAAACGTGTGGATTCACTGGAAAAATTGCAAAAGGAGTTCCAATTTGGATTTAAAGAGCTTCATCTCCATGAACAGGACATACAGCTTTTCCGTAACCCATTTTCTATTGACATTGAAAATGTGGATACAATTTACCAAATGGAACTGGCTGAACTGCAGAATTGTGACTCTCTGAAAGACGCATTCAAGTCAAGCAGCCTTCATAATTTCTATGCATCTCTCCCCTCTGAGACATATCCTCATCTCAGGAACCATGCACTTAAAATGGCAACCATCTTTGGCAGCACTTATGTCTGTGAACAGACTTTTTCCAGAATGAAACATTTGAAATCTCCAACCAGATCTAGACTAATGGATGCACACTTGCATCACTTGTTACGACTAGCAGTGACAAATATGGAACCGGACATTGACCATCTCATTAGCCAAAAGCAGGCCCATAGTTCCCATTGAAATACTGGCAAGTTTGTTGATTTAACTTTACTTGTTCTTCATTTTAAATATTGTATTTATTCCCGTTTTGTTTCTTCACTTCAAAATAAGATATATGCAGTGTGCATAGGAATTTGTTCATAGTTTTTTTAACTATAGTCCGGCCCTCCAACGGTCTGAGGGACAGTGAACTGGCCCCCTGTTTAAAAAGTTTGAGGACCCCTGGTGTAGAGTATAGTAGTATAGTGTAGTGTATAATCGTGCAGTGTAGTGTATAGTATAGTGTAGTGTATAGTGTAGTGTATAGTGTAGTATACTAGTACAGCACACCGGTGTGTTGGAGAGCCAAGCCACAACATTTACAATCTGAGTACGACGTTTCGCCAGTAATTACAACTAGCTTCATCAGGCGACAGCCAGAGTTGCTGTTCCTCCTCCCCCGCTGAAGGAGCGCAGACTACAGCGGCTTTCACAATCGCGTTTTGTTTGGGTGTCGCCTGATGAAGCTCCTCGTTCGAGACCCAAACAACATCGCACCTCCTCCTGGCTTTGGCATTTCCTCCTCGAAGACACCGGCGGAGCCTCAGATCCGTCGCCAGGCCGTTGCGCGCACCGCCCTCATGGGTGTGAAATTAAAGACGCCGTGGCGATGCAACCCAAATTGTGGGCCCCATCGTGAAGGCCACTGTCGTCAGTTCAACACGTCCAATTTTTCGCGACCAAAATGATCAATTCGAGTACGAAACGTCGTACTCGAATAGTAAGTGTTGTGGGTTTACTCTCCAACACACAGCAGGGGTGCTCGACTGGTAACGAATTGGCACGTTCTGTTTACGTGACACAACTTACTAGTTGGCTGTGTCGGGGGGCGGTGGAGGTTGGATGGATGGGGGTCACTCACCAGGGCTGGGGGGTGAGGGGGGGGTCACTCACCAGGGCTGGGGGGTGAGGGGTGAGGGGTCACTCACCAGGGCTGGGGGGTGAGGGTGGGGTGACACTCACCAGGGCTGGGGGGGTGAGGGGTGAGGGGTCACTCACCAGGGCTGGGGGGTGAGGGGTGAGGGGTCACTCACCAGGGCTGGGGGTGAGGGGTGAGGGGTGAGGGGTCACTCACCAGGGCTGGGGGGTGAGGGGTGAGGGGTCACTCACCAGGGCTGGGGGGTGAGGGGTGAGGGGTCACTCACCAGGGCTGGGGGGTGAGGAGGGAGGGGGTCACTCACCAGGGCTGGGGGGTGAGGGGGGGGGTGACACTCACCAGGGCTGGGGGGTGAGGGGGGGGTGACACTCACCAGGGCTGGGGGGTGAGGGGTGAGGGGTCACTCACCAGGGCTGGGGGGTGAGGGGGTCACTCACCAGGGCTGGGGGGTGACGGGGTGAGGGGTCACTCACCAGGGCTGGAGTCTCTCGGGCTGCGAGGGGTAGAAGTCCTCTGACATGGCGTCTCCCTCCAGGGCTGGGGGACACGGGGGGGGGGGCGGCACGGGGGGGGGGGACACGGGGGGGGGGGGGGACACGGGGGGGGGGGACACGGGGGGGGTCAACACCATCAGTGGATGGAACCCGCATCGCTCACCTCACCAGCACTCACCTCCCCTCATCCAGTCTCCAGACCCCTCACCTCATACACACGGCATCGACAGCACTCACCCCTCCGTCATCCAGGTCCCTCAACCTCATGCCGACACCTCATCATCCTCACATCCTCGCATCCCTCACCAGACCCTCACCTCATCATCCTCGCACCCCTCACCCAGACCTCCTCACTCCCTCAACTCATCCAAATCTACACCTCGTCCACTCATCTCCCTCTTTCAAACCCTCACCTCATCCTCACTCTCACCTCGCCCAACCAGGCCCTCTCCTCGTCAACACGTAACATCCCCCATCCAAACGTCACCCGTACTCTCGCCCCATACAGATCTCCACTTCATCAGCTCCCATTCCCTAATCCTTCCTTCCACGCTCACATCTCCCCTCCCTTCCATCTCAGCCCTGCTCGCCTCGATCCCCATCTGCCCCCCTCCTCCTCCTCGTCCATCCTCACCCAGCTCCACGAAGTCGTTGTCCTGCAGCACGTCCTCCAGCAGGTCGTCTTGGTCCAGGAGTCCGAGGCCCTGGCACCTCCTCACGGTGAAGCGAACCTCTGCCAGGGCCCCCAGGCCGCCGTGGTCCGGCTTGTTCTTCACGTGCCGCTTGAGCGCCTCCAGCCCCAGCGAGTAGACCGAGTCCGAGGCGCGGCCCGGGACGGCCAACCACTCACCACGCACCCTCGCCGTGAAACGCATGCTGCTGGTGACCCTGTCCACTCTAGAACTCTCCACACTATAACTTTCTACACTAGATGTCTCTACACGAGACCTCTGCACACTAGATCTCTCTACACTAAACCTCTACACTAGACGTCTCTACACTAGATGTCTCTACACTAGAACTCTCTACACTAGATGTCTCCACACTAGAACTGTCTACACTAGAACTCTCTACAATAGAACTCTCCACACTAGAATTCTCTAGTGTAACACTCCACACTACACCTCTCTTGACCCGTGTAGGCCCCTCTATATCTGCCCTGTTCACTCAGGAATCTGTCTGCACGTGCCCTGGACCTGCTGACTCAATCCCTCCAACCACCTCGACCACCACCACGACCATCAGCAGCAGCAGTCGTGACTGAGCGAGACGGGGACGTGGACGCATCGAGGATGAGCGCGTGGATTGAGAGGGGGGGACGACGACACACCCCCTACCCCCCCCCCCACGGGACGAGCACGTGGACCCCGTGGGGGGACGACACACCCCCTACCCCCCCCCCCCCCCCCACGGGACGAGCACGCGGACCCCGTGGGGGGGACACACACACACACCCCCTACCCCCCACGGGACGAGCACGTGGACCCCGCGGCTGCCCCTCCTGAGACTCGGGGACCGGAGGGGGCTTGGCCCGGCTGGCACGTGGCCAGGAGGCGCGGCGCCGGGAGCAGATAACCCCCCCCCCTCCCGGTGTTTGCAGGTCGCCGGTGTTTACCAGCGGGGCGCCTCGGCGATTAGAGATTAATCAGCGGCAACGTCCGCCGCTCCCCCCCCCTCAACCGACCGACTGACCGACCGCCACTCAATCCGCGCTTTCTGCAGACGACGTCAAAAAAAGGCCACCACGGAGTTACATAACTCGCGTGGCTCCACACGGGAGTCGCATCACTCCCCTCCGCCATGGTGGGGGTCCTCCACGCGAGATGAACCCCCACTGTGGTTCAGCCCCCCCTCCTCCCTCCATTCACTCGGGGCCACGATGTCCATCACCGGGGCCACGATGTCCGTCACCGGGGCCACGATGTCCATCACCGGGGCCACGGTGTCCGTCACTGGGGCCACGATGTCCGTCACCGGGGCCACGATGTCCATCACCGGGGCCACGATGTCCGTCACTGGGGCCACGATGTCCATCACCGGGGCCACGATGTCCATCACCGGGGCCACGATGTCCATCACCGGGGCCACGGTGTCCATCACTGGAGCCATGATGTCCATCACTGGGGCCACGATGTCCATCACCGGGGCCACGATGTCCATCACCGGGGCCACCATGTCCATCACTGGGGCCACGATGTCCATCACCGGGGCCACGATGTCCGTCACCGGGGCCACCATGTCCATCACTGGGGCCACGATGTCCATCACTGGAGCCACGGTGTCCATCACCGGGGCCACGGTGTCCATCACTGGGGCCACGATGTCCATCACTGGGGCCGCAACTGCACTGCTCGAGGGTCATGTGGTTGTGAGAACTGGAGAGGGGGGGGGAGCAGAGCGCAGTCTGACGGGCAGCAGCGAGCGACCCGGGGGTTGGCAGAATGACACAAGCCGCAGCGTGAAATAAAGAACAGCGAGCAAGTGAATAGCGGAGATGACCGAAGAGAAATCGGAGCTTTTAAACACGTGGACTCGTTCATCGTGGGGGTGCGGCCACATCTCGCGCCGCCGCACAGAGGCAGAGTGCAATCACTCGACAGCGGAGGCACCGTCCTGTGTCTGTGCCAGTGTGTGCGACGCTCACAACAACGAGCGGAGCGCCGGGTGGCTAAAGCATAGCAAGTTGGCACAGTATGGGGCACAGGTGGTGCATCAGCCAGTCATCTCGGTCATCTCAGTCAGTCGACCCGTGGCACCTGCTGGGTCTGCCCCGTGACCTCCTGCCAACGGGCGTTTGACACTTCACGTGGCCTCAAGGTGCACATGGCCTGGCACAAGCGTCGTGGTGACGTCAGCGCCACTTAGTGGCGAATGGCGGTTGTTGTTGTTGTGTGTCATTTACGCGAGTCTGCGCCGTTATCTTCGAAATCCATGGGTCTGTGCGAGTCGGACGTGGGGCGAGGGCGCGTAGGGCGAGATGGAAGGGGAGAGGTGGGGAGAGTGCGCGGGGGGTGGGTGGAGTGGTCGAGTGAGATGTGGGGGACGAGGAGTGCCTCCAGGATCTTGAAGAGGGCGAGCGAGGCGAGACGTCACCGTCCGCCGAGTTATTCTGACTGAACGAGGACTTGGGGACCCCCCCACCCACACCCCTGAGTGTGATGGAGCCCGCGAGAGCGTGAGCCCAGCCGCATTCCCTTCCGCAGGTGTGTAGCGTCCAATCCACAAAGCACCGAGACCATGCACCGTGGAGGGGGGAATCTCAATTCCCCAGAGGACTTCAACTCCTCGACTAGTCTTAAGAGTGTCTAGTGTAGAGTCTTAGACAAAGCACTAGGCGCCATCTATCGGTGGAAGTTATGGATTTACAGCCGGGGATGTAAATTTGCCATCAGCTGTAACGCGAATTGTCGTTTCTAATATCAATGTTCCTATTCGTCCCAGGATGCACGCCAGCATCTCCGCGCGGGCGCCCCCCCGTGGTGGGAGTGGGGGGGGGATGCACGTCACATAGCACCGCCGCTTTTCTGGCTCCCACAAATCAAGCCCACGGCAAAACGTGACAATTCACCAGGGCCCCCACGATGACCCCACCCAGGGCCCCCACGATGACCCCATCCAGGGTCTCCACGGTGACCCCACCCAGGGCCCCCACGGTGACCCCACCCAGGGCCCCCACGGTGACCCCATCCATGGCCCCCACGGTGACCCCATCCAGGGTCTCCACGGTGACCCCATCCATGGCCCCCACGGTGACCCCACCCAGGGCCCCCACGGTGACCCCATCCATGGCCCCCACGGTGACCCCATCCAGGGTCTCCACGGTGACCCCATCCATGGCCCCCACGGTGACCCCATCCAGGGTCTCCACGGTGACCCCACCCAGGGCCCCCACGGTGACCCCACCCAGGGCCCCCACGGTGACCCCATCCATGGCCCCCACGGTGACCCCACCCAGGGCCCCCACGGTGACCCCACCCAGGGCCCCCACGGTGACCCCACCCAGGGCCTCCACGGTGACCCCATCCAGGGCCTCCATGGTGACCCCACCCAGGGCCCCCACGGTGACCCCATCCATGGCCCCCACGGTGACCCCATCCAGGGTCTCCACGGTGACCCCACCCAGGGCCCCCACGGTGACCCCACCCAGGGCCTCCACGGTGACCCCATCCATGGCCTCCACGGTGACCCCACCCAGGGCCACCACGGTGACCCCATCCATGGCCCCCACGGTGACCCCATCCAGGGTCTCCACGGTGACCCCATCCAGGGTCTCCACGGTGACCCCACCCAGGGCCTCCACGGTGACCCCACCCAGGGTCTCCACAGTGACCCCAATCCAGTCTCCATGGTGACGACTCAACCCTGGTATCCACAGAGACCCCACCAATTACTCGGCTCTACCACGACACGTCGCTCGGCAGGTGATGACACACTTTATTAAGTAAACCTTTTGCTGAAAAATCGTTTATGTACAAGTAGTAAAATTCGTTCTGATGTTTAAAATAGGAGTGCATATATTTACAGTCGTTCAAGTACCGGGACGGACCGCGGGACCGGGCTCCGCAGACTCTTCCGCGCGGAGCGGCGATCGGGGGGGAACGCGGGGACCCAAGTCCGGAGCAACCGCGTCGCACGTAGCAACCGCTCCCCCCCCCAGCCACCACAGAGCAACGCCACGGGAGCGACCGGCGGAGCGCGGGACAGCGCGCGCACAACACGCACGCGTTCGCACGGGTACACTGGCCTAACGCGTGCGCGCACACACACACACACTCGCTCGTTCGCATGCAGCCGTACATACGTTGACAAGCGCACGCATGGATATACTGGGACATGCACGCGCGCACACTCGCGTACAGACACACGCACACACATACTAATATGATCTCAAATAGTCACACACGCATCACACTCGGTCAGTCATGCACACTAAAAGGCTTGGATACAACGGCCGTCATTCGCGACAGCGCATGTGCCAGGCCAGGTGCACCGTGAGGCCACGTGAAGTGTTGAAGGCTCGCTGGCAGGTCAGAGAACAGACCGAGATGCCATGGGTTGACCGAGATGACGAGCAGATTCACCACCTATGCCCCCTACTGTGCCGACTGTGTTTTAGCTGCCAAGTGGTCTGCTCATTGTTGTGAGCGTTGCTTCTCTGCCCTTCGCTATTGTTGGAGGAAAAGTGCCTCTTAACTGCCCAGTAGCGTCCTTCACGAGCCTCCTTCAGAGGCCGATCTTGACACGGCTGGTACCAGTTATCGGTAAGTCCACTCCGCTCCATATCCAGTACCACATCACTCCATCGCTTCTCTAGCCTGTGCGTGCCCGTTTAGCCCCCTCTATCCGGCCAAACAAACCATGGTTTGGCATGCGGTGGCTGGGCATGCAGGCTACATGACCCAGCCAACACAGCCTTGCCTGCCGGACTGTGTCCAGATCTTTCAATAATCTTTAAGCTCCCCACACAATCCAGCCAAGTTAAAACCAGGCTGGATCGTGGCAGGCGAGCCTGAATGTTTCGAACCGACGTAGATGTTCCATTAAGGGGGGGGTCCACGTTTTCCAAGCAAAGAGAAGGGACGGCATTGACTGTGGCCGAGAAGATCCGAAGTTTCATGTGGAGCAACAGACCAGGTAGCTTCCACAGTGTTACGAAGCCAATGGAAAAGATAATGGAGCCCGATTGATTCAACGTGCAACCTCTGCTGTCAAACCAGAGCTGGTCATAAGCACACTTCCCAGGTATGGGTGGAGTGTTTGACGACACAAAATACCCAGATGGGTGCTTAGTTTTGGTGAGGCTGATGGTAAGGCCCCACTTCTTAGTAGCACGCTCCAGATTCAGCAGCAGCGCCCCCAACTCCTTCTCTGAGCGAGCAGTAATTACCAGATCATCAGCGTACGTAACATGGTTGATGAAGAGGGAACCACTCACAAACACACATGCACTTACATAAAGATACTCGGACACACCATGACACTTCTGCACACATTCGCAGTAACATTCACACAAACTGACAGGAACATTTACATTTGCAATGACAGTAGAGTCAACCTACGGTGAGAGCGGACTAGTGGCCACGGGAGGCAATAACAGGGGAATCAGCTTGCAATACGAATGGACTGGTGGCTACGGGAATGATTGAGAATCGGAGCGTGGCCAGGCGACGGAAGAGGACGGTGGAATCTGCCGGTAGAGCGAGCGTCTGGAACCTGCGAGAAAGTTCGGGAATGGGGGCGTGGCCTCGGACCGTATACAAGGGAGATGCGTGGGAGACTCGGGGGTCTCCGTCTGTCCGAGTGTGAGCACGTGGCTACTGAATAAAGAAACCATCTCAAGAAAAGTGTGTCAAGTCGTCATTACACATTTACGTACAAATTGCCACTCACAGATTCACGCACTGCGACTCTCACGCCGACCGAATGAACGAACGTGTCGGTGTGAGAAACACGCGGATACACAAGACACACACTTGCTCAGACACACTCGCTCGTTCACATCCACACACACACTCATTCACCGTCACAAACGCACACTCTCACCGACGCTCGTGCACATTTACACACAGTCACACACTCGCTCGTTCACACCCACTCACACTCATTCACCGTCACAAACGCACACACTCACCGACGCTCGTGCACATTCACACAAAGTCACACACACACTCGCTCGTGCACACACGCAGCAAAGCACGGCGCGACCCAGGTTCGCTTTGGCAGCAGTGGACCCTGTGTGGGGGAGGTGGCGGTACGGGGTGGGGGGGGTGCGGGTGGTGGAAGGCGCCCCCCCTCCTCTCCCCGCCCCCCACCCGCCCGACCCCCGCCCATCCGACCCCCCCCCCCGCCCGCGCGGTGCTGTCCCTCGCACTCCGCGGCCCCCCGGTGGAGGGGATGTGTGAGTAACACTAGAACCACAAGGACATTGACCGAGATACACGATTGGACCTCTTCACATGAAAATACTTACTGTATATGATTCACGAGGGTCGAGGATGAAGGCCGGTGGGGGGGGGGGGGGGGGGGGGCTGCGGACAGGGCCCCCCACCCCGCCAGAGCCACGCACGGAACTCACGTACCCCCCCCCCCTCCCCGTGCTACCGCGCCCCCCACCACCGGCCCCCGGTCCCGCACCGGCCTTCGCGACGTTTGCACAACACATCGTTATTACGCCCCCCCACCTCCCCCCCCTCCCCGTCCCCCCACAGCGTGTCCGATCGTCGGCTCATCCTGCAAAATGACAACTTCTTCCTCCTCCTCCTCGTTCTTCTTCAAACGTTCAACGTAAAGGTCGCGCATGGAAATGTTTGTTTCTATATCATGCAGTCAAAACGGAAAGCGTACTCTATCAAAAGTAGAAATACTAACGAAGTCTCCTAGAACATGTGCAAATCTGTCCACTACAGGCAGGGCGGCCGCGTCTACCCCCCCCCCCCACCCCTGCTCCCCCTTCCCCACGATCACGGCCCCCTAACCCCTGGCTCCAGCTCCTCGAATCGCAGACTGAGCACGGGACGGGGTCACGGGGATCGGCGTCGCGCGCTGCAAAACCAAACGCAGTCACGCGATCGAGATTCGGTACCTTGGCCCCCAACCCACCCACCCACCCACCCCCCCGCTGCCCCCCCCCCCCCGCTGCCCCCCCCCCCCTGGGGGCGGTCGCTCATCCGCGCACACCGGCGCTCGGCCCGGTATCGCGAAAACGGGAGAAATGGCTTCTGGTCCTATAGCTCCGTGGACAGTCGGCACGAGAGCGCGGTTGGCGTCACAGCGGCGCGCGCGGCCGCCCCCGCCCCCCTGCCCGCCCCCCCGAACTCTCCCACCACTTCCGTGAGCGCCACCGAGCGATGAGAGGCCAGGCTGGGGGGGGGGGGGGGGGCCTCGCGGCGTCAACGCGCACAGACGGTTCAAACCCAAGTCGGGCCTCTCTCGCCGCTGACGACGAGCATCTCCGCGGCCTGTGTCCCCTCGCTCACATTCAAGTCGTTGCTCACGGAACGCACCCAAAGGTGTCCCCCCCCCCACCACCACCACCTCCCTCCCCGTTGTGTCCGAGCCACAGGGCGATTGTCCAGGTTAGAGTGACGTAGCCCCAGGGGCCTTCACGACCTGGGGCCGTCACGCGCCGCAAAGCCGCGGTCGCAGATTCACTCTGCTCCTCCCGGATAAGCGCGCGCGGGGGGCATTTGAAATGCGTGACAACCGCCTCGTCACCCCGACGCGGTCCCCACACACACACACACTCGCTCGGCACGCGCCTGCAGTGTCAGGTTAACGCGCGCGCCTGTTGTGTCAAGTAAACGAGCGCCTGTAGAGAGCGAGCTTCTAGCGTCAGGTTAACGCGCATGCCTGTAACGTCAGGTGAACGAGCGCCTGTAGAGAGCGAGCTTGTAGTGTCGGATTAACGCGCGCGCCTGTAGTGTCAAGTAAACGAGCGCCTGTAGAGAGCGAGCTTCTAGCGTCAGGTTAACGCGCATGCCTGTAACGTCAGGTGAACGAGCGCCTGTAGAGAGCTTGTAGTGTCGGATTAACGCGCATGCCTGTAACGTCAGGTTAACGAGCGCCTGTAGTGAGCGAGCTTGTAGTGTCAGGTTAACGCGCATGCCTGTAACGTCAGGTGAACGAGCGCCTGTAGTGAGCGAGCTTGTAGTGTCAGGTTAACGCGCATGCCTGTAACGTCAGGTTAACGAGCGCCTGTAGTGAGCGAGCTTGTAGTGTCAGGTTAACGCGCATGCCTGTAACGTCAGGTGAACGAGCGCCTGTAGAGAGCTTGTAGTGTCAGGTTAACGCGCATGCCTGTAACGTCAGGTGAACGAGCGCCTGTAATGAGCGAGCTTGTAGTGTCAAGTAAACGGGCGCCTGTAATGAGCGAGCCTGTAGCGTCTGGTGAAATCATGAACCGAATTCTTCATCAAGAACCAAAACATGGGCAGATGACGACAGCAGCAGCAGCTGCCATTCACACTGCCGATTTTGACTGAAGCTGTCAAGACTCTCAGCATCTCTCCTATGAAAAAGTTCGCAAAGACCGCCCCCCCCCAACCCACTGCACCCCCCTCGCCCCTCGCGCAGAAGCAGTGGTTTGTGGCGCTGCTCGCAATCCGTGGCGGACGGGAGAACGGAGAGAGCGCGGTGCGGCGGGGCATGCGGGGGTCGGAAAAAGAAATTATACGAACAACGGAGGGGGGGTGCAGCTGCCCCTCCCCACCACCACCACCGGCAACACCACGCCTTTCCTGACTTCCCCAGAATGCTTTGCACCACACGAGGGTAGGGCAAAGGTGGGGAATGAGGATAAGGGGGGGGGGGGGGGGGTGGCACAAGCGGAACACGGGTTGCTAGCGATCACATGCACGTGTAAACAATGGGGGTGCGGCGGCGAGGATTGAGAAACGGCTTCACGCGGGGATTACAAAAGATGAGGGTCGCGCCGCCCCAGCCGCCCCCCACCCCCCACCCACGCCGGCGGACACGGTCTCCAGCGTTTCTTGCCCCAAGCGACGAGCGTTTCCTACGAAAACCCCCCACGGAGTGCCATCGGTCATCGTACACGGGTGTGGAGGTGGAGGAGGAGGTGGCGGAGGTGGTTTTCTTCGGTTGTGGCCGCGCGGGGGAAACGGGCACCAGCGGTCAGGTGCTGCCCCGCATGCAGGCCATGACGAGCTCCAGCTTGTAGGCCAGCCTCTGCCTCTTGGCCTGATCCTCGCCCTCCAGCGCGCACAGGATCTGCAGGAGAGACGGGGAGATGTGGGGGCGCTTACACACACACCTCCACACAAAGATCCCCCGTATAGCCGTAACAGACTGTTGGGGCAAGTGTAGTTAGCGAGCACCTATGAAGGCTGGCATGGCACACGAGGGAGTAGGTGGCCAGCACTACGCCTGGCTGCCTTTGTCTACCGAGTGGCTATATTTTTAGGCATCGCACCAACTACTAATTTTAGGCTGAGTCGACCTAAGTGAGACCCAGGACCGGTTCAGATAATCGTCACTGGTGTTGGCCGTAAGCGGGAATCGAACTCGGGTCGTCGAGTTTGTGGTGCAGCATAGCGCCAACCGCCACACCACCGCCCACTCGCACCTCTCCGCACACACGAAACGCTTCGCACACCTCGTCGCTGTACTTGGTGACGTAGGCGTAGATCTCGTTGAGGGCGCTCATGGTGGCGAAGTCGGTGACGTGGAGGCGCGACTGCTCCGCCAGGTACGCGTTCATGTCCTGGTCGCTGATCGCGGCCATCTTGCCGATGTCCGAGTAGTACCTGGGACGCGCGGACACCGTCAACGCTATCACCATGACCATCACCGCCATCGCCGTGACCATCACCGCCATCGCCATGACCATCATCGCCGTGACCATCACCGCCATCGCCGTGACCATCACCGCCATCGCCGTGACCATCACCGCCATCGCCGTGACCATCACCGTGACCATCACCGCCATCGCCGTCATGACCATCACCGCCATCGCCGTCATGACCATCACCGCCATCGCCGTGACCATCACCGTGACCATCACCGCCATCGCCGTCATGACCATCACCGCCATCGCCGTGACCATCACCGCCATCGCCGTGACCATCACCGCCATCGCCGTCATGACCATCACCGCCATCGCCGTGACCATCACCGCCATCGCCGTGGCCATCAACGCCATCGCCGTGGCCATCAACGCCATCGCCGTGGCCATCAACGCCATCGCCGTGGCCATGAACGCCATCGCCGTGGCCATCAACGCCATCGCCGTGGCCATCAACGCCATCGCCGTAACCGTCACCGCCATTGCCATGACCGTCACCGTCACCGTCACCGTCATCGCCATGACCGTCAACGCCATCGCCATGACCGTCAACGCCATCGCCATGACCGTCACCGCCATCGCCATGACCGTCACCGCCATCGCCATGACCGTCACCGCCATCGCCATGACCGTCAACGCCATCGCCATGACCGTCAACGCCATCGCCATGACCGTCAACGCCATCACCATGACCATCAACGCCATCGTCATGACCCTCACCGGCACCGCTATCGCCGGTCCCCCCCACCCCCTCCCCCCGGCGCACTCCCCTCCCCCTCTCTAGCGCTTACCTCTCCACCCAGTTCTTGTAGTTGGGGATGTCCTTGGCGTAGAGGAGCTTGTTGGAGGGCGAGTCCTTGCCGAGCCGGTGCTCCGAGGTGGAGCACGAGTCCATGAAGGTCTGCGCGACGACGGAGAGGCACGCGTCCGTGATGCTGCTCTTGTGGATGTCGAACACGAACTGCGGGTTCTTGATCACGTTCACCCAGAAGCGCAGCGGCAGGCTGCGAGGAGGAGACGCACGCAGGTACGAGCAACGTTAACCCCGGCCGCCCCCCCGTGTCCGTCTCTGTCTCGCCGGCGCCGGCGTTGGCACGGCGCGCCAGATGCTCGCCGAAGGTCGAGTGGAGCTCGCGTTGATTGTGTGAACAGTGGAGAGCGCACTGGGACCCCACGCTCGTCCCCAAGCTCACACCCTCTCACCCCCACGCTCGCCCAACACATACTCCTCTCACCAACACACACACACACACTCACCTCCCACGCTCACCCACCCACGCTCACCAGTTGCTCTTCCACGTGTGGCGCACGTCGGGGTCGCTGATGGTGTGCCGGTCGGCCTGCTCGTCCAGGAAGTCGAACATGTACTTGATGGCGAGGGGCAGCGAGCTGCCGCGGTGCGCCGTGCTGAAGATCGTCTCAAACAGGTCGTCCACAAACTTCTGCAGCGTGCCCTGCAGCGCCGCACACACACCTCTGCTCGTCAGCAGTGCCACGCACGCACGCCGGCCGGCCGGCTCGTGAGCAGCATCGGCAATCGGCTTCCTGCGCCTCCCGCCGGCGAGTCATACATGGCTCGCACGCAAGCGGCCGTGTCATTTGTTTGGCCGTGTCGGCCAGATCATTACGTGGGCTAATCCGATAATCCATGACAAATCACAACGTAGGCCGCTGCGTGTTGAGGCAATGGAACGCTGAGGTGATGCAATCTCCTCAAATGGGATCAGGCACAGCAGCAGCACTCATCGCCAGAGGTCGCAAACGAGGTTTGATTCCTTACCCGTACCCATACCCGGCCACACCAGGGTCGCAAACGGGTACCCGTACCCGGCCAGGTACGGGTAGCCGGGTATCGGGTTGGGTACGGGTATCGAGTACCCAGTTGCGACCTCTACTTATCGCCCGCTACCGACGGACCAACGCCCTCTGCTGGCCAGCTGCTGAATCACCTCGTGCCACACAGTGACAGCTGCCGCTGGAGGATCCTCGTTCAAATGTTCGAGATGAGATGGGAGATGTAAAGCGCTGTGCGACACGTGTGGTGGGGGGTGGCTCTTGTCAATGACGACTCATCCGCATTCAGCTGGGCGGCGGCGGCGGTGGTGGTGGCTACGCACGTGGCCTGTAATCCAGCACTGTGGAGACAGGCAGTGAGGCTCGGTGGAGCACGCTAATGCTGCGACCCTCTACCTTGCCGTGCGCGTCGAGGGGAAGCCAAACCCTGGCTTGCCAGGCGGTGTGGCAAGTGAGATGGATGCCAGGGCAGGTGGGGCCGGTGTGAGTGTCCTCACCTTGGTGGTGAGTGACCAGGTGAGATGGATCCCAGGGCAGGGGGGGGCGGTGTGAGTGTCCTCACCTTGGTGGTGAGTGACCAGGTGAGATGGATCCCAGGGCAGGTGGGGCCGGTGTGAGTGTCCTCACCTTGGTGGTGAGTGACCAGGTGAGATGGATCCCAGGGCAGGTGGGGCCGGTGTGAGTGTCCTCACCTTGGTGGTGAGTGACCAGGTGAGATGGATCCCAGGGCAGGTGGGGCCGGTGTGAGTGTCCTCACCTTGGTGGTGAGTGACCAGGTGAGATGGATCCCAGGGCAGGGGGGGGGCGGTGTGAGTGTCCTCACCTTGGTGGTGAGCGACCAGGTGACATCGATGCCGGGGCGGAAAGAGCTGTGTGCTTATCCTCACCTTGCTGGCGAGTGACCAGGTGAGATTGATCCCAGGGCAGGGGGGGGGGCGGCGGTGTGTCCTCACCTTGGTGGCTAGCAGCCGGGTGAGGTAGATCTCGGACACCATCTTGCTGCCGCGGTCGCCCTCCTTCTGGTCGGCGTGGTCGTGGTTCTTCACCAGGTGCCACAGCTTGGTACCGCTCTCCAGGTCGGGCGTGATCATGGGCGTGCGCGAGCGTAGCGAGTCCGGGCTGCCCGCGTACCGGATCATGTTCTCTGTCGCAAGGGGGAGGAGGGGTGGGGGGTCACGGGGTCACGGGTACAAGGTTAGCGACTCGGTTGGAAAGTCCTTTGTTCTCTCCGTAACAAACAGAGTTGGATCCTTGCCGATAAGCTTCTGGCAGGTCACCAGCACTGGTTCATGCCATTGGTGGTACGTGTTGGTGTTGTGGTTGGTGCTATTGGTGGTATGTGTTGGTGTTGTGGTTGGTGGTATGGGTTTGGGTAGCGGTTAGGGGTTGGTGGTACGTGTTGGTGTTGTAGTTGGTGGTATGGGTTTGGGTAGCGGTTGGGGGTTGGTGGTACGTGTTGGTGTTGTGGTTGGTGCTATTGGTGGTATGTGTTGGTGTTGTGGTTGGTGGTATGGGTTAGGGTTGCGGTTGGGGGTTGGTGGTATGTGTTGGTGGTGTGGTTGGTGCTATGGGTTGGTGTTGTGGTTGGTGGTATGTGTTGGTGTTGCGGTGGGTGCTATGGGTTAGGGTTGCGGTTGGGGGTTGGTGGTATGGGTTTGGGTAGCGATTGGGGATTGGTGGTACGGGCTGGTGGTGTGGTTGGTGGTATGGGTTGATGTTGTGGTTGGTGGTACGGATTAGGGTTGCGGTTGGGGGTATGGGTTAGGGTCGCGATTGGGGGTTGGTGGTACAGGTTGATGTTGTGGTTGTGGGTTTGTGGCAAGGGTAGTGGCTGGGGGTTAATGGTATGGGTTGTGGTTGGTGGTACGGGTTGTATGTATATATGTGTGTTGAACGTCTTTCGCACCGTACGTAGCCAACCGTGCTAATCGGGGGTTGCGGTTGGGGGTTGTTGGTTGGGGTTGATGGTTCACGCTGGCGTTGTGGCACGCACCGTATCGGCTCACGGAGGGGCGCGGCAGCACCGTGGGGTTGGCGATGTACGACGTTTGCTTGGGAACCAGCGCCACAATGGAGCCGTCAGCGACCTGCACAGCCGCGTCAAACGCACAGTCACGCACAGTCACACACAGTCACACACAGTCACACACAGTCACACACAGTCACACACAGTCACACACGCGGTCACACACAGTCACACACGCGGTCAGGCGCGGTCAGGCGCAGTCACACAGTCACACACAGTCACACACAGTCACACACACAGAGTCTCACACGCAGTCACACACGCAGTCACACACGCAGTCACACACGCGGTCAGGCGCAGTCACACACAGTCACGCACAGTCACACACAGAGTCTCACACACAGTCACACACGCAGTCAGGCGCAGTCACACAGTCACAGTCACACACGCGGTCAGGCGCAGTCACAGAGTCACACACAGTCACACACAGACACACACAGACACACACAGTCACACACAGTCACACACGCTCACAGTCACACAGTCACACACGCGGTCAGGCGCAGTCACAAAGTCACACACGCGGTCACACACAGTCACACACAGTCACACACAGTCACACACGCGGTCACGCCGTTCGGTGCCTCGCTCCACGTGCTGGGAGCTTAGCTGGTGGTGAAATTACCTGGTGGTCAGGTAACCTGGTAGCGAGGTAACCAGGTGGTGAGGTTAACTAATGGTGAGGTGGCCTGGTGGCAAGGTGACCTGGTAATGGGCGAGAGTGTTGAGTCTCTTCCAGTCGTTTTCGATCTTGGTGGTGATGTCCTCGTCCTGCAGGATGATTCGGGCCATGCGCCCCTGCCTCCACTCTGCACGCACAGTGACCCGCGTGCGTACGTCACCTCCTGGTCACTCTTCCATAGCTACTACCATGGCTACTCCTCCCGTCAACCTCACTCAGTGATAGCTACTACCATGGCTACTCCTCCCGTCAACCTCACTCAGTGATAGCTACTACCATGGCTACTCCTCCCGTCAACCTCACTCAGTGATAGCTACTACCATGGCTACTCCTCCCGTCAACCTCACTCAGTGATAGCTACTACCATGGCTACTCCTCCCGTCAACCTCACTCAGTGATAGCTACTACCATGGCTACTCCTCCCGTCAACCTCACTCAGTGATTCCTCAAACCCACGTTGACGACTCGACCAGACACCGACCGTTTTCATGTCATCCACCACACTGCGTGTGTGTGTGTACATGTGCGTGTGTGTTTGTGTGGGGAGCGATAGTGTAGCGGTTAGCGCGCCGCGCTATGAACCCGGCGACACGTGTTCGATTCCCGCTCACTGCCAACATCAGTGACAATTATTTGAACCGGTCCCGGGCCTCCCCTAGGTCGACTCAGCCTCAAATGAGTACCTGGTGCGGTGTGTAAACATTGCCACTAGGGAGACAAAGGCGGTCGAGCGTGGTGCTGGCCACCCACCCCCTCGTGTGCTGTTCCGGCCTTCATAGGTGCTCGCTAACAGCACTTGCCCCAACAGTCTGTTAAGGCTATACGGGGGATCTTTATCTTTGCACGTGTGCGTGCCCACCCAGGTCCATGTCGACGCTCTTGGGGCGCAGCGAGTAGGGCACGTTCTTGTAGACGGCGTCCAGCAGCTTCTCCTTGACCTGCGTCACCGTGTCGCAGTTGAGCAGCTTCACCGCCACCTCGGGCCCGTTCTCGTTGTCCGGGTTCACGCAGTTCAGCGTCTGCAGCGGCCGTGCCACCGCAGACAACAACGGCAAGTACGTCAACAACAACGCCAACAAACAACAACAACAACGGCAGCATTGACGTCAATTTCAGCTGCTACGGTAGCAACAGCAGCAGAAACTGGGCCAAGCGGCAAATCAACCACAGCCCGGCCCCATTCTGCTTGTTCACCCAGGAGAACTTCGCGGAGTCCCATGACTCTTTTTCAGGAGGGTCCTGCCAAGTTTTCAGAGCAGGGGGTGACGTGTCATCCCAATTGAATAATTACCGAGACTCAACTCAAGGCTCGGGGGCTTGGGTTACGGGCTTAGAGTGAAGAGGTAGGAGAGCACGGGGCCCGGAGACTCAGGGCACGGGGCTAGCGGGGACGGGGCACTGGGGCACGGGGATACGGAGGCACGGGGGTACAGGGCCCAGGAGATGGAGGCACGGGGGTACGGGGCCCGGGGTACGGGGGCTCGGTGCTCAGGGCCAGTAACCCCGTGGAGGACTCACGAGGGTGCGGTAGTCGATCTGCTGGCGGATGAGTTTGTCCTCGCTGAGCGAGTAGCGCGCCTCGCCCGTGATGGCGTCGATCGGCCCCTTCTCCATCTGCTGCTTGATGGCGCAGTAGAGCATGAAGAGGGGCTCGCCGGCGCACTCCTGCACGCACACACACAAGCGCACACGCGCAAGGGCATACACACACGCATTTGTAAACACACACACGTGCACACACGCACAAGGGCATACACACACGCACGTGTAAATATGTACATACACGTGCACACACGCACAAGGGCATACACACACGCACGTGTAAACACACACACGTGCACACAAGCACAAGGGCATACGCACACGCACGTGTAAACACGTACACACACGTGCACACATGCACAAGGGCATACACACACACACACATACCCACGCAGGCACACAAATAGACCCAGGAAGACTTGGAGAGAACAGAGGGGAAGGTGGTGAGTGGGTTGAGTCGGGTGGTGAGGGGCACGTGTGGTGAGTGAGGTGGTGAGGGAGACATGTGGTGAGTCAGGTGGTGAGGGGCACGTGTGGTGAGTGAGGTGGTGAGGCAGATGTGTGGTGAGTGGAGATGCCACCCCCGCTCACCTTGAGAAACTTGTGCAGTAGGAATGTGAACCAGTTGGTGAGCATCTTCTCAGCTACGGACTCCGTGCTGGCACAGAGAGAGCGAGGCAGGGAGTCACTCTCCACATTCACACCACAGCGAGTGCGTGTGGGCCTCCCCCTAGGTAGACTCTGCCTCAAATGAGTACTCGGTGGGGTGTGTAAAACATCATCACCGACAAAGGCAGCCGGACGTGGTGCTGGCTACCCACCCCCTCGTGTGCAGTGCCAGGCCTTCATAGATGCCACTCGCTAATGTGCACTCTCGCCCCAACAGCCTGTTCAGGCTATACGGGTGAGATTTGCCTCTGCGTGCGTGCGTGTGTGCGTGTGTGTGTGCGTGCGGTGCCCCGTGCTGACCGGCGCAGCAGCAGCTTGGGGTGGTTCTTGCTCTCCAGGTTCTTGTCGATGAGGTCGGACAGCAGCTGCTTGAGGACGTCGGTGGCGTACTCCATCTTGCCCTGCAGCGCCGTGGCGATGAGCGACGCCACGTTGCCGCGGTCGCGCATCGAGAAGCTCCGCTGCGACTCGAGGGTGCGGATGAAGGTGAGCAGGAAGGCCTTGTTGTTGAGCAGCTGCCCAAACTGCTTGAGGCCCTTCTCCACGCTCTCCTGACGGTTCCCGGGCACCTGCGCGGCGCAACGCAACGCAACGCGCGCAAGTTCAAATCGACACACGCGCACAGAGACAAACATCCGCACTCCAGCGTCGCCTCCACAGGCTGTTGGGGGAAAGGCCGGCATGGCACACGATGGGGTGGGTAGTCAGCACCACGTCCTGCCGCCTTTGTCTCCCCGGTGGCGATGTTTACACACCGCACCAGGCACTGATTTGTGGGTGAGTTAACCGAGGGGAGGCCCAGGACCGGTTCAGATAATCGTCGCTGGAGGTGGCCTTGAGCGTCAATCGAACTCGGGTCGCCGGATTCGTAGCGCAGCACGTCAACTGCTGCGCTACCACTCCTCACACACGTGTGAACACGCGCGCACACACACATGCGACACACACACACATGCGACACACACACACACGCGCGCACACACACACTGCGAACCTCCAGCTCCTTGAGCACCGGGTGCTCCTCGATGCCGGGGAAGAGAACGCGCATGGCGTACGTGCGGTAGTCCAGGAAGGGAATGCCCGTGCCGTCCAGGTCGCTGGTCAGCTCGTTGATGTCAGTCTGCAGCTCCGCAAAGGCTGCGCCAGACACCGCAGGCACGCACGCACGCGATTACACATCAGTCACACACACGCGCGCGCACACAGACATACACGCACACGCACGAGAGGTGAGCGGCAAACGTGGAGTGGTGAGTGGTGAACGTGGAGCGGCGAGCGTGGAGCGAGTGGCCGCACGCTCCACTCACCCTCCTTGCACTCGAGCGCGACGCGCGACTCCAGGTTGTCCATCTGCATCTGCAGGCGGCGCAGCGTGAGGTCGCTCTCCTTGGACTTGCGTTTGTAGGCGATGAGCACGGCGACGATGATGAATATGAGGAGGCCGCCCCCCACCGCGATGCCCACGATGGTGGGCAGGCTCAGCAGGCTGTCCGAGTAGATGTGCACCATCCCGGGGGACTGCTCGTTCCCTCCCACGCGCACCTGCCCCGCACGCACACAGATCTCCCGTATTAGCCACTTGCACCACACGCACACAGATCTCCCATATAGCCACTTGCCGTGCACACAGATCCCCCGTATAGCCACTTGCCGTACACACAGATCTCCCGTATTAGCCACTTGCACCACACGCACACAGATCTCCCATATAGCCACTTGCCGTGCACACAGATCCCCCGCATAGCCACCTGTGCCGCACCCACGCACACAGATCTCCCATATAGCCACCTGTCCCACACCCACAGAACCCCCATATAGCCACTTGCCGTGCACACAGATCCCCCGTGTAGCCACCTGTCCCACGCACACAGATCCCCCGTGTAGCCACCTGTCCCGCACCCACGCACACAGATCCCCCGTATAGCCACCTGCCCCGCACAGCCCCGCATACAGGTCCCCACCCTGTGTGCTCTTCAGGGGACTGTTGGGGCCGATCGCTCGTGAACTCATTTACATCGGTCTGCAGCTCTGCAATGGCTACGCGTACGAACACAGGCGCACACGCACAGACACGGAGACACACATGGCGCACCCCACCTCCCCCGACACCCCCGTGTGACGCACGTACCAGCACGCGGTGGCGCCCGGTGATGCTGGGCGACTCGCACAGGATCTGCGTCTCCGACACCGTCACCTCGCACCGGTGGTCTCCGATCAGTACCGAGTAGTTGAGCTTCCCGCCCGGCGGAACAATGTTCCGACCCTGGGGACGAGTGACAGTATGGGCGACGTGGACGGACACCGCCGTCACAACTGCTACCCCCCCCCACCCCTCCGCCAGCAGTGCCGCGAGCGAACAGTTGCAGGGCAGCGCCTTTACATTGTAGCCGCACGACGCGGCGAGTCTACTACGACCACGCGGCGCCGTCCGCTGCGATCGGTCGACGTTACAGATCCCGTAACGTAAACCGCAAAGAGTCGGCTAAGTTTGAAAAAAAAAATTACACAGCAAAGAATCACTCTGTTGTTATTTTTCACACAGCGGAGCGATCATCACCCCCCTGCTGGCAGCAGACTCATGCCCCAGTTCCCTCTGGCAAACGACAGCACCATGGTGACCGTGAAATGAGTGACAAACGGTTTCTCACCAGTGACTCACGGCCTACCCGTACCCGGCCGCACCAGGGTCGCAAACGGGTACCCGTACCTGGCCGGGTACGGGTAGCCGGGTATCGGGTAGGGTACGGGTATCAGGTACCCGATTGCGACCTCTGCTACCCCCCCACTCCCGGCCCCCTCACAGCAAGCCCGCCCAGTTCCTGCAGCCAGTAGAGGCCTCTACCTTGAGGATGATGGGTGCCCCCGGCTTGATCTCGAGTGTGCCGCTGGGGCTGAGCATCTCGAAGGAGGGGTTGGGGTAGTAAAGGAAGGCCGAGTTGTTGATGGCCAGCAGCGCCGACACCGCGTCCAGGACGAACCCAAACTCGTCGGGCCGCACCTCGGCATCGGCCAGAAGAGGGCCAGCGCCCAGGGGCAGCCCGGGGGCCCGGCACACCATGTGGCTTCCGTTCACCACCTCGCAGGCCTGCTCACACAGGCACGCGCGCACGGTCAACGCCTGCTAAGGCCGGCACGGCGCACGGGGGCGAAGTGGGCGGTGCGGGCGGTGCAGGCGGTGCGGGCGGTGCGGGCGGGGCAACGCTCGCCCACATAAAGGTGGGGAGTCGGCCTAGGGCAGGCTCAGCACTGGTTCAGTCACACGCCACCGATGTTCGCCGTGGTTGGAGATTAAACCAGTCAGGGTGTTTGTAGGGTTAAACACCACGCCCCCACTCTCGCCACCAGCTCACATGAAGACAAAGATCCCCCGCGTAAGTGTTGTTAACGAGCACCTATGAAGGGCGGTACGGCACACAAAAGAGTGGGTGGCCAACCCCACACTTGGCCATCTTTGTCTTTTCTGTGCTGATGTTCGTGGAGGCCCAAGACCGGTCCCCACTCTCCCAGTGCCTTAATTCTCCTACTGTCTCAACTCTCTCTGCATCTCCGCTCTCCCCGTGTCTCCACACGTATGTCCACACACCCTCCCCGTGTCTCTGCTATTCCAGTGTCTCCACCCTCCCCGTGTCTCCGCTCTCCCCGTGTCTCCACACTCCACCCGGATGTCCACACACCCTCCCCGTGTCTCTGCTATTGCAGTGTCTCCACCCTCCCCGTGTCTCTGCTCTCCCTGCCCTCCCTGTGCGTGCGTGTCCCCCTACTCACGCTGATGCTCTCGGAGCCGTTGAATTTGACGCGGATCTTGGGCTCCTGAATGAGCGCCAGGTTGGTCCCCGTCACGGTCACCATGGTGCTGCCACTGCACACGGACAGAAGCGTCCGCAGCACCACACACATGCCGTCAGGTCCGGGGCTCGCCACACGCGCACAACGTTCCACACACACACACACAACGCTGCACACACACACACACAACGTTCCACACACACAAACGCCGCATACACCCACACAACGCTACACACACACACACACACAACGCTGCACACACCCACACACAAACGCCGCACACACCCACACACAAACGCTCGCCATCCACAGACGCTGGTCTGTGCCACGCAAACATTGTCTCATCGCGTGATACAACATGGACACTTGGGCTGAAATTGTGGAAATACGTGAAGACGACAAAAACGGGAGACGCAGGGAGACACACAGAGAGTGCAGACGCAGAGGGAATGGAATAGAGTGGATACAGTGAGAGCGGAGACACTGGCACAGTGGAGACGTTGGCACAGCAGAGACAGAGGGAGAGGTGAGAAAAAGGGAGAGGTGAGAAAGAGAGAGCGGAGACGCGTGTGAGGGATAGAGGACAGGCAGGCGGCGGACATACTTGTAGATGCTCCACTCGGGCTCGACGCGTGTCACCGTGGGGTCATCCCGGTACTCGAAGGCCAGCTCGCTGTGCACGCTGGCGCGGTCGATGTGCAGCGCCACGCGCGCCCGGCCCAGCCCCGAGCTCGCGCCCGAACTGACGCAAACCAGTTCCGTGGCGGAGCGTCTGCAAGCCACGCGGGGGGTGGGGGGGTGGGGGGGGCATAGGGAGGAGCGGTGAGATGCGGAGAATAACGTAAAATTGTGAAATAGGGACGGACAGAGACAGGGACAGAAAGAACCAGAGACGCACAATGCGGCCGGCTGGAGTAGCGTTACGGTGCACGCGGTGGTGCTGTCCGCGTTGCCGTGTTGCCGTGTGTGGCCTGTCTGTGTGGCCACGTGCGCTGCGGCGTGGCCGCCCGTCCCACCTGAGGAAGCGGCAGCTGTTGTTGTTGAAGGTGACGGCCACGGTGCTGCCGGCGTCGAGGTTGCTTCCCAGCACGGTGACGGTGGTGCCGCCCGACACGGGGCCCTTGTCCGGGCGGAGGCCACTCAGCACCGGGACCTGGGGGGCCCCACACGCGGCACGGGTCACCACGGAGCCCGAGCACAACACACCGCGCGGCGGCGCCAAGCACAGCGTCGCACCGCGTCGCACCGCGTCGCACCGTGTGTGTCGCCGTTAAGCGGTAGTGCTGCTGCGACACGGCCGTCGCGCACGCTGTGCGACACCGCGTCGCACCGCATCACACCGCGCGGCTCACCGTGAACCGGTAGTGCTGCTGCGACACGGCCGTATACTCGGGGAGACAGACGTTGACGCAGACGCGGACGGGGCCGGACGGGGGATCGGAGCGGCCGGCCTCCTCCATCTCACACACGATCCTGCCACGCCACACACACACACGTAAATACAACGAGCGAGTGATCCAGTGCGCTTGAACGCGCGAGCGAGTAAGTGAGCGCATGAGTGAGCGCATTAGTGAGTGACCAAGCGAGTGACTGAGCGAGTGACTGAGCGAGCGCGCGAGTGAGCGTGTGATCGAGTGTGAGCGAGCGCGTGACTCACTGCTCGGCGCTGATGTACTCGTGCTGCAGGGGAAGGCAGCGCACGCCGGCCACCATCACGTGCTCCGTCACCTCGTACAGCTCCAAGCCCAGGTTCTCTCCGCGGATCGTGACGCGCGTGCCGCCCTCCCGCGGCCCCGTGGCCGGGGTCACCTGCGGGCGGAGCGGGGGTGGGGACATGCGCCGCTCTCATCTGCGACCCCTTGCAAGGCGCCTTCTCGCCTCCGACCTCTGACCCCCCCCGTTCGCTCGATGCGACCTTGTGATTTTTACTATTCCTCGTCCTGTGCCCTGGAAGCCTCGCCGAGTCTCTCGACTCTCTTCGAGGAGGGCCCTGCCAGACTTTCGCAGTAGGAGGGGGCAATGAGGCTGTTCTTGAGCCCAAATTTGCAGTGTCAATTTTCGGCACACAGTGACCTATTATTGCGAATGGCGTCACGGGGACCTTTAACATCCGCTTCGGTGCCACGGTGGCGAAATGTTAAAACTACCTTGCCTGTTATGCCAGAGATCGTGGGTTCGATTCAGACCCTGACGCCTGTATATTTGGAGTTTGCATGTCTCTCTCCCCATGGTCGCGTTGATTTTTCTGCGGGTCCTCTGGTTTTTCCCTCCACATTTAGAATCAACATGCGTTTAAAGTATTTGGCTGCTATGGGGAGCAGTAGTGTAGCGGTTAGCGAGCTGCGCTACGAATCTGGCAATCAGAGTTCGATTCCCGCTCACGACCAACACCAGTGACAAACATCTGAACCGGTGTGTAAACATCGCCAGTAGGGAGGCCAAAACAGCCGGGCATAGTGCTGGCCACCGGCCTCCTCGTGTGCCGTGCGGTCCTTCGTAGGTGCTCGCTAACAGCACTTGCCCCAAATGTCTGCTCAGGCTACACGGGGGATCTTTGTCTTTGTCAGCATACGTTGCACATCTGCATGGGGACTCGCCTGGGTGATGCGGGGGTGCGTGCAGCGCCGCGACCCCACCAGCAGGTGCATCCAGTTGACGGCCGCTTGGGTGCAGTGCTGCTTGAGCGAGCACTTCCCCTCGGGCTGGCACCAGCCGCACGTGAACTTGGGCTCGGCCTTCAGGCACAGGCCGCAGCTGTCGCGCGCCGCACCGCACTTATACAGGTGAACTGTGGGGGGGCGGCACAAGGCGGCGCAACGGTACGGCACAACGCTACGGCACAACGGTACAGCGCGACGCTACGGCACAACGCTACGGCGCAACACTACGGCACAACGCTACGGCACAATGCTACGGCACAACGGTACAACGCGACGCTCAAGTTGTACAGGCGGGAGTGCACGTGTGTGTGTGTACGTGGCGGTACCCTTGATGTTGGTGGGGTTGTCGATGGCGAAGTGGCCGTTCCACAGCACGGAGAAGTCGACCGGGAGGTCACTCACGGAGCCGCTCTCGTACGTGTACTGAGCCAAGTCACGCGCACGCACACACAGACCTCGTTAAGATCGTCGTCACCGATGTTGGCCGTGAGCGAGAATCGAACTTGGGTCTGTATTATGTAGCCAACCGTGCTAATCGGAGGTGCGAGGTTTCGTAGCGCATTGCGCTAACCGTTACACAACACAACACACACTGGGTTCGTAGCGCATTGCGCTAACCGTTACACCACACACAACACACACTTGGTTCATAGCGCATTGCGCTAATCGCTACACAACACACAACACACACTGGGTTCGTAGCGCATTGCGCTAACCATTACACCACACACAACACACACTGGGTTCGTAGCGCATTGCGCTAACCGTTACACCACACACAACACACACTTGGTTCATAGCGCATTGCGCTAATCGCTACACAACACACACTTGGTTCGTAGCGCATTGCGCTAACCGCTACGCAACACAACACACACTGGGTTCGTAGCGCATTGCGCTAACCGTTACACCACACACACTGGGTTCGGAGCTAACCGTTACACCACACACACAACACACACCATCACCACCAGCACACTCAGCACTAAGCTCACCACCACCACCACCACACTCACCGAGGTGTTCTGGCACTGCACGCTGGAGCTGTTGAAGCGCAGGGCGGGCACGCGCACCTCGGTGCCCACCACGCTCACCACGCACTCGTAGCCCTGCTGCCCCGACTGCGGCTGCGGCAGGTTCTTGGCGTTGAGGGTGATGGGCCTCACCACCCCCACGGGGATCAGGATCTCCGGAGAGGGGAGCAGCTGGGGGCAGTCCTGCCACCGCACAGAGACGGACGCACGGTCACGGGATGGTCAAGCGACAGCCATGGCACGGTTACAGGATGATCAAAGACAATCTTGATTTGAAGCTTTCGTGACTGCAGGAATCCATACCCTTTGGTTCTTTCGGTAAAGTCACGTAGGTAGAAAAAGTAATAGATCACGACGTTTCGATCGCAACGCAAGAAATCGTCATCAGGCGGCGGAAAGAGGAGGGAAGCTGCTGGTGCAGGCTGCATCAGCATCAAGGGACGATCATGGGATTATCATGGGATTATCATGGGATGATCATGGGACGAGTTAAGAAAATCATTGGACAGTTACAATTATTGGTTGCTTTGGCTACGATTTATGTTTGCTTCATTGCTGTTCTTGTTTTTGTGAGCATTGCTGCCGTCATGTTGGTGACCCCCAAGGCGCCTCTCCCGAGTTCTCCTCTGGTATCAACAAAAACTCAACTCAAGGCCCTCCCCCTGGTGATCCGATTGTGACCCCTCGCCGTGACCCCCACCGCCCCCATCGTAACGACTGCCCCCAGTGACCTCGCCATGCCCACCCCCACAGTGACCCCGTCGGGACCACACCCCCCCCCGTGACCCCGTGGTGACCTCTCCACCCCTGTGACCCCGCGGTGGCAATGGCACCTCGGTGGTGTTGACGCGGCCCTCCTGGAAGGAGCAGCTGGTGGGGTCGTGGGTGCACACGTGGCGGTACTTGCACCAGTGGCAGCGGTACTCGCTCCGAACACACGCCAGGCACCTGCACACAACCATCGCAAGCACCACTACTACAACCACCGCTACAAACACCACCACCACCACGGTAATCTACAACTGCAACTACCAGAACAACCACCAAGGTAATATACAAACACAAGAGAAACCACAGAGTGAATACAGCTGCCACCACCACCACGCTATAGAACTAAGCTGTGTGCGGCTGTGTGCAGCAGAGTATCTGCTGTGTGTGGTTTAGTAGGCGCTGTGTGTGGATGCGCGTGGTTGAGTGTGACTGTGTGGTTGTGTATGGTTGACTGTGGTTGCGTGTGGTTGAATGCACATGGGTGATTGTGGCTGTGCGTGACCGATTGTGGTTTCTGCACGATTGATTGTGATTGCGTGCAATTGATTCTGGCTGCGCAGTGGTTGATTGCGGTTGCGCGTGGCTGCGTCGCTCACGAGGGGTGGACGCTGCAGTTGAAGAAGACGAAGTCGGTGCTGGCGAACTCGCGTCCGGTCTCGCGTGAGCGCAGGCCCAGCTTGACCACACGCGTGTCGCCTGGCGGACCGCATGGGACACACACACACACACCATTACTACAGCTGCACCGCAGGAACACGCACATCCAATACCAACACAACCGCCATTCGCCACTAAGTGACGGTGACGTCACCACGGCACCTGTGCCAGGCAAGGTGCACTTTGAGGGCATGTGACTCACAACCACAACTAGCTACCTCTCACTCTATCCACTAACCCTGATCCTATCCACCAACCATATCCCTTCCCTTTCCATGTCCCTCTGCACCCCAGTGTACCGCGCGCCCCCCCACCCCAGCATCGTCGCCGTGCCCCCCCCACACCCACCACGGTTGCTGAGGATGCGAGCGACGTCGCGGGGCGAGGGCGAAAGGCAGCTGACTCGCTCCCGCTCCTCCACCAGCGCCTCCGTCTCGGCAAACTCCGCAAACGTGCAGTTCACCCCCGCCGACAGGTCCGGCACGTTCACTAGCCGCAGGGTCAGCTGCCGCGCACACACACACGTTCATTAGCCACTCGCAACACACACACACGTTCATTAGCCACTCGCACACACACACACACGTTCATTAGCCACTCGCGCACACACACACACGTTCATTAGCCACTTGCGCACACACACACACGTTCATTAGCCACTCGCGCACACACACACACATGTTCATTAGCCACTCGCGCACACACACACACACGTTCATTAGCCACTCACGCACACACACACACACGTTCATTAGCCACTCGCAACACACACACACACACACAATATACATGTTCACTCGCAACACACACACACACACGTTTATTAGCCACTCGCGCACACACACACAATATACATGTTCACTCGCAACACAGACACACACACACATTCATTAGCCACTCGCGCACACACACACACGTTCATTAGCCA